TGATTACTAATGAGGGGTTGACGATATCCACATACCGGGGTTATCATGGCCCGTGCTGTATGTGACCCACCCCGCGAGGCTGCAACAATTTTTTGAAGCTCCTATGTAAAGCTCTCCCACCTAACGGAAAGTTATCGAGGGTCAAGCAAGTATTGGCGATTTTCGAGGCGAATAAACTTTCCCAACTTTCCCAACTTTCCCAACTCCCTCGACCAAATTCTACCTGTACTTAAACCACTTCCTCCACTCGCCATATACACTCCGCCAAAATGTCTTTCGGAGGTCAAACCCCCACTATCATCGTCCTGAAAGAAGGTAAGGACCAGGAGCTACCCCTCGATCTATGAATGAAGACCGTCCATAAACTAACTTTGGACGCAGGGACCGATACTTCTCAGGGAAAAGGTCAGATAATATCAAATATTAATGCCTGCCAAGCCGTTCAAGCAACCATCAAGTCGACTCTGGGACCCTACGGTGGTGATTTATTAATGGTGGACGAAAATGGAAGACAGACTATCACCAACGATGGCGCAACAGTGATGAAGGTACGATTCATTGATCTTTCTTTCCCTTTTCAAATCATGTCACTAAACCCTTGTAGCTCCTCGATATTGTACACCCTGCTGCCCGAATCCTCGTCGATATCGCAAGATCACAAGATGCTGAAGTCGGTGACGGGACGACATCCGTAGTCGTTCTTGCTGGCGAGATACTCAAGGAAATCAAGGAACACGTTGAGCAAGGTGTTAGTTCCCAAATAATCATCAAGGGTTTACGGAAAGCTTCGACGATGGCGGTCAACAAGATCAAAGAGATTGCGGTGAGGACAGACGAGTCCAACAAAAAGGATACCCTAGCGAAACTAGCGGCCACGGCTATGACGAGCAAGCTGATCAAGAAAGATACTCCCTTTTTTACGAAGAGTATGTGTTGCTCCAATCCAACCCCCCTACGCATACCAAAGCTAACAGCATTGTAGTGGTTGTGGATGCTGTCCTATCGCTAGACCAGGACGACTTAAACGAGAAGCTTATTGGTATCAAGAAGATCCCCGGCGGCTCCCTTACTGACTCCCTGTTCGTCAATGGGGTAGCTTTCAAAAAGACATTCTCGTATGCTGGTTTTGAGCAGCAGCCCAAGTCTTTCAATAAACCCAAGATCGTCTGTCTGAACGTCGAACTAGAGTTGAAGGCTGAGAAGGACAACGCCGAAGTACGAGTCGAGCAAGTTTCAGAGTACCAAGCAATCGTCGACGCCGAGTGGCAGATCATCTACAAGAAACTAGAAGCAGTTTACCAAACAGGCGCCAAAGTGGTGCTCTCTAAACTACCTATCGGAGATCTGGCAACACAGTACTTTGCTGATCGGGACATATTCTGTGCTGGCCGTGTCGCTTCTGAAGATATGGAACGAGTAGTTCAAGCCACCGGCGCTACCATACAGTCAACCTGCTCCGATATCCAACCCCACCACTTAGGCACGTGTGGTTCCTTCGATGAACGTCAGATCGGCGGTGAGCGATTCAACTTCTTCGAAGACTGCCCAGAGGCCAAAACATGCACTCTGGTCCTTCGCGGTGGTGCTGAACAATTTATCGCCGAGGTCGAGCGGTCTTTGCACGATGCTATCATGATCGTGAAGCGCGCCATCAAGAACCATATGATCGTTGGTGGTGGCGGTGCCTGCGAGATGGAGGTATCTGCATACTTGCATCGTTTCGCAGACAAAGATGTTCCGCATAAGCAACAGGGCATCATCAAGTCTTTCGCTAAAGCTCTTGAGGTTATTCCCCGCCAACTATGCGATAACGCTGGCTTTGACGCAACCGATATCTTAAATAGACTACGCGTGGAACACCGCAGAGGTGGTGTCTGGGCTGGCGTCGATTTCGTGAACGAGGGTGTTGCTGACATGATGGAACGGTTCGTCTGGGAACCGGCCCTTGTCAAGATCAATGCCATACAGTCGGCTACTGAGGCCAGTTGCTTGATCTTAGGTGTAGATGAAACTATCCGGAACGAAGAAAGTGCCCAACCGCAGGCGCCGGGCCAGCCGTTGCCGCCAGGAGCAGCACAGAGGGCGATAAGAGGACGAGGAAGGGGTATGCCGCGACGGTAAACATATATTAAGGTCAACGATGCATTAGGGGCGCGATAATGTACCTATGATACCTGCAAAGCTACGTGCAGCTGCTTTATTCCATAGATGATGTAGGAATATTCACGGCACGAATAAATAAAAGACCATCTAATAAAGAATGTTCTTGGTGTTCACGGATTCGGGCTAATTATATATCTTCATAACCAGATTTACAACGTTGATAATTGCTTAGTTACATATGAAAAGTATTCGTCTAAGCCAAATATAAGTCCCCGAGCTTCTACCGTAGCGTAGCGCTTTCATTTAGCACTGCGTTCTAAAATATTCACCGTCTACGAATTTCCCTTCCCGACGCACAGTTCATCATCGCCAACCACACACCTTACAATCCTAGACCAATCCCCTTAAACCCCCCTTAACCGACATCGAGGGGTACTGTGTGGCAACGGTAACACAGCATTGAGCGGCGTTCCAGAAACTAACCAGTCATTTTGAATTTCGGTAAGATGGCCATTATACGCTTGATTCGAGTCACGATGATTCGAGAAGCAATGATTCACCTGTCTGTTTGAGGATGTACACGGCAATGTATTGGTGGTTGTGGAAAGGAGGGGAAAGGGGAGATGATGAAAGAAATAGGATAGGTCTTACGATGTGTTTAATAAGTACGTATTGTTGATAGGTAACATGTCTAGGTTAAGTGACGCAATTCTTTCGGCACATTGCGGGACCACGGATTCGGAGACAAGATGCCGGCAATTATGGATGATCCGTCAAGTCCAACCATCTACCGTGTTACCGGGCAAGCCCCTTATCCGGACCCCAACAAGCCGGAGCTACCACCAAACGTCCTCCCTCGCCAGGTAACACTACGAGATCGTCAAACCATTGCCACCGTCGTGCCTTTTGCCTCTCGCAATCAGGTACCCCCATCGTTGCTAACCTACCTCTCGGACCAATTCGCAAAGGAGATTGAGGGCGGGGATACTTATCCCATGATAGACCCTATGCCCCTTGAGAAGTTCTCTGCTTACTGGTTCCAGAATTTTGCTGGAATTATGCTTCTCGGTCAGATCGAGAGTGCCGCCGATGTGGTCGAGGGTAAGGACTGGTCAAGAGAATGCCTCGGCAGCTTCTATATAAAGCCTAATTACCCGGGCCGGAGCAGTCATGTGTGCAACGGCGGTTTTCTCGTGACGGACGCTTCCCGAAACCGCGGCGTGGGCCGTCTTATGGGCGAAAGTTACTTGGATTGGGCGCCAAAGCTCGGTTATACTTACTCGGTATTCAACCTCGTGTATGAGACGAACGTGGCCTCGTGCAAGATTTGGGATGCGCTCGGTTTTAAACGCATCGGACGTGTTAAGGGATGTGGAAACCTGAAGTCATACCCGGATCGGCTGATTGACGCCATCATCTACGGGCGGGACCTTGGGCCCGGTGCCGGTGAAGGCAACGGCGAACCCCTTCTCGTGAGTGAAGAGCGTTTCGACAAAATCAAGTTCTATCTCAAATACGGGCGCTACCCGAATGGATCTGACCGTGCCGAAAAAAGCAGGCTCCGGAGCGCCGCGACGCACTATAAGCTACTCGACAACGACGTATTGATGCTTAAGGATAAGGAAGTCATTAGCGACCCCATCCGCCAGATGGATATTTCGCGCCGCCTCCACGAGGTGGGCGGTCACGCCGGCATTAACAAGACTACGGCGACTATTGCTGAGAAGTATCACTGGAGTCGCATCAAGGAAACTGTTTCTGATGTAATTAGGACGTGTGAACAATGCAAGGAAGCAAGCAAAACACCTTCCATTCAGAACCCTACTAGGCGTCTCAATGTAAACTCCGACAATGCCACTATCGGTGTTAGTCCCATATCGTCAATATTGTCTCCTGTATTAGCTCCTGGACCCGGAAGCTTTGATACGACTGACAGGGTCCTCGAGCTACCAGCACCCACTCACAGCGAACTTCCAACTTTAGTTGGTCCTCAACATCCATATGCTCGCCCAAGTGATATCACGTCCTTGTTAAATCCACCCATGCAGACATTATCAGATGCTGCGTTACAACCCCATCATCATCTTCTACAGACTCAGCTCCATCACGATTCTGCTGCTACTCTCGCTTCACTACACGAAGCTACGAATATGTATCACCCCATAGACCCGCAGATTATATCACAATCTGCACACCACCATCATCATCCTCACGCGTTCAACTCATTCCACCCTGGTGACACGGTTGTACACTCTAGTCCGCATGCCCCAGATACATCACTGCCAGAGCATGAGCCTTACAACCCCCAAGATACACATTCCGCCGCCCTTCATGAAACCTTTCATATGCAGACACACCATCATTCCCATCACCATCCAGACTCCTTCCAGGCATTGCTTCACGGTACCGACAGCGTTGATGGCGAGGTACATCACCATACAACGCATCCATTGCACGGTGGGGACGATCATCCCGAGGATCAAGACGCTGTGGACAGGGACCTAGATATGTTGATCGAACAAAGCGACGATTCTGAGATGGATATTGACGCCGGTATAATAAATGATCCCGGCGCCAGGCGAGAAGAGGGGATTGATCCCCATGATAAGCCGACTACCAGTGCAGTAGGAGAAGAGCCCATAATAGGGGACATAGGGACCAGTAATACTGTCAAACGGAGCAGTATCTATAATGTCGTTTTTAACGGGCCGGAATGAGAACAACGTAGCCCCCACGCGCGGCTTCAACCCCCTTGTTATTATTTCACTACATCATATTTGAACATATTCCGCATACATACGAGCGAACCTTATTTCATCTCTATACGATATTCAAGTTGGCTAGCTAGCCGGCGTTGCTCACGAGCAAGGACTTGGCAATCGGTAAAATATAGACATAAGTTAAACTTAATGATACCAAACATTCAAGACGAAGCATGAGTTCATTTAGGGGATTTCTTGCTCCTCCTTTTTATTTATACATGTGTATTTACCTAATACAGCAGTTTACACATACATCAGCCCCGAGTCCTTTAGGTCCAGTAGTTCAATCCAGTTCCGGATCCGACCTCGCCCTAGTTTAATGACTCTGCTTGAACCCGGCACCGAAGCCAATGTCGTCCTCCTCGGAAAGATAAGCACGTCCCCGCGCCGCCTCGGCAGCCATAGCAGCCTCGTTCTCAGCTCTCTCCCTCTCCTGCTCCATGAATTTGGCGACGTCTAACGGAGTATTCCACGCCACTATGCCTTTCTTCGCATCGCGGATACGCCGCTCGTGGCCCGCCTCGCCGGCCCGTCCCAGCACGCTGCCGATGACGGCTAAGCATCTCAGACTACGTAGTAGACGTATTAGTTTCACTTGTTATGAAAAAAAAGACGGCAACAATATTTAAATACTGCTTGCGGGGACTGGTCTTACCTGTCGTCATTCGCCGGAATAACATACGTAACCCACGTGGGCTCTGCATTCGTATCAATAACCCCAATCGTGGGCACATTAACCAGCGCGCACTCGTGCAGCAGGACATAGTTCTCTATGGGGTTCAGACACACGACCAGGTCGGGAATCAGCGGCCGCCGGTCGATGAGATGGCGGTTGAACCCCTCGACGGGCTCGTCGTGCTCGTCCAGCATCTGGATGGGCATGCCGTTGAGAATGACCTCGGAGTTGGTGATGGACCCGGGCGTCCATTTCGTGAAGAGGTGGCACGCGCGTGCCAGCCGGGCGGCCTGCGTCACGATCTGGGTCTGCCCGGGCCGCGTGCCCACGAACAGGATCAGTCCCCCGCGGTACGCGACTTCGTCCACCACGCGCGCGGCCCGCCGCAGATGCGCCGCCGTCTCCTCCAGCGAGATGATGTGGATGCCCTGCCGGATGCCGTAGATGTACCGCGCGTTGGCCGGGTTCCACAGCGACGCGTGGTGGCCCATGTGCGCCTGCGACGCCATGAGGAGCTCCAGCGTGACGTCTTTTGGTCCGGGCGGGTACAGGAAGACGTCTGCTGGTCTATACGTGCGCTGGACCTTGGTGCCCACCCTGCCGATCATGGCCTTCAGCTCCTGCGCCATCTTGTAGTCCGCAACGGTGGTGTCGGGTGCTGCGGCCTTCTTCCGGCGCGAGGGGGCGCGGATCTTTGAATTGAATATGGAGGGATGTTGCGGACTGGCATTGACATCGACATTGGCATTGGGAGACTGGAGGGTCGGTTCCGTGAGATCGGGCACTCCTGTCGAGGTCGGTTGCGTAGAAAGGGCGCGAAGACAGGCCTGACGTAGAGGGGCGGCCAATGCCTTCCGGACATGGCGAACACCCATATCTCTTACAATCATGGCTGCGACAATTGCTGTCGTCTACTATGGTTTCATACCTCTATCATGCCTTTTTTCTGGTGGATTGATCCAAGTTCAATGCCTTGGTGGAGCTTAAACAAGGATCTTATCAGGCACTACGTATTCCCGTGCCGTATCGTTATCGCTATCGCTATCTTTATCATTATCGGACTGCACTCAATTGAAAATCGTTAATTAGAAGTATCTTCGTACCTCACTTTCTAACTGCCCGTACCTCCTAACCTAGGTACAAAGTACAATTTTCGAGCTCGCACATCTTAACCTCCGTCGTTGGCTTAAGGATTAGAATAGAGATATTACTATTATTAACAAGGCGCAAATAAACGAAAGTAATTACAGTAAAAAATAATTACAATCACAATATCCCAAATATTAAAAACAACAACTTAGAGCAAACAAGAGAAGCATGAGTTACTAATCTATGCATCATGAGGATTCAGAAATCTAAATTTCCGTCTCGAACTCGAACGATTCTGCAATCGCCAAAAAAAAAACCTCCCAATGACAATGCTCCAACTTCAGAAACACAACTTCTTACCGGCTAGTAGCTTTCGAGATGGTGAAAACGCCAATGATGACAATAGCTAGAGTGACAATGGCGCCGGGCAGTAACAGCTCGTTAGGCACACCGGCAATAACCTGGTCGGGCTCCGAGTGTGTGTGGGCCCTTTTACGACGTCTAACAGTCGCATAGTCTTCTTCCTCACTATCCTCATCCTCATCGTCTTCTTCTACCACCGTCCGTCTACGGCGCAGTTCCGAAGGGGCTGAACTAGGAGCCGGTGTAGCGATAGGATCAGGTTGAGGAGCAGTAACCGTAACTGGTGGCTTCTCGGGATCATACACAAACAGATCAACTTTCTCGTGGTGATGGTGGCGAGCTAGCAGGATTGCCTCGAGGAGATCTTGGTCGGTCGTAATGCTAACTGTGTCGCCTTCGTCGTCTAAGTAGCTCAGGGCAAAGCCACCAGTACTCAGGTTACCATCTTCCACTTCTGGAATACCCCCAATGGCCTCCACCTCGCTGCCAAGCTTTGCGGCCACGTGCTCAACGAATTGCGCGATACCTTCATTCGCGATGACTTGTATTCGATGTACGCGACCGCTTGGGGCCTTGAACTTAAATGCAAAGGGGATATCGGCAGGGGTTTGATGGGCTACCGCAGAGTGAATCGGTGACGACTCCATACCTACATGCGAAGCACTGTCACCAGGCGCAACGGGGTCATACGAACGCTCACGGTTGGCATCAGGGGACAGAATCGATCGCGACGCCATAGTACCATGGTGATGGCTACCATCGCCGGAAACCATAGACTCGGTCTCGTTATCGAGCGAGAGCCAGAATTTATTCCAGGCGGGGCCTTCATTGTCGCCCGATGTTCCCATAGTATTGATCTGCTCAAGCGTCGCATAAGTTAACTTGAGCACGTCCACCATGCCCACTATCTCGCCCTGGTCATTCATAACCGGGAGGTTAAGGTAATGGCCATCTGCATACTGTGTTAGCTCATATCCACTTATATCTCATAATTTTTAGTTGGTCGGAAACTAACCATGCATCTTTCGCAAAGCAGCCTGGATAGTCATATCCATGGGCGCAAAGTCGGGATGGGGTGTCATGACGCGGACAACGCTGCATGTCGACGGATCTAAACCGGGGGCGATGACTCGTAGGACCACATCCTTGCTCGTGAAGATACCCGTAATCTGACCTTGGTCTTGAACTAACACGGCAGTCGTGTGGTTTTCCTTCATCATCATCGCCGCTTCCTTCACAGTCGTTCTGACGCTGACGGTGGTGGGTGGCATCCCATTTAGAACGCTCTCTAACGTCGGGCCGGACATCTTGGAACGAAGAGCTTCGACATACTGGATGATTTGCTGAGGCTGACTGGTTCCTAGTTCTGACTGGACACCTTCTAAAGCTGCATAGAGCTTTGTTGAAGATGCATAAGCCCGTTCCAGCTTTTCCATAGCATCATAAAAGCATTTCGTAATGTCAAGAATACCAGAGATGTCCTGGTTCTCATCCATAACAGGCAGATGTCTAAAACCCTTGCGAACCATGAGATCCAAGGCCTCGGTGGCGCTGGTATCAGTGCGCGCGCATAAAGGATTCTTCGTCATAATCTCCGCAATGGTGATACTGCTAGCCTTTAGGCCGGCACCGACGACTCGGAAAGCCAGGTCCTTGGCCGTAAAGATACCGGCGATTCGGTCATCCTCGTCCGTCACCAACACGCAGTCCTCCCTCTTGGCTGCCATTAGCTGCGCGGCCTCGGAGACGGTAGTACCGGGCTTGATCTGGAGAGCGGGGCTCGGCTTCAGGGCGAGGACGGTTCCAGGAGGGGCTTTGCGCGAGTGCCGAGCCCGGCCCGTAATGTGATGCTTCTTCTTGGAGAGATCGTTCTCCAGCTTTCGCCTGATGGCCTAGTACAAGAGGTTAGTTTCCATACTGTTGTAACGGAAGCGCAAGCGCAATACTCATACCTCATCGCGCTTGCTTTGCTTCTGCCTGCTTGCGCTGACACCAGAGGCGACTTCGCTCGGAGCGGGGTGAGGATGACTTTCGTTAACGGGTCTTGGGATGTTGGAATTGGCGGGACTGCCAGGCCCAAACGACGGGGCAGGGGTTCGGTTCCCACCGCGACTAGGTGTACCTCTCATAGTTCCCGACATCGTGGACAGCGCTTGAAGATTTTGGCGGGGGTTGAAGATCGACTTGCAGGATGTTTGACGACTGGCGATGTTTCTGAAGGTGTGCACCCAATAGCAAAAAAGGATTTAACAATACTCGAAAAATTCGACTGCGAGCAACGATGTCAGCCGAATGTCAGCCGAGAAACCGAGCTTGTCAAAAGCAATGGCGCAAGCAACGACGTAACAGCGACAGCGATCGAATGATGTTTGATTACCTGCTGATAACTAGGGAAGACAGAATACATAGAAGAGATAAAGTATCGGTCAGAATATAGCGCTCCCTCGGGAAAGAATTGCGGGTCATTTCAAGTTGTCTCGGCGACCTAGAAGACACCTGCCCCGGTCAGGCGAGTTCCGAGTGAGGCTTCCAGGGGAAGAATAGGTACCTAACCTTAGGTATGTAGGTACCTACCTCATAGTACCTAGAAAATTTAGCCTACCAGCCACACCTACAAATCTGCCACAATTTGAGGGGGTTGAAGTGGGGTTGTTAATCGCTTAATAGGTACATGGTAGGTAGCCTTGAACCCCTCACTTCCACCACCGATTCGCTTTCAACTGTTCCAATATAACCTTTCTAGTTCTAATATAGCTGCATAGGTACCTACCTGGGTAGGTACCTAGGTGTATCCTACCTTTACTCACCCCGCCACCGAGATTTGGACTATTACTGATACAAAACGCAACAACAGCCAGCAAGCCAGGCACTATACATCCAGAGCCACCCAGAACCACCTAAAAATAGGGGTTGCAAATAGGAGTAGCATAGGGGTAAGTAAAAGTAAGTAAAAGCTCGTACCACCGTCCAAGCTTTAAACCCCTATCTTCAAGCCCCTATAATACGTCATTGTGTGCAAGTTCACATCTTTGCCATCAACGAGATGATATTAGAGTTGAGCTGGTTGACCCGGGAAGATGATTGTCTTTGAATACCGTGTTGGTCGTGAGGTTCACTCCACCGTACGTTGCTTCTAAGAGACGTTTTCATACATATCCAAAACTCGCCCAGTATCGAAAATCCGCAACCGATCTAATGAAGCAATAACTCATTGAACGCCGATCAGATATTGTTAGTTGTTAGTAGTTTACCGAGGCTGTACGAATATCAGAAGGTAGAACGCACGCGAATAACGATTAAGGCTAACTTGTGACAGAAAACTCAAAACTGATGTAGGCTTCGTCGATGCCCGCCTTCAAATGATGAATAACAATAAGTTATTGTGCCTATATAAAAGGTCTAAATTAAACTCCGAAGCTCTTGAAGCCCCTATGAGATATGTACCAGAAAATCAACAAGAAGCATTCAGCCTTAACAAAAGCTTAATAGACCTGTAAGATATCAGTGCAACCCAAAGACCCTGGTAAATTATTAAGGGGCTGAGTCAAGATTCAGGGTCCCAACAGTAAGGGTTTCATTAGATGATCTTTATAAGAATCTAAGTACAGTGTACCCAGCTCCGTATTACTTAGATACTAAAGAGAGCAAATTCAGTCGACTTAAGAACCGAAGCTCAGATTTACCCTACTTAGCTCAGTTAAATATGTTTGCATAAAAAGCCTGTAATCATAAGAATAATATTTGATATTTAATAATAACTTTCAAACAGGATATCTTGATAAATGCATAAACACTGACATACTAACTTCAAATAACCATCAAATGCCTCGTCATGTCGTAACCCCTAAACGCCCCTACTATGTATACAAAACTCGAAAGGATATCATAAATACACAACACTCACTATTCCACTTGTTAATTCCATAGTCTGGTTCTCCCTTCTACTAATGGACAGCTCCCTTATAGGGTTGTGCTACCGGTGTATATCTCCTTCGTTTCTGGCAGAAGCTGTCGATGATTGTTAGCATATACTCCGACGAAGGTCACGGTCTCCTATATTCGAATAGGATGATGAAGCGGGTGCAACCAAGATAGAAACTTACAAGATACCGGCAATGATTGCCGCGATCAGAGACGCGCCAACCCCGACGCAAACTCCGATGATGATTCTCTTATCAACACCGTTAACTTCGCCGAGCGGGTGCTCGCTGGAAACAGTAGGATCTCCTGAGGAAGTTGGCGGAGAAGTTGGCGGAGGCGCCACATAAGACACAGGGGATCCGGTCGTGGCTTCAACGCTCTTCGCGTTGGTGCCGAAGGGAACAAGAGTAGCAGCGCTAGCCCCGGTAGTCTCGGGGAACGTAGCTTCTGAATCTGAAGGCACCGCTGTGATGTGTGTCAAAGTACTCGTCACTTTCGTAGTAGTCTGCAAATCCGGCGGACAGTTGACCAAGCCTGTAGTCAGGCAGCCCACGCCGGTATAGGTAACCTTTTTACTCAGCGTAGTCGTTTCTAGTTCTTCATCAGCTCTAGCGCTGATCGCAGGAGTAGAAGCGGTGGTAGTTTGAGTGCGACCCTGGACGGCACAGATATCGGCTATTGTCGTCGTGTAGATGGGGATATTTGTCTACAATATGGTTTCAAGTTAGCATGTTCCATGTTCCAAGCTACTAAGGTTGGTCTGATGAGTTAAGATATATAGCAACTTACGCTAGGAGCTGGTCCCCATGTCTCTACTCCTATAGCAAGCGTAGCACCAGCAGCAGCGCCAAGACCGAACTGGTACGACTGCTCAACCTTTAACGAACAGTCTTCATCGTCACCCTCGGGAGCTGCGGTAATGTTTGTCGCAAATTCGGCGATATTAGCCCACACGCTAACACCTACACCAGCGCTCGCCTTCGTCGTAAACGAGGAGCTGGGAATCACCACAGAAGGAGTCGAGAGTTCAAATCCTGCATTCACTCCAATACGAAGGATAGCCTTGAGAAGACCTCCTGCACTTTCAACTGTTACCGGGAGGAACTCAAAGTTGGCTCCGTTACTGAAATTTTGGAATTAGCACCAGCGAACTGGTGTAAAGTTGAAAGGGGCGATTTGCTTACAAAGTAATGCTTGAGACATTTTGTCCAAATAAAGCCATGTCAAGGCCAACGCCATCTTCTAGCTTCATGTGAATTCCGCTGCTGATGTCGATCTCGGTATCTACACTCAGGATCAGGTCGACGGAGAAAACAACACCTATGAATAAGTCGCTGCTCGCCGAGATTCCGATGGGTGTTTTTGACGAGTAAAGATTCAAGTTGTAGGTTGCACCAGCTGATAACACTGTGTCGATGAGCATATATAACTCTAAGTCATCAAACTTGAACTGGAGGTGACACTCGGGGATATCTGGGACGTCGACATTGAAAGAGATATTTATCGGAGGGAAGTCAAAGTCGTCTAGGTCTATACCGTCTTCGAGGTTGTGGAAAACAGTTGGAAAGTAGTCTTCGATATAGTCAATGACTTGGTCAGTAGTATTTAAGATTCCCTCTCCAACTTCACTTGTGAAGTTCTTAAGCGCTTGTGTCACGTTGAAGTCTCCATCGATGCTAAACTCTGCTGTGGCGTTTCCCTTGATATAACATGTTGTACATGTTATGTCTACCCCACCGCTTATTGTAGCATTATTTTCAGTGTTTGTCTGGGCAGCACTGGACGGAAGGTTAGGTAACGAAGTGATATATAATCAAGTAGCTTGAAGGCTACGGTTCTGCTCACATGCTAAGTAGGGTTGCACCATTCCAACTTTTACTCAAAGCTGTACTGTTCTTTAGTACCGTATCTCTCCCTTGAAGTTTTATTTCCGCAAGGGACCGTCGAAGAGCACGAAGGGTATCTGCGGATGAAGAGCCTGGTGCATCCCGCACATCGACTAGAATATCTGATGGTGAAATGGACGCTGATACAGAGCTAAAGGCCGTAGCCCAGCTAAGCATAAGGAGCGGCTTCACGAACATGTTAGTGATTCGGAATTCCTAGGAGATATAGAGGTATGATTGTTATGACGAAGGAAATACGATCACGTACACTCTCACGAAAATACCCCCATTCATATTTATCCTAAGTTCCTCAGCCCCCGGTGCGGTGAGCTGAGTCTCGGGGAGCCTCGTGGGTTGATCCGGAAGAGGAAGCTAAACAACTATGGCTTCTACGGCACCCTGCATATGTGTTGACGAGGCGGAGTTTTGAGTTTTAGTTACAGATAAGAAATTAGGACATATTTTGGGGTCGCGAGCAGGGAAACGATTCCTATAGCCTCGTGGGGAATGCCACATGGATTACCGAAAATAGGTCGATGAAACCTTACAAAACCATTTGCCAGGGGTATTCAAACTCAGCTCCCGTTTCCGACCCGAAGCTCGAACCAACGAACCCGACTTTCGAGCCGAGACGACGCTGAATTTACACCTTACGCATACCAACAAGAGGAAGGTAATTGTCTACCAAGCCCGTCTGGAATTTGCCCCTGCGCATGCATCACAAGCAAGTGCAGCGTGTGATTTCCTAGCCCTTGCGACTCTACCCCGTATACATAGTGATAGCAATGATTCGATTGCTTTTTTATAGGTTGCAAAAGTGCACACGAACTTGATTTTCCTCTGAGACACGGCCAGTTTATAAAATGTTGGCTTCGGCCGCAAGCTATAAAAAGAAATATTAGTAACCCCAAACTCTACACATTACTATGTAAGTCTTAAGATACCAATTGGCAACATTGGGAGCGAGTATGAAGTCTACTTCTCAGTTACAAGTGATTGCTAGGCGGTAACTTTACTTTCTATTTTAAGTCGAGTAGTAATAGCGCATTCATCGCAGCATAAAGAGGCGCTAGACGCGAAATCCTTCCCTACTTTAGGAACTATTGCCGAACCCGAAGGATTTAGGCGTTGTGGTTCAACCTGCATGTTATTAGACACAGGTAACCTACTTCTTGCCCTTACCCTTCAGCATTTCTTCCAGCCAACATACTCCCTTACCTTGGACATATTCTGCCTGACGTGTTTGAAGCAGGGTCAACAATACTCAAGTGAGACTCAAGCCCCCCCGTCGTATTGAATCCTTATAACCCTCTCCGAAAAAGTTCCGTACGTGCGAGAAGAATGTTACTCAGATTTAGCTTGGAGATTCTAGGACGTCCGGTTGTCTTTGAAACGTAACAGTCTCCAACCAGCTGGTTAGAAAGATACTATTGGTTCAAGTTAATAGATAACAGCATGCAATGAAAACTCGCCTGGAGCCATCGCCACTCAGAATCTGGCGCTTCAACTATCCTCTCATCACCTTTGCTAGGAGGAAACTAGAAAGCTTTAATATCAAGTTCGAGAGCGGCGCTTGATACACGCCCGTATGGATTCAAATTCGCCATGATGACTATAGCGTCCCTAAGTTCAAATTCGGGAGAAAAGGGATTGTCTGGTTTAAATCCGCTTAACAGGTACCTAAACAAGACCATTGGGACTATGTGCCCAGCTCCAAGTACATAGGCGCGCGCGGTATACCCTCCCTCTAGTCTTTTAAGATAAGTTTTGAGGTCGGTCCATGCATAAGGGGTCCAAAGGAGGCGGCCAAATATTGCCGGTCTGGGAACTTATCAGATACAGACCTACATAGCAAGCGCAGAAAGGGCTGGAAATATGTCGTGCTCGTACGTAAGCGTAACATTATAGAATCAGGGGTTGCTCGTATAAAAAATCCATATATTGAATCCAGCAAAAAGGGGGGGGGGAGCCAGAGTCGGGACAGGTGTACAATGGAAACAATCCGATTGCTCGTCTCTGGCCAATGAAAGGTGATGATTATATGGGATCCCCTGCGACGATCATATGGAGCCGCTCCGGTCGGTTCCCTCGCCCCGGATTCCTATGTCAGCTCCACAAAGGAGAGATTTCGGTGCGGCATTCGGTGCATGTTGGTGGGTTGGTATCGAAGCCGTTGGAGCCCCTATAGGCTCTTTAAGTCTATTATTAAGCTCGTTTTAATAATAACTTATCCAATGGGGCCGACCGCGGAGCATTAAGCCGATTATTGCAGCAACATGTGCTATTTATTTTCTTTTATCTGGCCTAGTTACCAATTATTAGCCGTTCAAAGTTTTTATTTAATTTGTTCTACTTTAGCACATTTCATTCTAAACCACAACAATGGCTAGCCAAGAACATGGCCAAGAACATGGCCAAGAACACGGCGACCAACTTGATGAAAAGCAACATCCAGTATTGGCCACAGCTCAAGAAGAGATTACTTCAGATGCATCTTCTCACGATAGTGTTCATCTCGCCCAGCAGCATGGAACTGAAGACGACATCGAGGCTGTGCAAAGGACTGAAACGAGAGATAAGCGCACGAGGATTTCCTTGGATCTGAGAAGAACCGCTAGCAATGTACTCACACACGCGGCCTCGCACCTTACTACGAGGTCATGGCCAGAACCCCCTCCTCCTCCGGATGGTGGCACAACGGCATGGGTGCAAGTCGCAAGTATGCACATTTCAGAATATAGCAAAGAAGATTTCGCTAACTGGTCACAGTGGGATGGCTTGTTATCTTCACAACTTGGGGATGGGTCAACTCCTTTGGTAGCTTCCAGACTTACTACACATCAACGCTACCGCAGTCTCCATCAACCATATCTTGGATTGGGTCCGTGCAAATATGGTTTTGCCTGGTGATCAGCGTTTTCTCCGGACGTCTACTAGACGCCGGCCTATTCATTCCGACCTTCTTAGTCGGCGCAGTGATCCAAGTGCTTGGCATCTTCTTAATGAGCATCTCGACCCAGTACTGGTCTCTGATGCTGACTCAAGGCGTCCTGACGGGCATAGGGGCAGGGATCTTCTTCACGCCGTCCCTTGCCCTTGTCGCGACGTATTTTAAGAAGAGACGTGCCCTTGCAGTCGGACTGGCGACAACGGGAAACTCAGCTGGTGGTATTGTTTATCCGGTTGTTGTTAGGCAGTTGATTCCAACGCTAGGGTTCGCTTGGACAACAAGAGTACTGGCTTTTATCAACCTCGGTTGTCTTTCCATCGTGCTCGTGTTCATGCGTCCACGTCTACCTCCTAGGCGATCCGGGCCCATAATCGATTTTGCGGCCTTTCGCGATTCTGCGTACAATGGTGTCGTAGCTGGCATTTTCGCACTGATGATGGCTAACTATTTCTCTTTCTATTACGTGAGTTTTCCGTGAAGTATTGGATGCCCCAAAGCAAACCTTCTCTGCTGACAGATTGATCTAGATTGCCTCGTTTGGCAGAGAGGCTCTTGGCCTCCCGTATTCGACCGCTTCGATCATGGTCATCCTTATTAACGGAGCAGGAATCATCTTCCGAGTCGTACCACCAATAATTGCCGATCGAGTTGGACCAATTAACGTAATGGTTCCTGTTACACTCGCATGGGCGATCGTGGCGTTCTGTTGGCTTGCAGTGGACAACGTACCTGGCTTGTATGTCTTCGCCTGCTTCTATGGTATATGTGCTGGTAGTTTCCAGTGCCTAATAGCTACCGCTGTCAGTAAGTGACTTTGAGCCCTATTTCTTTCTCTTTTCAACCTACTTCACGCGTCGGAGTTTCCAAATACCTCTATTTGGAGTTGAAACTGGACTTGGGACGTGTTGAATCATCCGCAATTGCTTGGTACTAACTTTATTGGTTTCTTAGCCAGTATCACCAAGAGACTCGACATGGTTGGAACGCGACTCGGGATGGCTTTCAGCATTTCTTCATTTGCTTCCTTGACAGGACCGCCAATTGGAGGAGCTATTCAAGCAGCCAACGGCGGTAAGTTCGTAGGTGCACAGGTATGGGCAGCAACTATGACTACTATCGGTTTCTTCTTGTTTCTTCTTGTAAGAGTGCAAAAAGCTGGATGGAACCCTAAGGTGAGATTTTGAGAGATCAGGAAATAGGAACAATCCTATATAATATGAGCTATGATACAGAAACGATGGATTAATTGGGGATATGTAATTAGAATATTTGCTGGCATGGACATTACGGACTATTAGAATTAGTCTCTCGGATGAACTAAGCGCACCATAGTATGAATAGGTAGGTTCTATTGGATATATAATTTAACAGGAATGTTCGAGGGATTTCCTACTTGTTGAATTGGCAGTTATCTCCGGATAACTCACAAATGTAGCTCTAGTTAAACGAACAATATAAGTCATGAGTATCGTTAGGTATAAGTTCATAACAAGATTTATCAATTAAGACTATACAATCAATGCACATTTCAAGGAATATTATCAGTCGGGAAATCCTGTGATATATTGCTATAACATAGTTATTCTATCTTGTACATAGGTAGTTTACAGGTGCGGAAGAATGAAATATAGGAAGTGATTGTCGGGATTCTAGATGAGGCATCTAGAAAAAAGGGCACTGTCAAGTTGTTTCCTTGCTTCTTGGTCCACCTCGTGACAGTGATGAAACGCTATCTCCAAAATCTTATAAGACTTAAGCCTCCCAGAAAATGGGCTCACCCCTCTTCGCGCCTCCAGCGTCGGGGGATCCGGTGCAGTAGTCGTCATTCTTATCGCCGCCGATGCAACCCCTGGTGCACATCTCCTTGAATTGAATATCGCCGTGCTCAAGGCAGCTCCATAGAGATTGCTTAATGGTGTTGTCGTCTGTTGGCATGTTGTTGGCCCGTAGGTTGGTGATGATTTTATTAATGTAGTCGCCTGTAACACTCATCATTAGTATTGCATTTGCCCTCTTTGGTTGCTCTAGGAACTTGTCTGCCTAAAACTTGTCAAGTATGTCTCACCTCTTTCAAGAAGATAGGTACCGCAGTAGATGCCTCCGGTGGTGCAGCTTTTGGCAGTGGTAAAGCCAGCAAGAGCTGTGGTGAAGATAATTGCGACTTGGGCGAGTTGGACCATTTTGAAATTTTGAAGTGAATGGGTTTTTGAGTTGTTAAGAGATATCAAGTATGATGGACTTCGAAGGTATTGTAGATATAAGGTTGTTCTTGTTCTTGTTGTTGGTGTGTGTAGATTGATGCAGATAGTAAGTGTTGAAGGTGGAAAAGCATCTCAATTTATACAAAAGCTTCATGCTGTTGATGAGTAGTCTTTTACTATATCGTACGTAACTCTATCATAAATTCAATCTTAGCATTATGTCATTACAATAGTTCCTGATCCTTATTCTACTCAGCTTGTAAGAAAATATAGCCTCATCTTTCACATTGGGTCCTCTGGGCACTTCCTTTCGACGTCATTGTTACACTTCTCGCGATCAGTTACTAGATGTGATGTTTTGTTTAAATATTAATAGAAGGATCTTCAGAGTAGCGCATATCAGCGTGGAGCTACCCAGCCACCCTAGCTTCAGCTCTTACATAATTCTTTTTTTTAGTCTAGACTCAATGGCCCCCAGTAGGATCACAACAGTCATCAATACTACAAAACTACAATGCCTATTTTGGTGTTTCTCGGCCCCAGAGTCAAGTTGGATGCTAAATACCAAAAATGCACATGTTGAATACGGAACACAAGACAAACAGGTTTGGCAAGAAGGAAGCAGTGAATTACTTTTGACAAGGGCATGTCCAATTAGAACAGCTAATAGAACTAGAATGTACAATTTTAGAGATTTTTTAGACCAATCAAATTACATAGATTTTGGAAGGTAACCCACTGTGTCCTTCTCTGAGGACATAGTAAATAACAGTCTTAAGAAGCTATAGAGCTATACAGTAGCAGTCTCTCAAAATATTACGGTTCTTAACAGATACTTCCTACAGTAACTTCTTCCAATTAATCGAATATCCCCGTTTGCTAGCTACGAGAATAAACCATGATTCAATTATTCAATTAATCTAACTTTAAAACAATGATTTAACTAGAACTCTTTCCAATTACTCCTTAGTTAGGAGGCTCCGGACTTCGCTCAAATCACTTCCATCTTTCTCTTCAGCATTTCTCACGACTTCGAGGGCCGTTCTACCCTCAGCGTCTCTTTTCCCTATGTCTGCGCCATGCTCCAGCAGCATCTTTACTATTCCAACGTGTCCTTTGCGCGCTGCAATATGCAACGCCAACTCAGGAATTCCCCCTTCTATAACGTCCTTATCCTGCTGCGCACCATGCTCAAGTAGATATCGCACCATACTTTCGTTCCCTCTTCCTGCAGCTGCTGCAAGCGCTCCTGTGTTTTCTATATTTGCGCCATGCTCCAGTAAAAGTGCCGCAGCGCTGGTGTCGCTGTAGAAAGCTGCCACAGAAGCCAACGGAAATGGTGCAACGTCGGGATCTTGATTCGGGTCAGCGCCTTGCTTAAGTAGAAACTCAAGGAAGTTGACCGGTTGTTGGCTCTGACATGCTAATGCGAGCGGTGTACCACGTCTGTCAAATTGATAATTTATAATTGAAGGGTCTTTAGAGAGAAGGGCAGCGAAGAGGTCGATAGACCCAGAGTAGACAGCTGCGCGGATGGTTTCTTCGTTGAGAGACATGGTGGGGTATTTTTTCTAAAGGAAAGGAAATAATAGCGATGGTGAGAGTTGAGACTTTTCCGCTGTATGTATTATTTGTATGTATTGTTTTTAAAATACAATAATAAATATCATGATTACATTTAAAATTATTACTTCTTAGGGAGTTACTAGTTAAAATGCCTGCTTAAGGATTCGGCGATCTGCACAGCCTCCATATCCCATATTTAACAATGACGTAGTTTCGGGGGCTCAACACTGATACATCCAACCATCATCCCAAGCTTGGCTGATGGCTGATAGCTGACAAGCTGAAAGCGCATAACCAAACAAAGGAGCTTAGTGAGGCTCCTCCAGACATGCCATAGCCGCCGATCGGATGATCAATATACTATTCACAGAGATATGATGAGATATGATATTCATGAGATCGCAAAATCTTTCTTCAGACGGACATGATTGACTAGTGAGTGGATTGGAGGATTCAAAATAGCCAATGTCGACTAGAATAGCTCTTGCGTTAATGAGCGGCTCAGCTTATAGTCTATCAAGTTTAAAGCATGGCCATACAATTGGCATGACCTTCGAAGTGTATATAGGAAAGAGAAGTCTCAAGCTATCCGACGATTGTAATAAACCATTAGGAACTCATCGCCTTGTAAACATTCTTAAAGTCACATATTATCCAGTCACGCCGATATTTCACACTAGCATTAATATTCATCATTCACCATGAAGTTCCTCGCCGTATTTGTTACTGGGCTCTCGCTCGCCATCCAAGCCGAAGCTGCATGCCCCACGGTCGACCAGATACGTACCTGGATCAGAAACCAGGGCATCACTCTCGACAAGACCGTTTTCTACACCAGCCCATCTAGCACTAACAGGGACGCCATGAACTATGCCAACAAGATCAACGGAAAGTTCTGGGGTAACGTCTACCCTAATGACCAATACTATGACTGGCTCGGCGAATGCGGCCCGGGTTCTGCCCAAGACGACCTTGCTCCTCGAATGTCCGAAGCTCTTGCAAGAGAGACCACGGGTTCAGCATATATATTGTTGAAGAAGGGCACAACCCCAAGGCCGGAATCGGTTTTCAGTATGATTGATAATAACCTACGCTACGTTAATCTTAACTGCAGCTAATTTCCTTGATAGTGGTCTACGAATACCCGAACCTCAACGTCAAGGTCTATGCGGTTAACCCGGAGAACCCAGACGAGACGAAAGAGTGGACTCCAGGCACAAGCTGGAAGCGAGCGGTTCCGTTCGGCGATGTCCCGGTGTAAAAATAAGCACGAAAAGACATATATGTTAGGATATTTGTATCTGTTAGTAGCGGGTCGTGTAGGGCTATTTTAGGGTTAGGTATTTAGGGTTAGTATATCGACGTTGTTTTACCTTCACGCGTTGGGTCGTTTATATTTGTTACAGTAACGGTCTGTTGTTGAATCCAATTTAAATCATCTCTCGGTCAAACCCTTATGATACTTGTAAACTTCCTGCGAGACGAACAAATTTACGTGACGTTATATTGATTTGACGTTTGCTACCTCAGGGGGTGACAATGGACTTCATAGGAGCCTATATATTTATAGTTGAGAGTTAGATGACCAATTCCTCTTTTTTCCACGTTGCTCTATTTATGAATGCAGGTGTACTCAGATGAGACGAGAAGTTAAACAGCTGGTAGTCTGCGGTTCTAAGAGCGGAGTATAGACTGAGCCTGGCTTTGTCCCGAGTAACTGTTGCTCGGCAGTAGTCTATTTGGCTTAGGGCAGCGTAAGCTGGGCAGACACGCATAGCGATGTCGATCATCCTATATGCGTAACACCCTCTCCGCAGCACTGCCTAGACCATCTTTGTATCCTCGCGGTCATCGTATTAAATGTACAGCCTCTCTATTGGCTTACATCCGGAGAACCAGGATAGTTCGAATCAAGAGCCCGCGGGCACCTATTCAAGTTTAGCACTACTCCAATCCGTATCCCAACCTGCAACGCGCATGACCTCGCAGTCAAGTAACGCAGCAGCAAAGCGGGGAATGTTGCCTTGGGGTAATCTGACATTCCGTAGCTGGAGTACTATATCTCGGATATCCCCAAGATGAGACTTTATATTGTTCTGTCATATTTCTGTCATGAGCGATATATGATATATTAAGCTGTACTACCTCACAAAATCAATATGGGTTTATACCAGAAGTTACCAGCAGATATTAAGGAGGTGGATATAATCATTGCTGGAGGTAAGGAATAATAATGATTTACTGTTAACTAATCCTGCTAACAGATTACCGTATGAAGGTGGGACAGCTGGGTGTATCGTAGCTGGACGGTTGGCCGAAGCTGATCCAGAGCTCTCGATTCTAGTCATCGAGGGTGGCCAGGAAAATTATGATAACCCTAAAGTAGTAACACCGGCACTTTATCCCTTGAATTTCCAACCAGATTCAGAAACAGCAATTTTCTACAAGTCTGCCAAGTCAAAACACATTGCCAATCGGGAATATATCGTCCCTTCAGGGGGTACTCTAGGCGGAGGTTCCTCCATGAATTTCTTGATGTACGTTAATACGTAAATGCAACGTAGAAAACCACGCATGACTTACCGAGACCTTCTCCAAATTAGGTACACGCGAGCTCAACGCGATGACTACGATTCGTGGAATACCCCCGGTTGGGCGACAGACGAACTGTGGCCATACCTAAAGAAGGTACCTAAAGTCACCTACATTTCACATGTCTGATAGTCCTACTAACAACTCTTCTACTACTTAAGATAGAGACTTACCACGGGCCAGGAAACCCAGAACATCATGGCTATAACGGTCCAATCCAAGTATCCGATGGGCCTTTCCGCGGCAAGTCTATAGAGGACGACTGGCTGCGCGCCGCAGAACAGGTCGGGTACCCGGAGATAAAAGATCTCCAATCACTAGATACTAACAACGGCTTTCAACGCTGGCTCAAATATGCCACCCCCGAAGGAAAACGTTCGGACGTAGCTCGCGGGTATATACATCCTCGACTACGCGATGGTAAACATCCCAACCTGCACGTTCTAGTAGAGAACAACGTGGTGCGTGTTCTGTTTGACGAGAATAGACGAGCGTATGGGGTAGAGTTTACACCCAACACACGATTCCAAGGCCAGGTAAACGGCTCGGTACCACATACCAAACAGACGATCCGTGCCCGAAAGCTCGTGATTGTGTCATGTGGCGCCTGCGGTACGCCCCCCGTACTAGAACGTTCCGGAATCGGTTCTAGGGATATACTAGACCGAGCCGGTGTTCCCGTTGTCCAGGAGCTCCCCGGGGTCGGGTCTGGTTACCAGGACCATCTAAAAGTGCCTTCCGTATTTAAGACATCTCTATCCCAGGACGAAACAGCCGACGCTCTGCTGAGCGGACGGCTGTCTTTCAAAGACGCAATCGCCCAGGAGCACCCGCATCTCGGGTGGAATTATGTAGATCTCGCCTCCAAGATTAGGCCGACGGATGCTGAAGCCGCAGCTTTAGGGCCCGAGTTCCAGGCTTCGTGGGAAAGAGACTTCAAAAACCGCCCTAATAGACCACTCATAGTGATGGTTGTCGTCAGCGGGCAAGTACCTGATATCCCCGGAACCCAACTTGATAATCATCTACATCTCTCGATTACTGGGCAGGAAATCATAGAGTGCTAACACGGTGTTTAGATTATACGGGGACAACTCTTCAGTATTGCCCACTGGTCAATTCGTGACCATTTTGCCTTTCACAGCCTACTCCTATTCGCGAGGTCATATGCACATCACAGGCCCCGAAGTTAGCGATGCGCTCGATTTCGACACAGGTTTCTTCAACGACGAAAACGACATAGACCTTAAGAAGTTGATTTGGTCGTATAAGAAGGGTCGCGAAATCATGCGGCGGACTTCTATGTATCGTGGTGAACATCCGCCCTGCCACCCCCGGTTCCCTGAGGGCTCTAAGGCGGCTCTCATTGAGAAGTGGGATCAACCTGCTAAGGGAGGCCCGGTTGTCGACCTGGAGTACTCGGTAGAGGATGATGCGGCGATCGAGCAGTACATCCGAGAGCGCGTTGAAACTTCTTGGCACTCGCTAGGTACGGCCAAGATGGCGCCGCAGGATGAGATGGGCGTCGTGGATAAGAACCTAAATGTATACGGTGTACAAGGGCTTAAAGTGGTAGATATGAGTATCGCACCAGAGAATGTCGGCGCAAATACCGCTAATACCGCAATGGTAATCGGGGAGAGAGCAGCAGATATTATTGCCAAGGAACTCGGATTAGTTCTTAACTAATGCTATTAACTAATGCAAGTGTATGACAATGCTGTTCTCGATATCTTGGAGGGACCTGGCAGGACAAGGGATGGGATCTTGAAATTGGCAAATTTGTAAATTGGTTGTTGGTCTATCGGCACAAGAAGGGCAAATAGAAAGAAAGGTACAAAAGGATACACCGCTGCGATTTCAGCTCGGCTCTACTCGGGATTGGGCATCTTTTCGCTTCATGGCGGAGATATCTTTTATAGTACAATAAGCTAACGATTACGCCCACTTGAATCGGGTCCCTTTCGTTTAGTATTGTGTTAGACAGGATGGCTGAATACCTCCTGCACTTGTGCTGCGTAATATAATAGTAAAAAAGCATTGCAAAGTGCATGAGAAAAGTAGACTATTTATGCGAAGTACAGAATATAGGTAGGTACCTATATATGTACATATATAAAAGAGTCCAGGGACTTTAGGAGCTGATAGGTTAGGTAAGGTAAATTGCTTTGCTGATCATGGTCAAATTTATCGATGTCGACAAGCGGCAAGGCGTCTGGATTCGAACCGATCAATCCGAAGAGAAGAATTGCGGCTACCTACATACCTGAAATGCTTGTTAGTTCTAAAATTATTCACAGGCTTTGGCACTACGGAGTGAATGTTATTGGCGGTGCTTGTTGCGCTTGACTCTTTTCGACGTAGTGGGATCGGAAATGCTGAATACGGTGCTTATTAGCACTGCCAGAACACGAGCTGTTGAGGCCATACACACAGTATGCCTGTAAAATAACGGATACGTGGGTTCGTGATGGACAAGGATCTCCCTTCCAAGACCCGGTAATAGAATGACAGGGGATCAGATAGAATAGGCTATCAATGCAGCACGGTAAGTCTCTTTGTTATGACATATTTTATAGATATATCATGGCATTAATATCCGACAATTTTCTTTGTCCCCCTCCACCCTTAGCTTGTGTGGTGACCCGAACCCGACGTACGCCAGGATGAAGTCTTTCTCGACCTTGGCAATAATTGCCGGCTTCCTTAGCGAACCCGTCTTTGGCGCACCTTCATTTGCAAGACGGCAAAACTCAACTAGTTGGGCTTCTCAGGAATGGGATGCCATCGTCGTCGGTGCTGGAACAGCTGGGATCATCGTGGCTGATAGGCTGAGTGAAGCTGGGAAGAAGACTCTTCTGGTAGAGCTTGGTGGTGCTTCGTACGGAGTTACGGGAAGCACAGAAAGGCCGGCATGGCTCGACGGGACATCGCTAAGCCGCGTTGATGTGCCTGGATTATGTGAGTATATACTTACATTCATAATGTCTAATCGTTAAGCTAATAAGCTGGGTACCTTAGACAAGAGTATCTTCAATGGAAACACAGATATCTTGTGTCCTCCAGGTATCGTAAATTCTTTCCAGGCATGCACCATTGGTGGGAACAGTGCTATTAATGCCGGTCTGTACTTCCAACCTCCAGCTTCTGACTGGGATGATTATCATCCAGAGGGGTGGAAGAGCGCCGACGTCGAGGATGCGACACAAAGACTACTGGACACGCAAGCTTCGATAACAAGCTACTCGACAGACGGCAAGTTCTACATGCAAACTGGATATGAGGCAGCAAAGAAATGGCTCGTTGATGGAGCTGGGCTGTCCGAGGTGGTGTTCAACGAAACCCCAGATAATAAGGACATGGTCTTCGGGCGGCCATCCTACAACTACATTGATGGTCAACGAGGTGGTCCAACCAGGACATACTTGCAAAATGCCCTGAAGAGAAGCAACTTCCACCTCCAGACGGGTGTTCACGTTAAACACATCAACCATATCAACGGCATAGCTTCTGGGGTTACTGCCGAAGTTGATGGATCACTATTAGAAATCAATCTTTCGTCCCGCGGTCGAGTGATTCTGAGCGGAGGCGCTATTGCTTCCCCAGGTCTCCTGATGCATTCTGGAATTGGTCCTCTCGAAACACTCATGAACATGACCGCATCTGGGTTCCTACCTCTCAACTCCACGAGTTGGGTCCCTAACCCATCAGTCGGCGAGGGTCTTTTCGATAACCCCAACACCTTCATCGAACTCGCCGGACCAGAAATCGAGTCGTACGTTCACGACTACAACAACCCCATCCCTGCGGATAGAGATCTTTACCTGTCGTCACGCAGCGGTCCCTACGCTTCTGCGTCTCAGACCTCTGCTTTCTGGGCATACGTGCCCAATCCCGACGGCACCAAGACCGGAGTCCAAGGTACAATCGACTCATCCGGTCACGGGGAATTTGTGAGCAATAAGACCATCACGCTCAACATCTATGGTACCTCGGGTCTATATTCGGCGGGACGTGTTATCTTGTCGGACGATGGGAAGTTCATACCAGGTCCCAGCTCCGATGTATACTACAGCGACCCTCGTGACAGCGAGAACATTGCAAAGTTCATCCACACCATCTTCCAAGCTCTGCCATCCTCGACCCCAGACTCGCCGGCTACCGATGGCCTCACGCCGCTTAACATTCCTCAGAACTCGACCCAAGAGGAGATCCGCACGTATATTACCACGTGGTCTGACTACGCAGTCGGCTCTGTCCAGCATTGGTCTAGCTCGTGCAGGATTGGGAAGTGTGTAGATGCGGACACGAAGGTCATTGGCACCGACAACATCTACGTCGTCGACGCGTCCATCCTCTCTCCGCTGACTGTCAACCCGCAATTCGGCGTGATGGTTGCGGGAGAGAAGGGTGCGGAAAGGATATTGGAAACCTGGTATTAGGCTGGTGTGGGCAGCTCTTGTTTAGATATATGGCTTCATGCATCGGGCGGCGTTCATCTTATACCATAATAGTACATAATAGTAGACAGGGCGTATGATTACGTTTTATAATGATATATTGATTGCATGCATCATCATCGGTGTCTTCTCATCTATAATCCTAACCTCCACCTCCCCCGTCTACTCCCCCTCCTATATTCTCCGGTTACTCCCGTCAGAAGCCGTTCTACCTAATTGTATCTAGGGTACATTCTTATTGGTGGCTATCGACGCAATCCTCGTGTAGTGGGCCGTAGCTGTAGGGCTAGACTAGGTCGCATTTGAAGCCACCCACTCACAGCGGCAACTATTAGGATATAGGTAAAAATTAGCTTGCATCTGCCACAACAGGATCCAGTACATTGTAACTTGGATTCTTCCACAGGTCGGATGGTGTAGTTGGTTATCACGTCAGTCTAACACACTGAAGGTCCCCAGTTCGAGCCTGGGTTCGATCATTCAACCATTCATCAATAAAGATGAATTCATATTTTTATTTTTCCCCCCTTTTTTTCCTGTCAATAATGGGATATATCAATAGGTGAGTTATTGCTATTTGTTCGCATCGTCTTTAATGATATACAGCAGCAACCGCGGTATGGGCTGCACCTCTTTTACTCACGCAAGGCTTCTTCGTCCAGTTATCATGCTAATTCCTCTTCCACCTCCGCTCCCTTGCATGGCGACGATGGTACAATTTTATCCAGTCCTTTTAATATATAGGTAGGTAGTTACCTACCTAATCTATACTTGTTAAGTATACGCAGTTAATTAGCATGACACGAAAACAGTAAAAATAAGTGTCCTCTTAGTGGACTGGTTATCGACTTTGCAAACAGATATATCCAGTAGCTACAACAATTGATAGAGACTGAATTCTATAGTTACAATGGGATTTTATACACATATTTGGAGGGGTTTCACCACATTCCTGCATTCTTACATCAGGATAGTATGCCCCCCTGCGTCCCAGTAGATCATACCCTATAGAGGTAAACCCAAGTATAGCAACGTATATACGTGCATATAAAGACCCCATGGAATTCGTCCACCAAGACGGATACCGCGGGATGCAGAGCGCAGGCTTAACATACCTATAATTAAGAGACAGTCGTCCTACGGGAAGCAAATGCTATACTAACCTACTTAATTCTGTTTTATACTGCACTTAGTTATCCGTAGGGATCGCACGCGAGTCAGCAGCAAGACAGCCATGAGCTCTCCCGACGACGCAGTAGAGCCGTTCCGAATCGCAGTATCGGGCCAGGCCATCGAGGCGCTGAAGGCCAAGTTAGCGTTGGCAACGTTCCCGCGGGAGACAAGCTTTTCGAACGACGGCGACTACGGCGCGCGGCTAGACGACGTGAAGAGGCTAGCGACGGCGTGGAGGGACACGTTCGACTGGAGGGAGGCCGAGGCAAAGCTCAACGATATATTGCCGCAGTTTACGACTAGGATCGCGGTTGATGGCCACGAGGATGACTTGAAGGTCCATTTTGTGCACGCACAGAGTGAGAGGAAAGATGCGATCCCGTTGCTATTTTGCCATGGGTGTGAGTCTCTTTTACCCCGCTACTTTATCCCTCTACAGCTCAGCTCAGCTCAGCTCAGCTCAGCTATTGTCGAGTACGGATAGTGAGAATAGTAGACGTTCATTAGAGAATTGGGCTGATCTACGACTGGTGAATAGGGCCCGGCAGCTTCATCGAAGTCACCAAGATATTGCCGCTCTTGACGGCCGGGGCCGGAGAAGACGAGCCGGCTTTCCATGTTGTAGCGCCGTCGTTGCCGAACTTTGGCTTCTCGCAGGCCACCTCGAAGCCCGGGTTCGGGATACCGCAGCACGCCGAGGTGTGCGTACGTAGTAGCATAAAGCTCACCTTTCCCCTTTCCCCTTTCCCTTCCAGCTCTCCTCGACAACCCAGTTAGTTCTACGAAATATCTACAGACTACAACCCCAAGACATTCAACCACCCAAGTATAACCAGCATCTAACCCCACCCACCACAGCACAACCTCATGCTCCGCCTCGGATACGACAAATACGTAACGCAGGGCGGCGACTGGGGATACATGATCACCCGCGCCATGAGCGCAAGATACCCCACGCATGTACAAGCATCGCATCTAAACTTCATCCTCGCCTCTCCGCCCAGCCCGCTCTCCTCGCCCCTCCTCTGCCTCCAACACGCCTTCGGCCTCTACACCGCCGCCGAGAAGGCCGGTCTCGCACGCACCCGATGGTTCCAAGCCAACGGTTATACTACGAAGCGATGCATCAGAAGGATGTGGTTTCGGCAGGAAAACAGACTGCGCCTGTCCAGGCTTGGAATGGGAAAGTCCCGTTAGGATTATCATATTTCCCCAAGGACATAGCGGTGCTGCCGAGTTCGTGGGGGAGGACGTGTAAGTCGGCTCTTAGGTTTTCTTGTCTGTTTCTTCGAAGCTGTTTATTAACTTTTGGCTGCTGTAGTAGGACCGGTAGTATTTGAGAAGAGACATGAGCAAGGGGGACACTTTGCTTCGTTCGAGAAGCCCGATGAGCTAGTCGCTGATCTCCGAACCATGTTTGGGAAGAGCGGGATTAGAGCGAAGCTGCTATTCTGAGACTAGCGAATATCATCATTTCACATTCACCAAAATCAAATGTCAAACTATGCAGGTATTAGCAATGCGAATCGCGATGCATGTTGGCCAGTATCAAGTTGCATCTGGCCGCGATCCTTCTCTATAAAATTACTGTCTGATATAAACTAGTAGTGACATCTAGGGTCGAAGCCTAAGTGTAAAGAGCAAAGAAGAGATCATCGCGGAGGGACTAAGCCCCATCGAAACGCCGAGCCAAGATGATTGTATAATCCATCTTTCCCTTCCTAAACCAGCCAGTCCATACCACAGAAACATCATCCGAACCGATAACTCCATTTTCCCACCAGGGATAAATTAACCAGTTCATCGTAGTATCGTAGACAGGTAAACCCTCCCTCACTGCCCAGCATCATCAACCGGTCTCTTGCGCTTCTGGCCGGCGGCGGCAGTTTCACCCGAACCCGCATTAGTAGAAGCGGAAGCTCCTGGGCTCGTCTGCGCAGGCATGGCACGTGATGGTACGCGTCGTCCTCCAGATCTGCCGGCGGTAGGAGACATATCCTATTTGTCGTCCTTACCAGGCATGACCTTGGCGGCCTGAACAGCGTGCACTTTAGATATCCAGTTAGCTGAAGGCTGCACCTTACGCACGGTTCGCAATTCGTCCGACGTGTATCCCGGAATGCGGATGTTGTAAACGCGCTCGAGGACGAGTTGAATGTCTCGTATTTCGAGCACCTTGCTACCTCGTTCCTTAGCAAGGCGGCAAGCTGTGTGCAGGACGTTGTCGACAAAATTATCGGCGACGCTGAGAACAGACTGGAAGGTATTTGTTAGTATAGCAGGCCGATAGGAACGGAGAGGTATGCGCTACTATTAATTATGATAAACTTACCTCTTCGACATCAGGGGTTAGATAGTTGCCGTCAGCACCAGGGGAGCCGCCACCGCAAACCTGGCGAACCAGCTCGTCGAGCTTCTTCTTGGAAAGCACATGTTCACCTTCGGCATCGAACTGGGCAGGAGGCATCTTAGAAATGACGGGCTGGCTCATAGTTCCACCCCCGGTTGCACTACCGCCACCATACGATGGACGACCGGCAGTATTTCCTCCGCCAACGCTGACGGCCTGCGGAATCTCTGTCGCCTTGGGGGGCAGATTCTTGCTGATAGGCATCTTGGGGTTCATCGCAGGAGTGGTGGATTGTGGGTGCGCGTGAGAGTGAGTGGGATGATTCGCGTTACCAACTAAGCCACCGGACCCAGGTGTTGACGCAATGCCACCGGATGAATTATTCGCTTGACCGGTGATGTTAGTTGACGAATTGGCACGGTTAACGGCGGCAGCGTGAGTTAGTGGACGGACTTGGGATCCTGTCACTTGCCCTGCAGATTGGGGAGTCTGGACACGCGCTGATGCTTGAGTTGGTGTTCCCGCGGAAGGTATGTGCGCCGCAGCGGCAGCAAGAGCAGTGTTGACCGGTGGCGGATGCGGCATGTTGTTGGAAGGTTCGCTCTTAATCTGGGGTTGATTAGAAGGCGCAGGATGCGATTGGGGTTGCTGCTGAAGCTGGTGCTGAAGTTGTTGCTGATGCTGAAGTTGTGGACCTACGGAAGGTGTAGCGGGAGTAGCAGGAGTCCCAGGGTGCTGTTGCTGGTGCTGTTGGTGCTGCTGCTGGTGTTGCTGCTGGTGTTGTTGCTGAGTTTGATGTGGTTGCGGCTGTGATTGAGCCTGAGGTTGAACCTGATGTTGAACCTGAGGCTGCTGCTGCTGCTGCTGCTGCGGTTGTGGTTGCTGTTGCTGTTGCTGTGGCTGCTGCTGTTGCGGTTGTCCGGCGGGGATCGTTGCCCGGGAGGCTGCTAATTGCTGGCTCTTTGCTGCATCCATCGCTGCATTCACAGACGCGGTTGCTGCTTGCATAGGGTGGGCGGCTTGATTCTGCATAGGTTGTGGTCGGCCTTGTTGGGCACTCGACCCCGACGCTCCAACATTTTGAGACGCTTTCATCTGTCCGCGAACATTCTCGAGGAATCGTTGTGCCTCTACGTATGTCTTCTGATCTTGGGATTTGCTTTCCTGATACTTCCTGAGCTCCTCCACAGTCATTGCGCCCTTCTCTTGTCGTTCTTTTACCATGGTGTCCATCCTGGTCATTTTCGACTTGATAGCTTCCATCTGCATAAGATTCCGAAGATACCGCTGCTTCATTTCACCCAACCATTTCTGGCCTTGCTCCGGCGATATCTGGGCCGGTATCCGCAAAGCTTGCCATGGAAGCTTGTTTACATGATCCATCAGAGCCTTAGGCACGACTGAAGGGGCCTGCTGCCCGACTGGAGTGGCATTGGGCGCGGCAGCACCAGGAGTTGCGATATTACTACTCGGACCTACCCCCGCTGGTCTACTTACAGGCCGTTGGGGTGCGGCTAAGCTGCTCTGAGCTTGCTCACTCTGTATATTTTGTTGCTGTGAATTGGGGCGACCTGGCTGGCCTGGTTGGTCCTGAGAACTTGCTTGATTTCTTGCTTGTATAGTTTTGACTTTGTTGTAAACCATTCGGGAGAACTCGGCGACCTTAGCTTTGGCCTCTTGATGCTCTCGAGTTTCTGATCCGTACTGTTCCATCTTTGCGTATAGTCCTTGAAGCCCTTGTTCGTACTTCCGTTTCTCGTCATCGGTGAGGTAGTTAACCGTACGCATCTGCTCCGGTCGGAGAAGTCGCAACATGTTCTGCCCTTGGGCGGGCTGCCCCTGAGCTGGATTCATCCTTTATGTGATAGTTGACGGTGCAAATAGTAAGGTTCAAAAGGGAAGTCGTGTGCCTCGACAATTGATGGAGACTGCTAGGAAGTGGCTAGGAACAATCCGATGTATTGAATTATTGAATGAAACTGTATTGAATTGGATTGGATGAGGAAACGGAATTCGTACTTGGATCTGCTGAGCTTCCGCACAAACTAGTTACAGAGAAAATTAAAAGATGACGGAGGGGTTCTGCTTGATTAAATAGAAGCTTGATGAAAGTTGCATGGACGCGTTGAAAGCCTCGAGGCTGACCACAGATGTGCTATTACCTAACGATAAGGTGTGGCTTAAGCTAGTGTCAAAACTTCCAAGGTACATAATGTGGCACAGCTGTTAACAGTCACGTGCATGGAGTGTCTTGGGTACATAGGTACCTAAGTTACTTTATATGCACACTGTACATGAACCATCAAGGTCGTCAGTTAAGTAATATAAATTTATGAGGCCTTTCGCCAGCTTGGCTATCAATCTACAATAATTCCTAGGTTTGTTATACTTTGGGAATAGTAACTAGGTACCTAGGTAATTAGTCTATGATTGTTATCAGTTTACTCAAATACTCTTAACTTATAAGATATAATTATAACTACCTATGTAACTATAGTTAGTTGCAACCCTTATAAACAACCAACTGAGTTAAAGTTGAAATTAAGTCGGTATTAAGTAGCAACTAAATCGTTTACTTTCTTGTTTTTTTACCTTAGTTAGAGGAACGTCTAAGCTCTTAAATAATTGGCTTGGAAAAAGCTTTCGTAAAGATCCTATAAATACCTTGGGCAACTAAGCCATAAATGATGAACTAACATATATCTAATAAAGATAATCCAAATCTTTTTAAGGTATCGAGTGTTCTACAAGCTATCTAACTAGTAACCAAGTAGCCGTAGTGTACACCACAGATATCCTAAGCTAAAGCTGATAGGTCTACTCGAGCCACCAATCATCCATGTATCCAAAGTCTATATGCTATAAATAACTTAGAAGAGCGCAGCCTAGTTCTCCTTCTGAGCGGCCGCTTCTATGCAAGTATCGTCGACATCGTCATCATCATATCGTCTACATCATTGTCGTCGTCGTCGTCGTCGTCGTCGTCATCGCCTAGCCGCTCCCAATCCATCCGCTGAGTCCAAGTCTAAGGTATCTAAAAGCGAGATGAGAAATAAACAACGTGAAAAGCTGAGCCCTCCGTAATGGTCTCCCAGGCCATGTAGCCAATGTTCTATGCAAGTAATTTCAATACATATTGCTGCGATCACAGCTCCCGCGATCCATAATTGTCTGGTCCGGTCGAAAACCAATCGCTGTAGACTTTTCTGTTTTTAGTTCACTAAGCCTCTTGCGACGGTCAGGTTCCATGACAATTGGCAGAATGTCAATATTAATGCGTCCATATTCGTAAAGTATCATATAATCGTAAGTTTCAATGTTGCGAGTAAATCGGGTTGGGTCTAATTTCTGCTCCTCAAAGCAAATGTGACACTGTATATTTTTGTAACGTATGAGGTTGGTCTTATTCGGAATCAACGTCCATTAGAGTCCAATATGGTAGCTCCCTTGCGAAGACCTCGGCGTCATCTAGAATGATTTCGTCATCGCTGTTCGGCTCTTTGAGTTCCTCAATTCGTTCGGGAAGCGGGCCCGTGAATTGGATACTGATTCTGTCACCAACTTTTCGCCGCATCCGACGGGTTGGGCCCGTCTCGTTCCCTTCATAGTAAGGAAGGACGTCCTCTCTATCAGAATCACTGCCTCGCTCGCTTACTGTTCGCTTGCTGAGACTTCCTGACTTCATCCTTCTGAGACGGCGTTCCTCGCGTGTTTTTTGGAGTTGCCGGATGAATTCTTCGTCATCGCGGTCGATATCTCCATCCGAGTCTTCAAAAGTGTTCAAGTTCTCGATGCCCTCCATTACAGCCGGATCCATGTCCGGTGGAGGCCGATGCCGGGATCTTGACCGACTCCGATCCGAATTTGCATACTCAAAAGCATACGGCCGAAGAACATCCAGATGATCATACTCGCCGTTGAGCGAACAGTCGTCGCTTAACTCTTCAATAGAAAATGTTGCTTGTTCGATCTGGATTAAAGTTGCCTGTTCCATGTGTTGGTGGCGCAGCTTTGGTACGTCCGATAGTGGCGACTGCGGGGGGCTTGCAGATGAATCAGATTCTTCATCGGTTGAATGTGAGGAACGAGGTGATATCTCCTCGGGCCTCGGCGCTCGAGTATAGCTGAACTTAGTCCCACCCAGCGGCCGGATGTTAGCTGGGTGGTCTTGGTGGCTGTGAGCCTTTGAATGCCGCTGCGGGCGGCCGTTTAATGCTGCTTTTTTTCGGTGGACCTTGGGAGATCCAGTGGTGGGTGTCTCTGGCGGTGAAGTAGGCCCTGCGGCTGCGGCTACTACGTGAGCAGTGTCCAGAGAGGGGGTGTGTGGCCGCATGATATCGGCTTGGTGTGGGAGCGCTTCCCGCCCGAGAATTTGCGTCTTCCCTTGTCTTGCGTGATCTTATCGATGCAATTGACCTTTTAATCAGACAATGTGGGGTAGAATTCGCGGGGGAGATAAAGGCGAACGAGAGACTTTTAAGGCGTCAGCACCCAGAGCAAAAACCTCCAACGCGGAGAAGTTATTGGGCTCCGGTAACTGGTCATGTTAATCTCCTGGGAATTCTAGAAGGTAGGGGGGCCGGACACCGCTACTACAATTCCTCCACAAAGGCGATAGGATTGGAACCGTCTCGCGGAGGTAGAATGCAACTTTATGCTGCAACTTTAAGATTGAGAGTCGACGTGTCAAGACTGGCGGCGTTGACTCTCCTAAGTCTCAAATGGTCCTCATCAGTGACGAAGGACGGTGTCGATAGAAGACAAGAGCGCCACCGAGAGAACGAGAGAGAAAAAGGAATTTATCCCCTCGACAAAATTGCTTGAAATGCTTGAAATATATGTGTAGCGCATAAACCCTCTTGTGGATCTCCAGGAGTCAAGTCGCCTGGGTCGGTGGGCTGAGAAACCCAAGGGAAAAGATTCTGCGGAAACTTTTTAAAGGTTGGGAACTTATTCCAGATGGGGAGACAAGGTCTGACGGCTTATATTTCTGCTGTCTAGGCTCTGCTGCGTATGAGAAAGAAATCTCATGTGTGCAGAGACCGAGAGGGGGGCATTTGTATTGGGGGCGGGCCTACTAACAGTCTTATAGTGCCTGGCAAATACATATACAAGTCTGTTATCCATGTAATAAAGGTAAGGTTGTGAACATAAAGGTATACCTGAGCCAGGCTAAGATTGCGGACTCCCGGGCAGGGCAGAGTAGAAGAAAACGGGTCTAGCTACTCGTCTACTAGCCTATGGCGGAGGATCTCGCAGAGATTGCGGCTTGGGCACCAATGCTCCCAGGAGTCCCTGGTTACTTTTCGTTGGGAGGCATAGCGTGTCCAGAAAAAATGCTACATGTATTCAGCGTGCGGCATGAGGCATGAGGCATGAGGCATATAGTAGTAAAAGAAAAGTGAAGAATCTCAAGATAGCATCAAACCGACGTTGTGGCAGGATGTCATGTCATCTCAGTCTGAATATGACCTAGGAAGTAGGGTAGGTCAAGTTATTACTGAACTGTTCAGCCGGTCCTGTTAGAACCCGGACGCTGACCGAAAAAGCATTCACTCACAAACTGATTAACACTGGTTAATAGCTGCTTTAACAAAGCACTGTACTGTACGGAATACGTATGTACGTATGCGAATAGGCTTGTCCCATCTAGACGTATCAGGGCTTCGACCGAAGGCCCTGGGGCTACGGTAGAGGTTGTACGAGAGAAGATCAAAAATAGACCAGGGGTCAGGTAGCAGCACTCATGCCACTCGATTATGCCCAATGATGTTAAGTCTTGCCTCCCGCGGACAGGAAAGAAGAAAAGAGACGCAGCCGTAGTGGACGTGGTGGAGATGGGAAAAATTCACTGCTTGGCTGTTGATGAGGTCAGGGATACCCCAAGCCTGCAGGGCCTGCAAGTAATATAATGCCAATGTGTCGTAACTTTTTTATTATCTTCCCCCTTTCACAATGCAGTGGTGTTGTTGTCAGGTGGCGATCCGACGCTGCGGTGACTTGGATGATTTGGTGAGAGGATGGAACGAGTTCATCCCGCAAGTCATTAACAAGTCATCAACCATCGTCATTTTGCTTGTTGAAAAGCAGTAAACACTTGTTTCTTGTTGCAGCCTATTAGACCTGCCCTACTGAGGCAGAACGAGGGATTAAGCCCGGCGGGATGGGAAACTAGGGCGGATATGCACCAGCATTGCTTTAAATCCCCAATTCATCCGAGACCAAAGCAATTGAGAATTATATTGTTGACAAGAGGTTTATATTATCTTAGTCTAGGATCATCCCGGAACATGAAATCCATCTTAGATTTGATGAAGCCTGTAGATAGAAAAATGGTGTTGGAGTTACTATGTAGAATTTAACAGCGATGCAATAGCAGAATAGGTAGGTCCACTACCTACGTGGGTAGCACAAAGCCACATGGTGGGGGGCTGTGGCGTTGGTATGGTACCTACAGACCAGCAGCAGGAGGGGTCAACACAAGTTTAAGAAGGTACATTGAAGTCGCGTGTTTAAGTTCAACTCGTAGTCTCAGTCCGACATATTTACTTTGGTTTATCGTCTCTATTTTTATTTCATCGTTTGGGAAATCTATAAATACTATTCAAAGAGTCATTTATCCGATCCCTCCCTTCAATAACTCACAGCCATTCATAATAACCGTCTGACTTCTTACTGTATAAACGCGTCTCATCATGTCGCTTCTTTCGGTGCATTTCGAGCAAATTGCGATCTCATGTCAAGGAATCGACAGTCTTCCGTACGCATATGTCCTTTTTATTGATACCCCTATTCATGTTCCTAACCGTACAGCTAAAGCTAATTAGCACTTCAAATAAGCTTCCCACCACCCAAGATATTCACCAATGCCCTCCTAGCCAACCATGACATCACATCCCTAATTCGCGACACCGAAGCGCACGAACGAGCGCTCTTCTCTGTCCCGCCCCCGCCGCCACCATCCACATCCCAGAACCCGGATCCTCCGAAACAGTCCGGGCGTCGGCAGACTGTTTTCAATGTAGCATCCGGCGAGGTCACGACATCCGGTAGCAACACGGGTCGAAATGTAGGCACCCCGCGACGCCACACGGCCGTAGCAGCCGTGTTAGGCGGCGACCTACACGAGCAGATTCGCCGGAGCGAGAGACGTAGTGGAAGGGATGAAGTCGATGTCGAGATTCTACTCAAGGGAGCGGAGAAGTTATGCGGCGTTTACCCTTTACCAGGTGCTCTGGAACGGATTGCAGCGCAACGATCAAAGTACGCGCATAGCCGTAGCACGCTGGCATACTATGAAGCGAAAGTAGCTGAACAGGCTGAGACTCTAGGCAGAATGAATAAGGATCATTGGATGGACGAAGAGGAAGAGGAAGACGACAGGGAGGCCGCCACGGTGGAGAAAGAAGAGATCTTAACGGAGGAGGACCTGAAAAGAGAAGAGGAGCAAATCCGGGAATTGGAGCGAAAAAAGAGAGAACTACAGGGAAGGTTGAAGACGATAGAGGAAGACCTCGGCGGATTACTGAACCTGTAATACATAAACCTAACAACTATGACACCCCTAACCATCTAACTGATGCAGTTAAACGCCATCTACCAATCCCTACGACAAGCTCGACAAGCTCGACAAACAGGCCCCACGCCGTTTTCAAAGACCCTCCTTCGCTTTTGCGAACGCTTCCAAGAAAGTCTGGGGATCTTCTGCTCCGCCAACCTCGTACTTACCTTGAATTATAAAATGTGGTACGCCATGTATATCCTTCGCATATGCCTCCTGAACCTCCTCGTCGACTTCTTTGCCGCCCTTGCCCGTTTCAAGCCAGTCTTTCACCTCTGCCTTGTCCAAACCGGCCTTCTCAGCCGCATCGATCAGCGTATCATGCGACGTTATGTCCCCCTCACCCTCAAAATATGACTTGAATAGCTCCAGCACGACGCGGTTCTCAGCGTCATTACCTTTCGTCTTGCCGAACTGGATCAGACGATGCGAGTCCCGTGTGTTACCAATCTTGCTCTTAAAACTAAAGTTGATGCCCTCCTCGCGTCCTATCAGTCCCAGGCGCCTTTGCATGGCTTCTAATTTGTCTGGCCCGAAGCGCTGGGCCATGCGCTCAACAAGCGGAATACCCTTCTTAGGCGAAGTCGGATCCAGATAGAACGGGGACCAGGAGACTGTGAAAGTATCATTCTTGCCGTCGGGATACGTCTTGCGGTATAGGTCGATAGCTCGGTCCAGGCGCTTTTTACCAATGTAACACTGAATATCAAATCGGTTTAGTATTCGACTGTTGAGCTGCTGTAGAAGCGACTTACCCATGGGCAGACGGTATCCGATACTATCCTGATGCTGATATTGGCCATGGTGTACTACAGTAGCCTTATGTACTCCGGGGATATAATTCGAATGCGATAACTCTGGCGATAGGTTATAACGTAATACAATATAGCTTGATAATTGGACCGTAGAAAGGCGCAAAACTGATACTTACATTTAATGATAGTTATTATGAAGTTAAACAAGGTGGGGAGACCGAACCCGAGGCCAAGCTGTATATGGATCAAGATGGCCGGTGGTCTCAATTAGGTAGCTGACAAATCGGGCTATCACCAAGACCGGACCGGTGTTGTCTTTGCTCCGCCCACCGTGATGCGCCGGCTAAACATGTCGTCATGGTCTATTCTAGAATGCGAATGTGTTACATTGCCTCCTGCCTCCCTGTAAGGGTAAGGTAAGGTACCTAAGGTAGGTACCAATCCTTCGGGTTGAGATTTGGTTTGCATATGTACATAAGTGCTGAAAATCTATTCACATATAGACTAATATAGAACTGCGAACAAGAAATATAGGTAAGTGTTGAATACATAGTGGGCAAGGAAGAGAAGTTGGTTGATCGGATTGAATGAAAATGTGTATCACTATAGTAAAGGGTACCTAGGCAATAACACTCGGCCAATGCCCTCGGATGTAAGATAGCTACATGTACGCTGTTCATCTAAATCTGATTGACTGAGTCTTCTGCATAATTCTTAAAACTGTACATTTTGAGTCCTTTTGAAAGTCTTGATTTGTTGATATAAGTGGAGTGTGTACTGTGATCTCAATTACACCCACCTCAACCTTCAAGACATATTAAAGCCATTCATAGTTACTCTCTAACTCGTTCGACCCTTTTAAGATATTATCAATATTTATAACATTTATAATTAGTTATACACGGATTTAAAATCCATTGAGCCAACTCACTTCGGTTTCCTAGAGACATTATATGATCTGAAAAACTGGGATCGACAACTTATACCTCATCGACGCCTTTAAATACTAGACAACCACTTGTCGACTTCTTCAACGATACGCGGCGCTTTATCATCCCACGAATGCTTGGCTCCCTCGACACTAACCTGCGTTAGGACATTTCGAGCATTCTTACTCCCTAGAATCTGAGTCCACATGCCATAGAAGATGCCTTCAAATTGGCCTGTGACGGTAAGCACTCCGGTCACCTCTGGTTCGAGACCTTGGAACTCGCCGGGCAGGTTTTCCCATCCGTGGCCCTGTACTAGTGCCTCGACGGAGCGGAAGTAGGAACCTGACTTGTGAAAGGCGATGAGGGGGTTGAGTTCTATTGGATATGATATGAGGATGTAGTGAGCGGGAGCGAATTGGGGAAATGACAGCGGGGGACGGCTGCATCCGGCGAAAATCGCGCCCGCCGAGTAGCCCTGAACTTATGTGAGCTTTATGAACCTAATATAGGAGGTGGACTGGTAGCCTATACACATAAGAATAACTGAGCCCCCTGTGTATCAGGGAAGTCTTTTACATATTGAGCCATGGACTCCCGAAGCATCCGCTATAAGTTCCAGAGGGTTTTATCAGTTACATCTCATATATTATGCCGCGGACTAATGGAGGGGTGGACTCAGGGAAGTATTACTTACATGATAGTCATTGATCCCAGCATCTCCTATCCAGACGCCAAAGTCTGTCCACTCATTCCCTCCCCCGCTCTGGCCTATTCCGCGGGCGTTCCATGTGACAACTCTTAACTGTCTCTTATCCCTTAGATATTCGGCGAGAAGGCGCACTGGTGGTTGGTCAAAGGTTCCACCGAGACGGCCGTGTGCTATGAGAGCAAGACCCTTTGGGGATTCTCCGTTCTGTGGATCTTCAACTCTAGTCTCGAGTTGGACTATATCGTGAGATGGTCCTTGGCCCATAGTGACCGTTCCAGTAAGTTTTTCTATTATTTGCTTTGTTTTTTGGTAAAAGAGAGATTTGAGAGAGGCTTGGAAAACTTCAAGAAGGGGGTTGGGAATGATTTGCGAGTTCTCTCATAATATAAATGTATGTCTCGCTTCCTTTTTAATATATTCGGGTTGGTGCAGCAAACGCTTCGTTTGCACAGTAAATATTCTATTTTGAAATTGCTGCTTATTATCCGACTTGGTCACCATCCGTTTTCAATGTCGTTTAGTTGTTTAGTATTATTGATGAAGTTGGGTGATTAGGTATGTAAATAGCGTAAATCTACCTACCTATGTAATTTCTTTATAAATATTTAGTGATTGAGTCGTTCTTAATTGTTATAAACTACAGCGCTAACAATTTGTAGTAGGGAAGTGTAAAAGTACGTATATAAGTTTTAGTGAGTTTCGATTGGATGTAGCTGGATGTATGAGATGGATGGAAGTTGTTTTCCTGTTGATAATGAATTATCGCGACGAACCGTGTTACCTTTAACAGGTTAATCACAATAACCTTTATATACATAATTGTTTAATTGCACGCCGAATCTTACCCCTCCTTCACCTCGGTGAGCTTTCTATCCTCCCCCGCCTTCGATGGTCCATGCTCCTATTTTTTTTTTGCTGCGAGCTGCCAATAGGTGCCCACCAAGGCACAACAATAGACTGTCGGGACTGCCCGGCGATTCGACCTTCTAGTCTACTTCTACTCACAATGCGCTGAAGGGCGCTGTACCATAGACACAATATGTCAGCCAAAGGAAAAGAACCGGCCGCCCAGTACGATATAAAGATACACCCCATCAGCTGGATTTGCTGTTACTGACAAGGTTGAATCTGTGATGTAGAAAGGATGGAGCGACCACGAACCCGAGAGGAATCCCCCAGGCGCCGTTCGTTGATAAAGTCGAGGACTACGTCACCTCAAGAGACGATGTCCAGTCTACGCTACGCAGCTTCCAGGAGATGATCTCGTATGTATATGCATTGCCTACCTAGACGAGGCACAATCCTCATACCACAGCCATTCGTCGTATTAATCTCTCGAGACTGTTTCGCTTTCTGCACAGGACATCTGCTGACACCAACGCTTGGATATAGTAAATATCAATTTATGGAACTGAATTTGCAGAGGAGAGTGGCTGGACTAAAAGACAAGATGCCCGATATACAAAAGACTCTGGAAACAGTCAAGTTCCTGAAGACGAGGACGGTAGGCTGGCCTTAACGTCAACTCGTCTAGGAACTTTCGACTGACATGATGTTGTCATTGTAGGAGGAATCGGATCCGATCGAGACAACGTTCGAGCTTAACGACACTTTATACGCGAAAGCATCCATACCCCCTACAGAAGAGGTGTACTTATGGCTTGGTGTACGTTGAGGTGTTAAAGCGTAATGCCTGTTATATCGAACAAGCGTTTGAGTATCCAGTTCACTAACGGGATCGTCGTATAGGCAAATGTAATGCTGGCGTATCCCGTCGACGAGGCCGAGACCCTTTTAACGTCAAAACTAGCGGCCGCAAAGCAGAGCTACGCCAATTGCGAGGAAGACCTGGATTTCTTAAGGGAACAGATTACAGTATGTGACCTGCTTGGTCTTGTTCACCGTCTCGGAAACCCTCGGATGGACAGATAGCTAACTTTGAACTAGACTATGGAAGTTGCAGTAGCGCGAGTGTACAACTGGGATGTTGTTCAGAAGCGAAAAGAAAAGGCAGATGAGGAACGGAAAGGGAAAGGGACTGAGGATGGTGACGAGCAGCCAAACGGATGAAGGGCTACAAGGTCAGTTGTAAGCTGTAAGCTGTTAACTGTTAGCTCAGCCGACTGAACGGGACATACTACATAGGCACCATTTTTACTGATGAGACCTCCTGCCTGTTTACTACATCCCAAGCGAAAGATTGATGGGAATATATGTGGATTGAATCATATTGTCTACCCGGGTCCGCGTGTTGATGACGCAATATAACAATTCTCACCTATGTAGAAATGAGGATAGCAATTCACTATTTGCAGTATTCCTATTAAATCCATAATCTTACCATATTCCCTAACTACATACCTGTTAATCTTATCCGACTTTAGGTTACGTAACTACCTGTCATAGTCTTTAGCAGTTCTTTTGGTTCATGCAAAGCGTACATAATTACATGTATGAAAAAGGCTATTAAAAGTACTTAAGGTACGCGTATACACATACCATGACTAGTGGATAATGAGCTAGGATTAGTGGGTTATGTACCGTAGAAGTGACATAAGAGATAAAAGGGGGGGAAGAACAGGTACCTGACCCCTAAATCTGCCTATGTATGTATCTAAAGCCGGCAGGCGGCAGGCCACTAGGAAGCGTGATTAAAGTTTGGGTAAGTTTGGTTAAGTTTGGGTCCCCAGATCTCACCGCTGCGCACCAATGACGATGTCCCACTTGGACATGCCCGCAATCTAGCGCCGCCACTCTTTTTTTCCCAATGATTATAATTTTGTATGGTAATCCATACCTGACCTAGAAAATTACCTAACTAACCTACCAGTTTACCATATCCATACGTACTATCGAGTTACGGTCTAACAGCGAAGCAGCCCCCCGACTTTTCATTATTATTATTATTACTACTTACGGATACATAGGCTAACAAGCCAGCTTATCCACTTACATAAACTCCCCTATCGACAAACCCTCGATCCCCTAAAACATTCTTAACGACACTTGTCGGTCTAATTCTGTCAACACACTTTCCTTCCTCCTTCCAACTCCCAACTTCAAACTTCAGGCTTCTAACCCTTTTTAAACTTGCATTATCTGGATAAACAATCTGCTGTATTACCCAATCAGGAACTTCTCACTTCAAACAGCTCGATTTCTTAGGAAATCGACGCATTCGCCACATTCATCATGGAGTTGAATGCTAAGTACGACCACTATGACTTCCCTACAACCGCTCCCGTAGCGAAACCAGGTCATCCAGGCCACTTGACCGAGGCCCAGCAAGCTCAGGTTCACCAGCTACGCATGCTGCTCGAGGCCGAAGGTTATACCAAGCGGCTGGATACCCTGACGTTGGTACGTGTCCTACTAAGTACTATATTAGGGGGTAGCCAAAGAGCTACAATATCAAATGGATGGGCATGCACATGTTGAATTAGCTAACACTCCGTTCGGAATATAGTTGCGTTTCCTGCGAGCTCGAAAGTTCGACGTCAACTTGGCCAAGAAAATGTGAGCGACCCCCGAGCCAAGGCTGCGAAAGATGCCTCAAAGTAGAGAAATATAGTTGAGAAGCTGAGAATGATGGACTGACCCCGGTGACAAGGTTCGTCGACACCGAAAATTGGCGGAAGACTCTCCTGTACACCGGACAGCCCCTTAAGATCGACGGTCGGACTATCAGTCTCGACGAGGAGATAGGCCAGTGGGACAAAGACGGGTCCTTCAAGCAGAAGGTGTCAAAGTATTACCCTCAGTACTACCACAAGACAGATAAGGTAAGAGAGATCATTCTGTGTTCTCTCGTAGAGATGAGCTTTCGTGAGCTTCCGTACTAATATACGTTCGGTAGGACGGCCGACCGGTGTACATTGAACAACTTGGAAAGATTGATCTCACCGCTATGAAGAACGAAGGTATCGAGTATGAACACATGCTGGTCAACTTAGCTGTTGAATACGAGAAAATGGCGGACCCGCGATTACCCGCTTGTTCGCGCAAAGCTGGTCAACTACTTGAGACATCTTGCACTATCATGGATTTCAACGGTGTCGGCTTTGGTAATGCGCGCCAGGTTTTCGGCTACATCCAGGAGGCGTCCGGTATGAGTCAAAACTATTACCCGGAACGTCTTGGCCGCATGTACCTCATCAACACCAACTGGCTGTTTACCGGCGTGTGGCGTATGATTCGCCCTCTGCTCGACCCCGTCACTGTTGAGAAGATCAACGTTCTCGGTGGTAACTACCAGAAGGAACTCCTAAACCAGATCCCCGCCGAAAACCTCCCTAAGGAATTCGGCGGTACCTGTCAATGCGAGGGCGGATGCCATTTCAGCAACGCGGGCCCCTGGAACGACCCTGAGTTCGCAAAGCCTGCCTGGTGGGAACAACAAGATGGGGCGATAGAGAACAGGCCGACAGAGATGGGCAGCGGTGCCGGTGCCGGCGCTGCCGGTGGTGCTACCGCCGTAGAGGGAACCGAAGCTACAGCACCTGCCCCGGCCGCCGCTTAAAGGAAACATAAAGTTGCATTTGTATACAAAAAGGGAGAACATAAGTTCGGATGAAGCGGGGAGTCAGTAGATGTGGTTAGATAGGATCATCAAGGCACATGAGGAAGTAGCCGCTGCAATTTCTCGATCCGGACGACTTTTTATGCCGGGCAAAATCTTATAATCGCAAATTTCAACTTGCGGGCATACAACAACCCTTGATAGGGCCTACGTGGCTATCTCCTTCAGAACCGTTAGAGGCATTTCATACACTGATATGATGCATTTGCATTTGCACTGCTCTAAAGTTCTGGTCTTTCGTCTATTCCTGTGAATTATAAATTGTAGTTATGTGCACTCGAATTAATCTCCGTCAGAAGTGCCGATTTGTTGAATTAAGTGGTTTTATTTGTAGTAGGGTTGCTCAAGCATGGCTTCATGATATTAGAGGCCGATGGATTCCATGTGAAGATGTAATTGGTCTCCAAGTCAAGGAGGGCAATCCGAACTTGCTACCGCATATCTCGGCACGGTCCTCCCGTCTTCTATTCCCCCCTCGCATACTTTGCATACACGTAGACCAGATATGATGGCCATCACCTCCTAGAGCGTAGTCGGAACTCCACCGCCTCTTTCCCTACAGATCAATAGAAAGGGGCAAAAAAAGGGGACACATTCACCGCTCTGTTACAACGTACTCTCCTGCTCCCCGCGCCCTCTCCATCCGCGCCACCACCGACGGCATCTCGCGCTTCAACCTGCCCAACCCCCTAATCGCGTCTTCGTAGCCGCTCTCAACATCATCCTGTTGAGGAAGCCCCTTACTCAGGTCTCCCAGCAACGGCTCACTGCCATCAGCGCCGGCACGCTCATTAGCCGCGGCAAGGGCCTGCTCGTCGTCAGCGACGGAGCGGCGCGCCGCCTCGGCCCAGGAGGCGGCTGCGGCGTGCGGTACGGATTTCTTCAAGGCGGCAATGTCCCGCAGCAGGTCCTCTTCCTCGCGCGTTAGCTCCTCGAGACGGGCGCGCTTGCGCGCGTCAAACGGCTCGTAGACTTCTTCGGGCTGCTGCGGGTCGGAAGAACTGCCGGAGAGGTATTGTGCTGCGTCAACGGGCATGCCATTGATGGAAAGGTTGGGGCCTGCGAGGGTGAAGGTTTTGGTGATGTACTGTTGGTAGGTTAGTATTTGGCGTCATAGCTACCTATATTATGAGTGTTGTGTTTCGTATGGAGTAGACTCGGATTATAAGACAAACTCAAATAGAAATAGAAAATAAAATATTAAATGGGATATGTAATATAAAAAAGGGAGAGAATTCAATGCAGCAATAGAAGACTATGAAAAAAAAGAATGAAAAAAATATCAAAAACATACAACACCAGGGATTCGCTGGTCGTCACCGACCCAACTACTAATCTGGCGGTATCTGGTTTATCGATGGGAGAGCGGACGGGATCCCGAGTTTTCCAGATCCTATGGTCGTATGTGAAAGTCCAACGCATTAATTCTATTTATATAGGAGCTTTCCATTGACCTCTCACATTTCACCCAGACCTCTTTAATTAAATCCGTATTATACTCTATCTGCATACGCAGGCGAGAAAGGAAATACGGTAGTGGTAGTAAAATAGAGATGAGAAAGAAGAAACGCAGGCACTGATAGCTGCATGCTTAAAAACACAAGGAACGAAAAAAAAACATGGAATAGAAATTAAAGAATAAAATGTAACATACCTCATTAACAAGCTCCTCGATCCTCGTCCGCAATTCGTCACCATCGGCAGCGGCGCCGCTTGCCCCGTCCACCGGCGGAAAGGCCTCGTCCAGACGTGCCGCGGCCGCGCGCCGTACATTGGCCAGAAGATATGCCAGGTCGTCGGGGGCCTGGAGCTCGATCTTTCGGTGCGCCGCCGAGGCCGAGCCCTCCATGGTGATTTGGGTAAGGAACGGGGAAAGTGTTGCAGTGGTAGCAGGGGGAACGCAGAAGGGCTTTAGACTGAGCTGGGTGGAGGATTGATGATGATATGATGATGAAAAAAAGATATATAAGTAGGAGGTAGTCAGTCAGTCTTATGTTTCTTTTCTCCGTCGGTGTTCTGCTGGAAACGCGAGCGGAATTAGAGATAATCAGCCGCAATGCAGATATTGATGTCCGTTTGTGCAGTGCAGCGATGGGATGCTAGCGATTCCCAATTTTGCCTTTTGGTAAATGGTGATTGGCTAATTTGATAGGATAGACTTGTGATGTAAATATGTAGTATTGCGGATGTTTACTTTTGGCACTTGGCGCTTGGCGCTTTGGAAGGGCCCCTACATATGCACATACACGGGTAGTACGCGGGCAAAAAACGTGACAGTAGCGGGGTTGGCAAGTATCGCATAAGTATTATGACAACCCCTCCAGTCCCCCAAGATACATATTCCAAGATATGCGCGATCTCATTGGCCAGCCTCATATAATACAACCAAATAGCCTCGTACAACCCAGCTACCTTATAGCTCTCGCAGTCCATCTTATATGAGGTAAATTCGGCAGGTTCATCCAGTGTTCCGGTTTCACTGCGTATTCCAGGATCCGACCACATAATATAAATTTTTACAACATCTTCTGTTAAGTCAGGTTTTGGAGTAATAGGTCTGCAATGTGAGCCTCGCATATTTTGGCGAACTACATGTTCCTTTGACCATCGGCAACGTTGACTAACCGCAACTAGAGTCTCCAGGTTGAAGGGTTGGACATCCATAAAATCCATTCCTAAATAATACATCATCGCTTTTTGTAAATCTTCCAAAATATGGTGTCTAATGCTTGCTACATTATACCACTCAATCCTCTTTTTTCTTTCTTCTGGCGGGAGTATATTTGTGGTAGGCTGTAAGAGTTTCTGCAGAAACTCCTTAACCCATGTTGGAGTTTTGTTTTTAGCTCCATCCGTATACAGTTCGGCCTTAAATACCACTTTGCATACTCGAGGTTAAGGACTCTGCGGGTAGTAGATGAATATTGACTAGACGACATGATATCTGGGTTTAAGGATATATGTGATTGTCTTGGACTTGGGGGGTAATAGGCTTGGAACTTGCGGGTTTTGTTCGACATTTAGAAGCCAGTCGGATATAGAGTTCAAAATTGACCGTTCATTGAAGATTCTTGGCTGGAAGATACTGGAGATGAGGAGGCAGCGGTTTTGGCCAGTCGTGAAGCAATTTGCTCCGCTGGTATGTCCGAACAAGAACGCCGTTTTTTGTTGACCGATAGGTTCATATTGTCGGATGTTCGACTACGATATCGCTTTTTAAATTGGGTGTGAATATTGTTTTGCGCGAGAGTACTATACATTGATGATAGTTTATTTAAATATTAGCAAAACGGAGGTTTAATTGCTATAAGAAAGGAGGAGAAGAGGCCGTTATGCTACAGCAAAAACAAAAACAAGGTTTGTTTAATTGTTTTATAATAATGGCTGTTTTGCAAAGATATAAGTGATTAAATAATTCATGATAGATTAAAGGCGCGTATATCGAGCCACTTAAGCACTTAATAATACTTACCAGTTTAATACAATAAGTGACCAAATTTCTCATTTATATTATATCTCACACATAAACAAATAAGTCACAATACATTATGATAATTTTTATAGTTTGTAAATTCGCATAACTACCTACCTAGTTAGTAGTTAAGAAAACTATTACATCCCTTTACCCCTTTTTTAATAAGTATATATAAACTGCCTCATCCTCTTCGCCTAACTTTGGCAGTGTAATGGATTTAAGAACGTTATATTGCCAATCATCGGAAGTCAGCAGCCCAAATAGAGCCTGCTCCGAAGAATGACGAGGCTTTGTTGCCAAGATAGCAAAAGTCTTTGCACCTCTTTCTACCCCGTCATGTTTTAAATTCGCAGTGTGTAGCGCGCTCAGCGTTCCGACGAGCGCGGGCAATGAGTCAACATTGTATGTGCAATCGCTAAGTACAACTAGATCCCACGGGCGAGCAGAAGCAAAAGTCCCGAACTGCCCGTGCTTGCCCTCGTCCCAGTCTAGGTCCTCGTACTGAAGAGCCACTGTAGAACCGCTAGGATTTATATGAGAGAACGCCGCTTTGGCTCTCGATATGTTTGACCTTGCGCGCTCTTCCGCCTCTGGGAGGTCTGTCAGTAATACAGTAGCTTTAGTAGACGTATGACCATGGACTACGGCCCTTTCTATGACTTGCGCTAGGGTGATCCCGAGAATGCCAACACCACTCCCGAGTTCTAAGATGTTAAAACCGTCTTCTCGCATAGGCAGCGTGTCGTAGATACCTTCCTTGGTACTACATGCGTCTCCGAAAAAGGAGGCTGTCACAACACCTGCGTCCCATATGTGGCGTGCAATACTCTCACCAATGTCCTCTTCGAGGTCAATATCCATTTGGTCCCGGGGCTGAGATCTAGACCTAGAGTCAAGCCGGAGTGTTCGCACGGCAACGGGCGAGCAGATGCCCTTCGCCATCTCTACGGAAACTGGCATGATGAGACCCTCGCTCGCAGGCGAGCCTCTAGCAACTCTCCACGGAAGCATATCGCTACCCTTCAACACTCCCAACGGCGGAGTTTGTGTCGTTGGATGAATCCTAATGGTACACGTGACATCGTCCTTCTTAAGATGCGGCTTGATGGAGACTTTGACGTCAAGACATCGCATGCCAGCAGTCCATCTAGGCGGGCGATCTGCCTCTAGTATGACCGACTGGCCTGTCGGGTTCTCCACCGAAATAGCCAAGTCGACGGGCTCATCCGGGTAGAGAAATGAGTCACCCAGATCCGTGGTGATGGTAAGAAGGATTGAGATAAGTGGTCTCTTGAGGTTTGATGCGTCTAATTTTGGGCCACGCAACAAGCGTATGTAGTGCATCTTGTTGCGATACCGAGCCTTGGGTACAGCAAGTTCAGTCCAATGATTTGTTAATTCGGTAGTATTTGGGTATTTTTGCCTTGGCAACATGCATCTTTTTCCGTGCCCAACATTGCAATTTGCCGTCAAAAGATTCACCGCTAGCTAGTTGAGCCTAGCATTGGTGTGCATTGACATGGGATCTTATCAATCGTGATCCGCTTCAACCATTATTGCTACATGTATGTAGACGAATATTACGATAGGTAGTTTGTAGCTTGTTGAACGATTGGGAACGCAAAACACAATTGTGCGTCTCGTTATATTGGAATTGTCTTCTACAGGTCGAAAAGCGGGTCGGGGATATAAGTATCAGTTTATCGGAGGTTAGCATTGCCTATTAGCATTGCCTCTTACGAGTACCTAATCTCACGTAATAATTCTATACAAGGTTAAAATACCGCCCGACGTTCAGCACTAGATGTGCATGCATGCGGTAGCTGAATTATGTACAATTGATAGAGGGGCTAGCAAGGTCTAGGTATATACGTAAGTACTTAGATGTAGTGCTTATCTACATGTAGGTGCATGTAGCTAAAACTGACTGCTTAATAGATTGGGCTCTTACCTTCAAATAGACTTTACACCATTGATCGCAAAGCTGAATCTACCCCATATTTGCGAATAGGAACCCGCCCTTAGCTCCAGTTAGTGCTTGATACAATGACATGTGCCGATTTAGGGATTTATTAATACTTTCGGGACGATGATTTGTTGAGATGAGAAAGGTTGATCAGTAGTGGACCAATTTCTTAAAGGTTCATTACTCGATGTGACATATCTACTGAAATCTACCTACCCATATATCCTCATCTACATGTACACGTGGCTATGAAACAAACATCTTCCATGATATTGGAATATTGGGATATTGGGTACCCTACTTCGAGTACACTACTTCGAGATCGTCACGAATGCATGTGAATATCTCCGCCCGCATTTACATACTACCCGGTCAATCACAACTATTCCCTGGAGGTGATCAAAGAGTTCAACGTTGAACGTGACCATTTCGAGTAGTATAAGAAGTTGGGTAGTCACTGGAAAGAAACTTCACAAGTCAAGAAGTAGGTATGGCTAAGGTAGTTATAATGAAATAATTAAAGAGATGATGTTATGTTGTAAAGATTTTAGATTTTAGCTTTTACAGTGATAGTTATATAATTCCTGAAGAAGTTAAAAAACGGCACTGTAAGCGCTCTAAACGCCTAGCCGTATCAGTCGCGCTAATCCACTTCAATTTTCCCATTAGGGTAAGAGGGTTGGTCCGATAACGCAATTCGTGGGGTAAAACGGTGGGTTAATTGACGACAAGTGGGATGTCTACACCGTGCGAGTATATACGGCTTGTTAAGGAGGTAGTATTGCAAGAAGGAAATTACATATTACCTCATGTCTCTACATGAGATAAATGTACCTAAGGTACACCCCTACGTACATAAATAAGGGTATAGATTTAGATAGATCCCCAGTTTAAATACCTGGGTTGCTTCAAGGCTATAAGTATGGTTATCCTATCTACAGGTAGGTAAGTGCCTGGGTGCTAGTGGGATATAAAAACATACCTAGGTACCTTAAGTATCTAGACGCGGATCTGACATGAAGAATATATCCAAATATCGTAGCAATCAAATACGTAACCTAGGCACAATAGTCGTTTCAGGTATTCTAAAAATTGAATGCGTTATTCGATTTCACAATTGATACTCGCAATATAATTCCTACCTCGGTAATCCACGTGGTGTTTCTTGAGAAATGTTGCTTGAGAAATGTTTCACTAACGAGGACCCATCATTGTTTTACACTTCGGCACCTGCATCTCTTATCCGAGCACCTGTGTGCTATTATTTAGGTACCCAAGGTACATGCAACCAACCTCTTCAATTCAAGTATCGATTTTCAGAACCTCGACCCCAAATGCGAAATAGACTACGGGAGATGTAGATAACCAAAATGCATACATCATTGTAATTTAGGTAGGTTAGTCACTTGCTAAGTGTAACAACCATAAGTAATGTATGCAGTCTTTCTATTACCTATGAAGTTGAGAAAGCAACGCCCTTATCTACAAACAATAACTCTTTGCTTGTTTGGAGACGTAGAAAGAGGTAGAGAAAAGAGTCGGCCGAGTTCAATCAAGAGCAACCAGGGAATACTAACGCCGGCCCTATGTTAAGGGCATTCATGTAATCTTCATGTAATCATACAGTACCCATGAGAACTCCTAAGCCCTCTGGACGTGGACATCCCATGTAACAATATTCCCATCCGTCCAAGTTGTTGTAATGTGTGTGAAGTTGATCCTTCCAAGCCGCGCCGCGCAATAGGAAATGCCGAGACCGATATCCACAATCCATCCAGGCAATGATATAGCCCGAATCCAGACGCCGAAGTATTCGTGAAAATGGCAAAGGTATTCTTGCGAGGGTTATGTGTATCTAGGAAGAAACGACGCTCTGTGAGATCGATTGCAGTGACGCTATAGACAAATCCCAAGTGGGGGGGCCTCTAGACGGGGTTTATCGGTTATGGTAGCATCCCCTTGATCTCTTCGTCACTGAGTCGGATCTCGTGTACGGGTTCCCTCCGATTTTCCAGGGGTATGTAATTGCATTCGACGTAGGACGGAACGAATAGTTCGGGGTTCCAGGCGAACCCTTGACTAGAGGCGAGGTATGAGATCTATAACGAGGGGTATTAGTAAGACGGCCCCTCAGCGGCACTTTCAGCAGCGATAGCATTTTCTTACCAATCGAGGTGCCCCATCAGGATCTCCGATGTTGATAACGGTGCATTCGTCCTTGCAGAAGGCGGAGCCTGTATGGCGTGAGCAATGCGGATCTCGGAGGGAGAACACCACCAAGGTGCTCAGATCTATGGTCAATACACAGGGAGGCAAACATACTCAATAAACTAGGTCGGCGATGGTGGTGGATTGATTTCAATTTGCGTGCCGACTGCACCGAGGACGCTTCACTAGGACTAGGACTAGGGGTTTGCGGAGAACTTGAATATGACGAAGATGAGCTAGTTGTAGCCTTGGGAGACTGGTCGTAGGCAGCAGCCGAGGACCGGACAGCTGGGATAGCAATTGTATTAGACGCCATCATCGTAGGATCACAACACAAGACTTCTCTCCTCTCTATCGAAGACTTTCAGGAAACCCGATCAGCAGTAGTGTGTCTTAACACGGAGGGAGGGCCGTGTAGCCGAAATGATGATAAATAGCAAGGCAAGTCGAAACGCCAGCGGAGAATAACAAGTGACTATGTCAGAGAGTTAAGAGAGAAGGGGAAGGAAATTAGTGGCCACGTTCACTCTGTAAAGCAAGCAACGACGAGGTAAAAAGAAGTGATGTTGAGAGATCCTTGGTAATATTCACGAGGTGGGAAAAGGGACGAAAAGAAGATCTAAGTCAGGTGGTTTAGAGAAGGTGAGAGGCTAGAGGGAGCCTACTCCGTATGTACAGTATAAGTCGGACAGCGCTTGCATTTGATGCGGGAACGGTGATTCGGTACAATGTGCTGCTGCTGTAGTGCTGTGGCATGTATGTGGTATGTGCTGTGCCTATGTACTGCACTGTAATTGCAGATGTATGTAATCTAGGTAGGTATTGTACCTAAACGCAGACAAGTGGGCAAGCAGGCTACCTAAAGCAGGCTATGATAATGTACCTCACTGTAAAGTACTTGATAGCCCGAGATTGTGGGAAGGAAGAGACAACGATAGCCCAGTGCGAAACCGCCGGTCAGGTATGATGACACATCGGGAACGAGGGACCCTTGTGGGTCCTCTAGGTTCGTGATCAGACCGGATTGGCCCAACAGAGGGCTGGGTAGTAAGAAAGTTCACACTGTGCTGTAAAGTGACTTGCCGCTACCCCCAAACTACGTACATGTACGTACCTACATACACTACATGGAGGCTAAGATATATGCAAGATGCAAGAGGAATGAGGGATGAGGGATGAGCTCAACTGGTTCCTTCATAGCTCCTTTGGCCCAACATCTAAGAATGTTAAACCATTCAGGTTGTCATAACGTTATAACTATTAGGTACATTTGAGATAAAATCACAATGAGTAAACCCCTTTCGTTGAATTATCACATTATCACAAAGTAAGAACCTGCTTCTTACAGTGCTCTTTGTTTTTGTTACCATGTAAGCTGTAGATATATAATATACCTATACATACCTAGGTTACATACGAATATCAGCGTCGATGGATTACCTAGATCTAGGTTAAGCGCTAGTTTTAGTCGGGCGATGCCGGAAGCTGATCTTCAGTAGGCTTTGCAGGCTTTGCAGGCTGTGCTGCAAGATGAGTGGTCAAAAACTGACCTCTAATATGGGGAACATTGAATGTTCGCCTTGGATTTGCAGGTGCTAGGGAGTGAAGAGCCAATCAGCCGAAACTCAGTGCCGGATAGTGGGGCTAAGGGAAGGCGGAAAAGCTATTAATCCTATACTTTCCCAGGCTGGATTAGCTGCATTTACATTCTTGGCAATGTCCCACATATACTTAGTAACTTCCTCTCTCTCAAGGCTGCAAGGCTGGCGTCGGCACCTGGATCTTAGAAGCTGTACATAGCTTGTGCTCACTAACGTAACCTCAACTCTCCAAACTCGATAATTATCCATCACCATCATCATCCATCAATTCTCCACATCAACACCAGACACATCCCGACGACAAATCCTCGGACTAGCCAGAATCTACGACTCACTTTCAATTTCACATTCCGCTAATCCCACCGTCGGCGTCGCAATTATGGGTGACGTTTTAGTAGAAAACCCAGCTAATAGCGTGGCACCATATAACAAGCCTATCCCGTCAACCATCCCGAACGTCGAGAGCATTGAGGGAATACCTGCGCAGGGAGGAGATGAATATGCAGTATTAAAAAAGCTACAAGGGCACCTGGAATATATCCAGTTACAGGAGGAATACATCAAGGATGAGCAAAGGTAAGACAAGAGTGGGAGACGCCAACCATCTATTATTGTAATAGGACGCAGGTTCTAACGGGAAATCTACGCAGGAGCTTAAAGCGCGAGCTCGTCCGGGCACAGGAGGAAATCAAGAGAATTCAGAGTGTGCCGCTAGTTATTGGTCAATTTATGGAGGCCATTGACCAGAAGTAAGTCCAATACAATAGCTAACATAATAGCTTGACTCGATCGTCAAATATAAATTACAGCGGAAAGGTCTAACATTACCACTAGTACCGGAATAGTCCAGTCTAGCACGGGATCCAACTATGTCGTCCGGATCCTATCCACCCTCGACCGCGAGAAGCTCAAGCCCTCGTCCTCCGTCGCCCTTCACCGGCACTCTAATGCCCTTGTCGATATCCTACCCCCGGAGGCCGACTCCTCTATCGCCATGCTTGGTGCCGATGAGAAGCCGGACGTGACGTACGCTGACGTCGGTGGCCTCGACATGCAGAAGCAAGAGATCCGCGAAGCCGTCGAGTTACCCTTAACCCACTTCGACCTCTACAAGCAGATCGGTATCGACCCTCCGCGCGGTGTCCTACTTTACGGGCCCCCCGGTACGGGAAAGACTATGCTTGTCAAGGCTGTCGCGAACTCCACAACTGCCAACTTTATCCGAGTCGTTGGCTCCGAGTTCGTCCAGAAGTACCTAGGTGAGGGTCCCCGTATGGTCCGTGATGTCTTCCGCATGGCCCGCGAGAACTCACCCGCCATAATCTTCATCGACGAGATCGACGCCATCGCCACCAAACGTTTCGACGCCCAGACCGGAGCCGACCGTGAGGTCCAACGTATCCTGCTAGAGCTGCTCAACCAGATGGACGGGTTTGATCAAACTTCCAACGTCAAGGTCATTATGGCCACGAACCGTGCCGATACCCTGGATCCTGCGCTCTTGCGACCCGGTCGTCTCGATCGGAAGATCGAATTCCCCAGCTTGCGTGATCGCCGCGAGCGCCGTCTTATCTTCGGTACTATTGCTAGCAAAATGAGCCTCGCTCCCGAAGTCGATCTAGACAGTCTTATCGTCCGCAACGATCCCCTTAGCGGCGCCGTCATTGCTGCTATCATGCAAGAGGCCGGTCTCCGTGCCGTCCGCAAGAACCGCTACAATATCATCCAGTCCGACCTTGAAGACGCCTACTCCAGTCAAGTCAAAGGAACAAGTGATGAGAATAAGTTCGACTTCTACAAATAGACGGGAAAGGCTTAGTGACGTGGTTTGCCCTGAGTTCTTGGGAGAGTGGAAGCCGAGTAAGAAATACGAGAATCCGCACCTTTATCTGCGCCGGATACGCTCTGGTCTTGCGATACGAATTCCGTGCAAATAGAGGCTGCCCCTAGAAGCCGTGACGTGATGGGGTTGGCCAGGTGTAACACTATCATAGCAATACGACTAAACAAACTAATTACGTGCTTCCCTTCGCTATACCAGTTTTCCAGTTCCAGTAGGGAGTTTCACGAAGCTCGAAGACGTGTTCATAACATTGCAATAGTAACACTCTTGTTTGTCTAACCGTAGTCCGTCTTTATCTATAAATGCTCCCCTAACCCGCTCGATAAAACGCACAGAAGTGCCCGTAACGCTCAAGAATCATCTTTTCGTATCATGGTATGTATTACAATTGATGCCTGTTACATCCTCCTTCTCCCCTCATATCCTCAATATCGTCCAATCATTTGTCCGAGCCGCCTGAGCTCATCCGTCTACTTGTCCTCTAGGGGATTTGGGTTTCCCTCCGCATGCATTATCCGACCTTTTCTTTTATACGCCGTTTTACATGTCACGCCATGCCATACCGCACAACAAGAACGGCCAAGAACGGTGTACCCTCAAGCGTAGAACCATATCGGAAACGCAAAACAATAATGAAGTCGACAAGTAGTAATACAGAAAGGGTATCATCCTTAAGAAAGGCAACAACAAAAAAAAAAGACGAGCGCCAACCAGCGCAAGATCAATTACTTCAACTTGAAGCGTGGGTATCATAGAAGTCAAGGAGTTCGTTGAGAGTCACCGTAACCAATTTCTTGGAGGGGGTGGTTTGCAACACAAGGAAGCTTGCTGGGGTATTCACGGTTAACTCAACAACTCAGGTATATCCTCCGTCATTACGTCTTCATCTCCGCACTCGGACGCGTTAAACTGTGTTGCTTTAGCCGCTCGCAGAATAGCAAATCGAATATCGCTATGAATCAGTTGCTCATGTCATATCATTCGAGGTTGACGAGGTTCAAGAGGAAAGCACAACGCCCAGCTCTAGCAAGAGCTGCACGAAACGCGAATGCAGCTCAATGAAGAAGTCGGGGAGGCCTACGAGCTCTGCGAGCCCGCGGGCTTTGGGTGCAAATCCACCGGGCCCCATAGACCCGCCCATGCGTTGCATTAAACCGCTGCGGCCACCACCAGTCAGGAAGCTGCTCGAGTCGTTGGTCCTGTCTCTTTCGCGATCGCGGTCTAGGTTCGCTACACTGAACCCGCCTCCAAGGTTTAGCCCTATGCCGCTATCACGCGGGCCATCGCCACCAAATCCACCTCGGCTATACGCCGCATTGATTGCTGCAATTGGACTACTGGCTTCCTCTCGATCGCGCTCTCTCTCGGCTTCGGCCTCGGCCAATTCTTGAATCCAGTTGGCCAAATCTCGGAATGCGGCTGATATAAAGCTAAAGGTCTTCATGGCGAGTCGTTCACGGTGCGTACTAAGCGCCAGAAACGCATAGACTCTCTTGCGGCCGCGAGCATGCATATCGGGAATGCGAAATATGTATGCCGTTGTATAGCCCGCTAAAGGATCACCAAAGAAGATCGGGCCGCCATTAGCAGCAGATTGGGGATTCGGTGCCGTGATGTAGCCTGGGGCATGATTCATCGGCGGCGATGTAAATTGAGGCGGCAGTGGCGACGAGAGTGATGAACCTTGCTGTGTAGTATCGGGCCGCCGAGGGAGAGTTTCAAAGGAGAGCGTTCGCAGACAAGAGGCTCGAACTATGGAGTAAGTAGTAGGGACTACTGGCTCATGAGTCGATGTGTAATCTAGGTAGTGTGTATGTTGTGTCACACTAGATTTAGACGATACGCTTGAATGCGAAGTTGAGGTAGTAGGCCGACGCTGCAAGTTTGAATGCTTGCCACTGTCTTTAGGTAAAACATCCTCCTCTGTATCAGAAGTATACGAGGAATGCGGATTTGAGTTTGGCGGGCTAAACTCGCTGCTGCTGCCTCCATAGACACGTGCGTATGGAGCGCGCGTCCGCAATACAGGACCACGTTGATCAGATTTGGAATCTGTTGTAGTACTTGCTTTCTCCCCCTTTCCAGTTTTTGAGTTTTGCCGCTTAGGAAGAGTCAAGGCACAGTTGTCACAAGGGTTCGCTCGTTTCGTAACGTAATCATCATAGGTTCGACGAAAACTTGAGTCGCGGCGTGAACCCCCTTTGCCATTCGTCTCAGGGAAGTTTTCTGGCGCATGTCGGGGACTTTGCGGTGGTGTCTGAACGGTCGAGGCTGTGGTGAGAGGTGCTGGCATGACGGCCTGAACAGTAGTACCAGGACCTAGTTTTGACGTTCGAAGTATCGATGCGCGATGTGCCTGGGCTTCTTGATCAGTCACAGGGGTAGATGAGCTACGTGGGGATCCAAGCGTCATCTTTCGCAAAGTATCAGTAACGGTCGTCTGTTGGCCATGACTTGCAGCACTGGTTTGCGGTCGCGTTGGCTCAGTAGTATCGTCACAGCATTGTCTGCATGGTACAGGCAGGCCTTCAGTGACCATGAGAGGTGTTGGTCCATGTAGGTCGCAGTAATGCGCCAGGCATAGCTGGATGTGAGTTAGCAGAGGCAATATTGCTGGCTTCGGAGAAACAGTCATGGTCGGGCACAATATTGCAGAGGATAGACTTGGTGAAATACACGTGCTAAAACAGCATCTCGAGAAAAGATCACAAAGGCAATTCAAGTAGTCACAGAGTTCAAGCTAACAGTAATAAAGCTGAACAGGAAGTGGGGGTCAAATTTGACAGGAGTCGGTCTGGGGTTAGGGGAGGGTAGGAGATGAGTAAGTATTAGGAGATAAATAGGAAGGAGTTAGGAGTTTTGAGGGACTACACTTGGAGAGCCAAAACGTCACTGTCGCGCAAGGGGCTAAATATGCCAAGTCCAAATTCCAAGCTGGCAACACTTGGGACTTGGGACTTGGGCATCTGCGACAATCATGGCACCCATACCAATCAAGCTCGACACTTGGCTGACCTGGGGCGTAGCGCAACATCGCTTCGCTCCGTGCCGTCGTGGTGGGAATAGGGGGACCGTCTAACATAAGCATTCAAAGCAAGTAAGGCCCGGGGCTAAGGGGGCTGACGAGACGATAGTGTGGGGGGACACGAGGCTTCTGGGGTGGTCTGGACGGGCAAGGAGGCGGTGAAGAAATTCGACCAGAACATTAAAAGACAGGAAGATGTGTGGCATGTAAAAGCAAAAGGTGTGGAACACACATATCCAAAGAAATAAATCAGAGCGGTCCCGAGAAGCCAAGGTAGTGTGGATGGGCTATATCTGGCCCTCTGGCCCTCTGGGTGCACAAAAGTTGAAATTGATGGACAGGAAATATTAAAGAGTGAGAAATAAGGTATGACGCGTGACACGATTATGAAAGCTCAGAGTTGCATAGTTGGGCTGATGAGACATAAGATATAAGGTATAAGGCAAGGTATAAGGTAGAGCTGGGAAAACTATTAAAATATAAAAATAAAAATAAAAAGTACAGGGTATAAAGTATGTAGAGAATGTAGGGAGAATGACGGATGTACTTACTATAGACGTCATGACGTTTCTCCAACACAACAAGAGGTCGCAGAGGCCTGTGGAGCGTCACACAGCGGGGTTGTTCGATTCGATTGATTCGATTTCCAACAGGGACCAGTGAAAGCGGCCAGTAAAAGGGACCAGTAAAAGCGACCAAGCAGCCAGTGGCAGCCAGTGGCAGGCAACCTGTACCAACAAAAGTGACCCCCAAATATCCCAATCTCCCTCCCACGCGCGTCCCGCGTCCTGCGTCCTGCCCTGGTACTTCTCGCCTATCCAAGCCAGCCAAGCAGGGGACTTTTGGTATAATAGTCAAAAGTATTATATCATGGATGAGACGATAGGAAGTGGATACAGGACAGCTTGACAAGTTGCTCTGATCAACAACACTGGGTCCGGATGTCCTTTGCCCGCGTCTGCATCCGCGGCTGCGTCGGTGTTTATCCAGTTGCTGAAAATCGATGCGAAGTCCGAACTGCGAAATGAGCCCTTGTGCTCGCTATCGTGTATGCGTGTATATGTACAGTCAATCACAAGCGACAATCCGAGTAAATGCGGCACAGGATTACAGAACACAGCAGAAATATCACCAATCGGCTTTTAGTCCTGCTCTTAGTCCTGCAATATCGATCCTTGTGTTTCGTTCTGGTTGGTTAATTAGACAGGACCGTCACAAAGGAAGCTTTCCACGGATTGGCGGGAAAAGAAATAGCGCTAACAGCTGCGAAGCTGACCTCCAACTTGTGCGATCCAGATGAAGAAGTACGTTGGGGAGGAGGTCATGTGCGGACACGATATTCGATAAAAGCTCCAATAGTAGCAGATTGTGACGAGCTGAACTGGAGGCACACAAAAAGGTTGTTGTCAGTAAAGAAAATTCCTAGAGTGGGGGGAAGGGGGGGGGAGAAGAATTTGGATTATTCTAACATTAAAGAAAATCGAGTCAAGTAAGTGAAGGCAGGAGATTGTAGGAAAGGTAGGAACGTGGTACGTACTTTGATGCTATAGGGCAAAGGTAGGTTTGAAGACGTATGTATTTTCCCTTTCTTTGCTTGTAAATTTGAGTTGAGGAAACCGCTTATTGGTATGTAATTTCCTAAGTGAGGTAAGACGACAAGAATAAGGTATTGAGCCTTAACTTAGAAGGACCCTACTGCCCCTCACTTTCCCTTTTTTTTTCTGATCTTCTCTATAAAAAAAAAAGGTAGGTCCAGTTGGAAGGTCAAGAGTACACCAAAAAAAAAAAAAAGTGAGGTACTTGGGTATTTTGATATAGTTTCTTAAAAACCTGGCAACGACAAACAAACAGCCAAACAAACAACTACAGACTGCAATAATAGTAACAATAGCAGTTCGTGAGGTCAGTCCTCGCTCGGATGTGTCGCCAATGGGGTCGTCTGCCTTTTTAATCATGTACTACTACCATTACCGCCGCTCCAGAAACCGAACCTAAGCCAAGCTAGCCAGCTAGGATGTCCACTACGACGTGGTACTGCCGGGTCTTGGGTCCTTTGGTTGCGGAGGGAAGATTCGTTCTGTGCCCTAGTTCACGTTAAACGGGGATGGTCTAGCCGGTAGGGGTGGTCTTCTAGAAGAACCACTAGAATAGCATGCAGTACTAGTCCCAGCTAGGAACTAGTGGTCATAGTATGCATATGCGGGGCTGCCATGTACCTATGGTACCTACACCGACGAGATGGTGCTCACCTATTATTAACCAGTTCTTCGACCCACTTGTCGCGTGTCGGCCTAGGCCGGGGGTGCGACAATTAAATTTCAGAAGGGGACAATTATTCCTTCGCCTTGCTTTTATCGTACCACGGATCGGGTTGTTATTCTCCCCCGATGGACTCTCAGCGATGCAATTCAACCCAGCCGTCGAACTAGCTATTGGCCATTAGCCATTAGCTATGTATTTGTTGGAGAACTAGCTTGCTGTCTGGATCGTATTTACGACCACTCAGGTATTACATGTGCGGTTCAAGTTTGCCGATCGCGTTTGGACGAGCCGGGACAGATCTCGGTCGAACTCTGAGCTCTTGGCACGACAAAGATACTTTAATAAAATGGGGGGGCAAAGGATTTTACCGACAAGTTGAAACTCGAAAGCCTGACTCGAAATGACCATATGTAAAGAGCATGTGAAGAAGGTAAACTCGAGCTGAGTGATCAGTTCCAACACCTACCATGCAGAACGATCGGACGGAAGAGAATTATTATATAACATACAACATACTTACCTATCAATATGATTCATATGCTAACAAGAGCCGGGTATTTCCAAGACGAGGCCTAGACGAAAAAAGGCTCACATGTAGATATTCTACACTACCTACCTACCTAGACAAAATTACAGACACAGGGAATATCATCGGGTGTCGCATCACTAGTATCCACCAAGATTATAACCATTGGATATAATTGGCTAATTCATCCCAGTAGTCGGATATCATCTCCTACATACCCAGTACATCTGAAATCCAGGAAGAGCACCAACAGAACGAAAACGAATACTCTACTAACTATACCAGAATTATACACACCTAACTAGCCCAAATCCTAACTACCTAGGTTAGGTATGGTAGAATCCGGGGAGCGTTGTGTCGGAGCAACGCCCTGTCCACGACAGGGAATTCGGAGTCAAAGTCAACTGTCAAACCCCTGAAAGAGGAAAATTAAACAAACAACTCCGGATCACGGTTGGAGAATATTACAGATATTCCCCTAGGTACTACTACTCGGAGTTTACCCCAAGAACGCGATCATATAGGGATCGTAGTTAGATACATATTCTTACATATTCTTATCTCAGGAAAACCATCAAACATGTTTGGCGAATCGGAAAAGATCCTCTATCTCAAGGTAAGACACCCATAGATGTCAGCACCCCAAGTGTGAAGCATAGGCAAACTTGGTAAGAGTTTCCGAACTACTTTACACAGAACTGATGGCTCAGCTGTCGTCCCACGATTACACGCGCAACTCGTACTATGTAAGCACACGTACGAGTTTAGATAGTTATATTATATGCATTCCAGCGGGATATTACAGAAACGAGCTATCATCATGCTCCTTGGCTTCTACTATCATTACATCACTTCCGTCTAGACTCCAGCTAATTTAATAAGCGAGTCTCCTGCCCAGCAGCCTAGGTGGACACCTACATACACCTACATACATAGGTCCATGCATGTCAGTCTCTTCACATGCTTCCAGCTTTCTATATTCGGCAGCATATGGCCAATTAATTATCTATGCAGCTTAGAGAGATCTCAACTACCGTTATTACTACTACTACCATACGCTCTGTCATACGCGAACAGGTACACCACACCTAGAAATCCTCATTTCCACCTTTAGCTACCTATATAGGTATGTATTCCATCGCAACCAATAGCTCGGCTGATTCTAGCTCTCGGAACGTTCGGGAATGCCATGCAGCCTACTCATAATCAATCAATTCCTCCGTTTTTCGATCTCTCTCTTCCTTTTTGTTGCTCTCATCTCCCAGCCACATCCATGTGATTTCATACTCCCCACCTAATAAAAAAAAGAAAATAGTAACGCTAAGCAAGGTCCTAGGTCCCAGGGAGTATTTCTACTCCGCTTAGAATACCTACTGTTATCTTTCAAGCAAACGAACAAACTTATCCTAGGTTAATAACTTAATTATTTATTAACTAATCAACTTCTTTCTATTGGTCTGGCGTTCCCACTGCTCCTTTGAGTATCATAGGATTCAGCCAGCAAGCCAGGTTAGTGTATAATGTTTGAGGCGTTTTCCGTTTCCCGTATCTCCACAACGACCCGTTCACCGGTCTCGATGGCGTGAGTGATAAGAAGCCCGACGCTACTCTTTGATTGTCAATGTCACTTGGCCGGGTGGGCGTGGCCGTGCGTTCCCAGATCGGCGTATGGCCCCTCAAGGATCCGGGGTTACCAATCTCGTAACGCTGTCTTTCTTGCATACAGCCCTGACCGAACCGCTGAACCCAGAGAGCCTTAAATTTGGGTGCTACTAGGCGCATTGCATCTAATACATACAAAATAGCCGGTTCGTCGCTACAACTCTAAGGGTCCGTTAGACAGTAATACAACCTCATACTTGAGATTAGGTAGGTTTGCAATGTCTTCGACTCGGTTAATCACCTTTGCCTCGAGTTCGTCTGATCACGACCCAGTCGTCCCGCCATTGCGTGGTCCGGGGTACGTCAAGCGGCGCACACGTGCGGAGACGGGACAGAATGTAACCATCACGTCCGGAAGGTAGGGTTTCAGAGAACCATATGCTTGTTTCTCATTTGAGGATTGCTTATTTTCCACTGTGTACTCCCGCCGAGTTCCTATTGAATGCTTACGTAGTACACGACTGACTTGCATCGCGAGCCGTTCCGCTCCGTATGACCTCTCGTTCGTCCCCGGCTAGGCGCAGAGGGAATCCGATGACATCTGACTTTACGTCCGTATACAAAGAGTTATACCACGAGTCTAAATTGCACTGCGGCACGATGCATTCGTCTATGCACGTCTCCCGTGTCAGCACTCCACGTCTAAGCATAGGTAAGCTCCTGTCATCACTCATCACTCATTGCCCATCGCCCATCACTTGCTAAAGATGGGGTGATTTTCGAGTTTCATTAAAAGAGACACCTTCTATTCCAGGTTTTTGGGATTCCTTTCTCCGGGCCGTTTGTTCAGTCCCCCTGAACGATCAACCTCAGCCGACTCGGCTCTTTGTCCCGCGATCTCCGCCCGCTTTGATATTCGGCCCACGATTCTCAGACTCATATGAAGATCCGATGAACCATTCTTATTAGACCCGGCTCCGCGACCTCATCCAATGACGTCGCCCCTATTCGGATCGTCGCATCGTTAACGTTGCTTCGAATGGAGGCCTCGAACACCTACTGGATTCCTTGCTGTTTCTTACCTTTTAGCCTAAACAAAACCCTGCCCTATGGAATAACGGATTCGGAAGCACCCATGTACTGTGTCGCTCACGTCGGCCCAATAGAGGAGAATATCGACCTCATTACACGAACTGATAAAGGCATAATTACGTATCAAATTACGACAAATAATATACTCCCGTCCTTATTAGGACATGGCATGACGAATTAGGAACATTGTTCCTGACTAGAACATGTTTAGCTTTTTATGCAACTCTCAGATGACGCCTAAGCATAAATAACTGATGTTCAATTTATAGTTCTTTCCTAGGTCTCGATACCAGGTATTTACCTAGTCTCAGCAATGTTACAGTTCCAAACTTTGCTTAGATACGATCGTCTCCAACCAGGTATGATCACTAGGGAATCACATTTCCTTTTTTTTCTCTATGCTTAAATCGATCCATGGATCTATATCAAGTAATTAGTTGCGATCTTCCTACCGTACGTTCCGTTTCCATAACCTCCTAGTTGAGCATCTATTTGATTACATGCCAAGGCCTCGTCATCTTCTTTGTTGTCCAGTTCGCATATAAAAAAAACCAACACCAATATAGTATGGCGGGCGAAGTGCTCCGAGCAGGAGTTTGGGGAATGGAGTAGTTTGAAAGTTCACCGGTTAAGACGTAAACAAGGCCGGTCTCGGTTTTGTCCAAGGCTTTTGATGAATTGGCCTTGACTCTTTCTCTTCTACTGCATAGGTGTCTCTAAAGGCGGATAAAGGCGGGATCTAATTAGAACGAAATCTTGCTCACACTCCATATGCTATACTAGATATCACTAATAGCTTCCGTCACATAGTCTCTACGGCTATTAAGAGACTTTGATATCCATGGAAATGGATTTTATAGTAAAACACTTTGTTAAACCTTAATCGTTGTTTGCTAATTCAGAGATAACGCTTCACGTAAACGTGTTATATAGCCATTAGAAAATGAATTGTTTATAGGCTGGTTGTTTGTATAGTAACTACACATTAAGCTCAATTTTATTAAACTTGCTTCAATCTCTAAAGTTATACCAAACTCTTATAATATCCTCTTATAATATCATTAAACTCTCTCCGCCCTAATTATCTACTTGAATGCACTTTTATCTAGAGAATAGAGAATATACTAGCTAAGCTTATACTATTATTGCCTACTAACTACTTCTTAGTCTCAAAGCAACTATCGATACACCGAGAATAAGTAAACTTAGTGTAAGTTACATCACCGTCTACATAATTAAAGGATGCTATCCTCATAAGGGGTTTCCATTCAGGATATCCAAGCGCAAGTTGGGTAATCTATTCGTTTTGCAACACTCTTCGTCTTTTTACGCCCTATATTTTGATATTCTTGATAGATTAAAATTACGCTATATTAACTATAAATCCAAAATATCCAGAAACACTTTCACGACCAACGAGTCTTTGGCCGCTGTAACACGTTTCCATCAAGCCTAACCTCAACCCCGTCCTTCTCGTGGTAGAAGCACAAGCACCCCGCAATACCCGCACACTCAAGCGTCGGGGTCTTATAATACCAGACCAGGTCCCCGTACACCCGTTCCCCCCCTTCGTCACCTTTAAGGGTTACGTGATAATAGCTCGCCACGCCCTTATACGGACAAGCAGTCGTAGTCCCGCTCTCCCTCAGCCTATCCCGCGCCACCGCCGTCGCCGGCACGTAGAACCGGCACGGCAGCCCCGTCTCGTGCAGATGATACGAAGAGCTCGTCTGCGCGACCACGTGTCCGTCGACGCGGATCTCCAAGGCCCGTGAAGAATGCAGCACGTCGACCCGTCGGAACGGGTCTTTCGGATGCACGTAGATCGGGACGTCCTCCTCGAACCAGACATCCGCGGCCGCGAACTCGACCCGCACCGTTCTTTCCAGCGGCTTACAGGATGGACTTAGCGCGTCCCCGAAGACGAGGATCCGGTCCGTTGTCCGGGCCCCAACACGAAGTGCTGCTGTCCAGTACTGAGGATCATCGTTGCTGGGCAAACAGGTATGCAGGCCGTGTGTAAACGACTCTACTGGTAGGTAATAGTACGGGTAGTATTCATGCTCCCAGACATAGAGCGCTGACGTCGTGTCGGCCACGTACACGTTGTTAAACAGGATCCGTATCCGGCGGGATGTGGCAAGGGTCTTAACGGGGCCGTTTTCCAGTAACGTCTTCCCAAGCTTGAGGAGATCTGATTTCGCGTGTGAGGTTGCCATGTTGGAACCCGGTTTTCTTATTTTCCTTAATGATAATATAATATAGTTAACAGAAGGTCCAATATCACAAATTTAAACAAGAGCTCTCATGTCACCTCAGCAAAGTTTGGACAATACAATTTAGGGTTTATGGTTTATTTCTTGATTATTATTACTTTTTTAACCACCGTACTAACCTAACGTACGTCTTGGTTATTTGACTGTTGATGATTGATTGGTATCAGTCAAGGCGGGGTAGCTACCCCAGGTACAAGTTCAACTAGATATATGGCTTTCGATGCCCTGACATCATGAACCTGCATGATAGGTTGTGGCCTTCATGATGTATCATTATCTGAGGACGTGAGAGACTTGCGCCGTGTAACCCCCTCTTGCGGTTGTACGCCACAATCTGTGCCTCTAAAAACCAACGATGGCCACACTGAATCCGTCCTAAACCCGCAAATTGTACAAACCAATGCGGCGACTATCTGATATCAGCTAGTTTAATATAAAGGGTATCTCTCAAATGACAATGTCTCCCGAATCCAGAGGCCTTGTAGAAGCTTTCCCTCCTATGCATACCTTTACTTGCTACTAAAAGACGGCCCAATTCCCTAATATCCTCTCGTGTGCCGTTGATGTTAGGGACGCCTCTCCATGCATGATACTTCCAATACACCCGGTATGCCTTCCTATGATCCTGTGCCCGTTATGCTAGACCATAGTGTAATATAAAAATCTGATGGGTGAAGAGAAGTGCCGAAACCCAAATGTATCCCCTCTTAACGCCATCGCGATGCCGTACAAAACGGTGAATGATACGATACGAATACCGCCGCGGTTCATCTTCACCATGTTAACTTCTTCAATCATCAAGAAAAGGGTCGAAATCAACCTCCAACCTCTTAGCTGCGGGCTCCTCCCGGATATCCTGCTCGGTAAGCCCATGCTTGTCTAGCCAGAGCTTGCGCAGCACCTGATAAATGAATAGGTACTGGGACTCAGCCTGGACCATCTGCTTGCGCTGCTCCCTGAGCGCGTCGACCGTCTTATAGACAATATCCTCCCCACCCCTGGTGGCATTCATCTCAAGACGATCCACATCGCCCGAATCTATCTCTCGCATGAGATGCTCAAGGGCCATGAATGTTCCGCTTCTTCCTACACCTGCCGAGCAGTGAATTATTCGTGGATTGTCTTCGCTCGCATTCTTCTCTCGTGAAAGACGCATGAGCTCGAAGAAGCTGTCAATGTCCTCAAGAGCTGGGACACCGAAGTCGGGCCACTTGCGGTAAAGAAGGTGCCATACAATCATATCGTCCTCTCGGTCCTCAACGTGAATGCTGAGCTTTCGAACCTCAATTGCACCGTTCGCGTGCTCTTCGATATCGACACACTTGATCTCGGCGTGGAAACCGTCTCCGAATTCGTCGTCCTCGCCTATTATCCATGGCTCTTCCTCGACGAAACGAGGAAAATATGGGTAGCACTTCTCCATCCCACCCTCGTGTGTCTCGGTCAGCATCACAATTACAGCTGGGCTTTGTAGCTGCTCCACTACCATTCGCCAAACGTGATCCATAGTCCCGGATTTAGGTCCTTGCATAGCGATGTAACGATGCGGTGGCTTGGTCTGAGGATCTAGGAGGGAACGGAGAGTAATAGGCGACGCATTGATATAATCGAGCTGACCGTCTGGCACCTGTAGCTTGACGCGGTTGTTGGCCCATGGTTGGATATTCGCGTACCGGTCGAGGATCTTAGTCTCGGGCGTCGTAACGCGTGCAAATCTGAAATTTGGGGATGGGTTATGCAAGGATTCCTGGAGACGAAAACGCTCTGTCCAGTTAAGATCGTGGAACTTAGCCTCGATATCTGTGATTAGAGTAGGGATTATTAGCATCTCAATACTTCAATACTATAAACAGATACAAACAGAAGGTTGCGCTTTCAGCGTGGTATAGACATACCTTGTTGGGACTGATTTAGGAAAGCTGGAATCCTGGGCTTGGGGGTTTCCTTGATCATTTCCTTCTCACTTTTGTCTTCAACAGCGCTAGTTGGTGTTGATCTTCCAAGTTCGACTGCGCTATCCTGACTAGCTACGGCGGGTGAAGCAGGCATAGGTAACGAAGCCGGAGTGGGAGATCGGGCGCGCTTATGCGAATGTCGAAAATGGAAGCCTCGACGAAAAGGCGATTTTGAAGGTAGATCATTGCGAGAAGCATGGTTAGTTGGAATGGTCAAGGTCGGCGGTGGTTCACGGCAGCCCACAGGGCCAAGCTTGCTTTCCGACGATGATTTGTCGGGAGGTGATCCAGATAGAATTCCAGCGGGGGGAGTCGTAGGAGAAGCCCTCTTAGTGCGCCGGAAACGCGAGGATATCGAGTCCATTATGGTTGGACGACCCGTAGAAAAATGGTATAAAACGGTAGCGAGAATGACGACGGAAAGACGATGGTGGAGTAGTGAGGGCCACGTAGACTTCGCAACGGCTGGTTGTGAGAGTGAGGGGACCAATGCAATGTAGCCTTTCCCTGACAGAACTTTAGAGGGGGCGAATAGTCAATTAAAGAGGAGGAAGAGGCGGAGCTTGTCCACGAGCTTGAAGTAATTGGCACGTGGTAGTTGATGTGAAATTCCAATGAGGCAAGGCGAGGCAATGAGATGCGATGTGGTGCGAGGCTAGGCCTACGAAGTAGAAGTACGTAGTGGGGAAAAAAGAACAAGAAGAAGAAGAAGAAGAGGTTATATTAAGTTACCAGTAAGGATCAAGGCAAGACTACCTCGGTCATGGGTAACTTGGAATGAAGCGTTGGTTTTGTGGATAATAAGTTAAAAGGAAAAAAGGAAATGAAGAAGTAAAGAGAAGAGAACTGAGGTTATTTTCGGTGTTGCTTCCAATAATTACCTGGTAGTTAGAGAATACCGTCAACCTGGATTGGGAAGACGGCAAGGATGGGGGGGAGGCAGCGTAGCAGGGGAATTAAATAAGAATGTGGGTCGCCATTGGCAGGTCTCGGATGCCAGATGGTCAGGTAGTACAATCGTACAATCGGTACCGCATAACAATAAGAAACAGTGAATGATCTGGAAGTCACGGTCGGTTCACAGTTCACAGTTTACAGTTCACATGTGCCTAACCAGCTGAGGTGGATTCTTTTTTTATTTTATAGCGGGGATGTATTATAGGGCACGGGTACGTACCGGTGCAGCAGTTTACAATGGTATTGTACATAGGTACATAGTACAATGGTGCAACGGTGCGACGATTTAAGCATTAACGGACAACGAATGGGCTAGGGTTGCCCCACGAACACGACAACTTTAGGCTAGGTAGTCTCTAACTACAGAAACCTTAGAAGGAAGTTATCAGTTGTTCAGCGTACCCACACCTGAGGCCTATCATGTTTCAGCGAGAATGTGAAAATGTGAAAATGGTAACGGATCAGTCTGGCAATTATATTTAGCATACCTTACGTAGGTATTTGGTTTGGCTATGAATCATTCCAACTTGTAGGATTGAAAGGATGACGTTTTGGGAGAGTTACAGATTAGTACGTGACTTTGTACTTAAACAAGCAAACAACAGAGCGCTTACATAAAGATGGCCTGAGCTTAGCCCTACAAACTACAAACATCATATTCTTGGGACTATTTACTGGCAATCATTATTGGGTACCTTGAGTGGTAGCTTATAATGTAGAGTTTAATCTCCTTATGATACATAGGTATATTTAATATCCCTATCCATTTATTTCAGTCCGAGTACCAGGAGCATAGGTGAATAAAAGGGGTTGTTGCGAAGTGAGCTATTGGTAGTGTAGAAACGAGAGTCGATCGTTTCAGTAGTTGTTACTACATAGTATATAAGCTCACCCAACTAGAGCATATTTTTCTGAATTAGGTTATGCTTGAAACATGGGTGAATATGTGTGTACGTCCCTCGTCCGACCACTTGGTGTTATTTCGTTTAAATCCCACTGCTGCATCAATTCTCCCGGCCCCTCCGGAAGTAATTTTTCACCTGTCTCATCCTCGTTTATCCATAACATACAAGTGATGCGATTGCGCTATTAAAACAGTATTCTGGCTAGTGCCTCATGCGTGTCCTGGTTCTCTTGTAGCATGATCATTGGTGGGCGGGTCCCAGTAGTGGTCTCTATCCAGGTGTTACCCTCAGCTAACGTCTCTAAAATATCTGGTGATGACACCCAATCTTGTGTCTTCTCTAGGCTTGTTTATAATAGAAGAGATTTCACTTGAGCCAGTATATGGAAAAGGAAAGTCTACTACCATTGATATAGCTATGGGCTTTAACATTGTAATCCATGGGCTAGAGGCCGCCATTTTCTGCAACATAGGATAAAGGGAACAAGCGTCGCACTGTTATGCTTAGCAAGCCATTTAAAGATTTCTAATAGAATCTCTGGTACTAACTTAGCAATATATGAAACTGGCGAGGCCATAGTATAATTAAGGAATTCTGAAATGGGCCTCTAAGAGGAAAGGGAGAAAATGGTATAATTGGCAAAAAGAGGGAAATGCCCACATTATCGCAGCTAGTGCTATTAATTCCGAATGAATGAGGTATATTTGGAAATACTCAAGCGTGTAACTTATATCTTTAATAATTAAAATGATACCGGAAATATATAAAGCATCTATATAATTCAACTTTGATTCTACTCTAATTTCTTTATGGTTATGTGGATTAATTGACTTTTTAGGAGACTATAATGTACTAGACTTCTCAATAGGTCTAGTCTTATAAGACTTATTTTGAATAATTAACTTGTTATATAGTTGAGAGAAATACATATATTAGTCTTGCCTAAACAATTGTCTCCTAATCCTTGTATTATCCTATTTACGACCTCTTTTTCAGCTTAACGTGGTCATTATAATGTGACGGTGACGAACGGCTGTTGCTTCACTATTATACGTAATACAAGCAGGGTGATACCATTACTTCAAAAAGATAAGAGTTTCAAACAGCGTAGTTACACCTGATTTGGGCAATTTCTTCTGAAGTGAAACTCGTTAATAAGTAAACCCGTATAACTAGATTCCTATGATATGTGTCAAGGCTGTCTTCATTCATTCCCTCTGAGTCAGACGACCGTTACATCTGCATATATACTGATTCAGAAAGCCATGAAATAGGCATAAGGTAACCTAGGCTATCTACATAAGCTACATTATTCCATCACATACACTCAGCTAACTAGGCAACGTGAAATCTATGCGTAGGTAAGTTTATTTACAAGACTACTTAAACACATAGAGAACCCCCAGTTTGGCTTTCCTTCAAACCCCAGAAAAAAATTCCCCCTTATTCACCATGAAAGAAATTTGTCCCGATACAACTCGCAGAACAACGATTTCAATATGTCCTCCCAAGACAATAGTCCCGATAGCGACTTAGACGTTGCGATAAATTACCTAGCGACACGAAGCACCACACCCACGCCAAAAGACACAAACAGCACGAATAATACCAACTATACAAACACAGACTTTAATTCTGTCAGCAGCTCTGAGAATCAGCCACGCAGCGAGAATCCTAAAACTGTGAGATGGGCCGAGCCAATTGAGTCAGAGATTCCGAATACTCCCTCTCATGACTCTGCTCCAAAGTCAGCCTAAATCGAATTTCTGGGAGCGACATTTAGATAAGAGCCTAACTAGCTATCCTAATGAATTACAGGGTAGCATACAGCTGTAAGTTGTAGTGCATTAGATATAATACCTAGTTTAGTAGCTTTGCATTTGCTTCCTTCGAGATCATTTCACAAGAAAGATCGTTACGATGACACCTTTACTTACATAGGTATATTAGATTATCTATAATATTGATTTCTGCTCTTCATTTCTTGGTCTCTTAGCGATATCGGTACTCTCTCGATCGACAGATACATCGGATCTCATGATAGTTCAGTATTTATACATCAAATTGCTTCTGTTTGAGCCATAAGTAATAGTTGCGATTTGTGGATACCTTTGGGCTGACGCCAACTGGAGATATTTTCGGTGTTTCCGACATTTGAGCTTAGCTTTTTCCAAGCAATGGGTACATACATAGGCAATTTATAAGCAGGTACGTAGGTACACAAATGGGTCGGGAAGTATCGACGTGATGTTACTGCGGGAACGGATCCGGGCAAGATGGCGGCGCATGTGTCTTTCCGATTTTACAGACGAATTGGGCCAAAGCTTAATTTGTAATCACTAAATTTCATTGTCAAATTACGTGTTATTACATACCCAGGTACTCTTCGGGGAGCTGGCAACTGGAGCTGAGATATCATAGTTATTAGTAAAAACTACCCGAGAATCCAGGGGTGAGTTTATGATGTACGCAACTGAAAATATAGTATAAAGCCATGAGTCCGGATCACACAGGTATATGTTTAATTACACTACCCTAAGAATTCTTTGTGACAAGGCAAGATATAAATCAAACGTTGAACTTAACTCACACTTACACTTCAATATGTCTAAGCCCACAATATTGATCGTCGGCGGTTCGTTCGCGCCACCCGAGGTATACAATGATATCGTCGATGCCATTGCGGCAAAAGGCTATGATATTAAAGCTTTACATTATCCAAGTATTGGCTGGAGGGCTGGGCCAAGACCAGAAAAGCTGCCGACCATGTACGATGATGCTGCCTTTGTCGCCAAGCAGGTATCCAAACTTGCGGACGAAGGGAAGGACGGTAAGCATCATAGAGCTCCTAAATCCCGATTCATATAGATAGCCAAGGCAAAATATTAACGCTACATGCTGCAGTCGTTCTAATCGCCCATTCCTACGGAGGTGTGCCAGCTGCTGAGAGCACCAAGGGACTCACGAAGAAAGAGAGGCAGAGTCAAGGTAAAAGGGGCGGAATTGTCAGGCTTGCCTACATATCATCATTGGTACCGCCTGTAGGACGCTCCTCGCAAAGTCTTCTCGCAGAAATCCCTAGCGAAAATCGGATCGAATTTAAAACTGATGTTAGTTACGTTTCCGTCTCTTTAATCTTTCCTGCTGCTTATTCGTTCGCCACCATCTAATGCCATCATAACAGGAACAAGGTTGGATGGATTACGTCGATCTACCTGCCGCCGCTACACTAATAGTCTCAGACCTCCCTGACGCGAAGGAAAGAGAAGCAACCGTTGGAAATTTCCAAACCCACTCATCTGCTAGTTTTGCTACTGAGTTGACACACCCCGGCTACAAGGATCTCCCAGTGTCGTACTTGTTGTGTGAGGAGGACGCCCTTCTCCCCCCCAAGTATCAGAGAGACTGGATCGAGTTGATTGAGAGAGAGAGTGGGAACAAGGTCGATGTCACGTCTCTGCAGGCAGGTCACTGTCCTAATTTCACCAAGCCGCAGGAAGTGATAAACTGGATTGTGAATGCGGCAGCAAAGGGTGAAAACAAGTAGGTTGCGATAAGTTGCGATAAATATGGGCGGGATCGATAATTACCTACCTACAGGGCAATTGTTTGTGATTTATTTTTTATTATGTAACGTAGATAGCTGATAACTATTAAAATGGAATCACCTTTCGATTTCGACAATGTGGAATTTGGAAGGTACTTACAACAACAGAGGAGAGATATAGGACTTGAAACGTCTAGGCATGGAAAGCAAAGTAGAGGCACCAACGATGCCCCCGCCTACACATATCCGCTTAGTTACATGTGTACAGCTTTGGGATACCAAGAATATATCTCGTAGTTTGAGGCTTAGAATACTAGCTAACAGTTAGGTTGGTTAATGCAAGGCTCCACTATTACTTCTGACGATGTTTAAAAACCGAGAGGATAATACTAGATAAAGTCAGGTATTCTACTTCAAAACGACAGGTAGTTACATAAAATCTGAAAAACCCGAGATGTCAAAATATAGTGAAGCATGTTGCAGGTATGACTTTTCCCCTTTCCCAGCAGTTCACCCTATATTTAACTCAGTATAACCACTCGCCAGCCACATCTTATAGAATCCCCCCCATTGTTGACGAGGGCTATGAGCTCGAGGGCACGTATATTGAACTCAACGGGACTAAAACCTGTAAGTACTTGAAGCAATAGACGATAAATTTAGAATGATGGTACTGATACTTCCTTACTAGGAAGATGTGACGGGCTCATGAGTGCCCGCGCCAATCTCAAGGATGACAAAGTGAGAGCCGAGTATGAAAGGAGCTACAAGCTTGCCTTAGGGTTCTTCCATGATCATTTCTGAGAGGATATTCTCGTGCTCTTTGATGGTTCATAAAACTCTAATTATTTTATTATTTTTTATTCGATCCCTTTGTAGTGGAAGTTTCATATTTAAGTAACTACATAAACTAGGTGTGAGGTGTAAGTTGCCTTTATCACTTGATCGCCTCCCTATTTCGAACAATGTGCTTAGGTAACTACCTAAATAATTACCTAAGTACATACTGTAATGGTGGTGTGGTTGAACAGAATCACGTGATATTACGTCTATTGAAAATAAATTGGATATTGAGGTACGAAGTAGCTGTTAGGTTTTCATTTAGGTTTGTGGGTCTTGTACTTGTCTCTAAACACGCTTTCAACGCGTCAAGCTCCCGGTGCCCAACTCTCCCCACTCACACATCCTCCCCCAACCTTCCATAACAATATATCCAATCTAAATTATAATTCTTACAATTCTTACAACTCTTTCAGCTATGAACTGACGGATTGTTGAGTTTGAAATATCTGATTTCTCGGTAAATAGCATATCACACCCAATAATTTTCGATTATCACCAACCATGCCGCGACCTAAGAGAACACGCGTCGCGTCGACTCGAACAGTCGCAAAAGCCACAAGCCCCGAACCCGTTATGGTACCGAAACAACCTGTCGAAACCAGCTCTGATATATACGATGTGAGTGACCGGGAAAAGGAAAAGGCAAAACAGAGACGTGAGTCGATGCGCGATGCGACTACTATTACGCGCACGCGATCTACATCTTCACACCAATTGAAGGCATTAGAAGTCGCGCGACAGCAACGCGACTCCGCCATGGACAGGCTAGAAAATATGACTTCGACGTCGAGCAATAGGGCAGATGAGCCCGGAGAAACCTCAGAACCTTCGGTCGAATTAGGGCGCAAAGTGGCCGGGACCCCACTGCAGAAGAGAATGGCGGACATGTCAGGGCTGGACTTGGACGATTCAGACTTTGACGACTTGAATACAACATTTGATGCCGCAGGTCCAGCAAGTGCGCAGCGATCAGCCGACACGTCTAGTATGTCTGCTAGTGTTTTCAAACGACGGCCCCGCGCGGGAAGTTTTCTAAGCAGGGAGGATGGTTACATTCGTCCTAGCAGCCGGACGGGTCCCAATACGCCTGGTTATAGCTCGACGTTTAATATCGGCATGTTCAAGAGGAGAGTACGAGAGCCTAGTATCCTCGGTACTGCCCAAAAGCCGCGTCCTCAAAGATTAGAGCCTGAGCCCGAGCCCGAGCCGGAATCTGACCAGGGTGAAGACGAAGAGGCAGTTGATGAAGAAGGGTTTGCCCCTGAAGCCGAATCAACCCCGCTTAAGCCTTCTAAGAGACGTTCCCGAGAGGTTGAGGCTGGCCCAGCGTTGCCGCAGGATTTACCACGCGCAAATTCGCGTAAGCGAAAATCCTCAGAAGGCCATGAACGCCGCACAAGATCATCCCCATTTGAAGACAATAAACCGGTCGAAGATCCCGTACTACAGGGATCAGATTCAGAGCTATCATCTCCCCCATCTACTCCCCCGCTTCGACAACAAAGCAGTAGGCCCGTAACACCTATTATGGACGAGGAGCTTATGGCGCCTCCATTAAGCAGCGGTTCCTCCGAGGGAGATTCAGAGGTCTGGCCGCCTCTCCAGTCGCTCACGCGAGCTCGTCTGAGACGGCCGGCCTCGGTTCTCCGAAGGACCCCAGTTGCAAATGATAATGTTTCCGATATCTCTTCGCCGCCCTCCCTCACTTACTCTCCAAATTACCGCGAGTCTTCTCCACCGCCGCCGCGACAGGCCGCAAAGACCAAGCGCAAGGGCACCTCTAAGCCGGAGCCTAAAGTCACGACTGCAGATTTAGCGGGCTTGCTACCGCGTCGGCGCCGTAGAAACGCTAGAGTGGACGATGAGGATTCAGAAGCAGAGGTTGACATCTCCGGCCTGGGCGATGACGACGACGAGCTCTCTTACCTTGACGTCCGAGCCCGACGACACCCAATGCGGCCGGGCTCCCGAGCAGGACAGTCCAGGAACCAGAATGCGGAACGGGCGCGTCCTATTTCGCGCGGTAAGACCGCAAAGCAGACTCCTAGCACCAACAGACGTACTACGATCACGTATGGCCGAACATCAGACAAAGAGAACCAAGGGGAGTCCGAGGGGGATGAAGCAGAAGAAGGCGAGGCCGACGAGGAGCAGGACGAGGAGGAAAGCAGCCAGGTCATGGTCTCGCGAGTAGGCGAGGAACTGAAGAACGCAGCGCGCAAGTTCCAGGAGGTGGATAAATGGCAGCTTGACTACGAGGAGATGACGCAGAGTAGTTCACCACGGGACGCTCGCTAAATCCGGAAAGTATCTTATTATCATTCAAGGGGAGTATAGGAAAAGGGCTTTGGGAAACTGGAGGGGGTTGGGGGTTGAAAGTTGCCCGGTTATGATGCATGATGCATAGTATGGGTCTTCATCAAGTTGCTACCTGGTTAACGTTTTATAGTCAGCTATGCTTTATCGCTTTAGAAGGGTTAGGGAGATCGAATGGCATGAAGATCGTATACTATTTAAGTGATATGATGGCTCGATACCTCAATCAATACCAGCCATCCATCTGCATTTGCTATGCGCCATAATTTTTATACCATGTCTTTCCTTCGGAGCGTATGATCGTGTATCAACCCGTTTACTTGTGGACGTATACCTCTCGGAAGCCAAAGCTCTACTCGTGCCCAACTCCGCAAACGCCAAACCATGCATTTCGTAGAATTCATAAACCCGTCTGTCTGTTCATTCCTCTTATAGCCCCCAATCGGCCAAATCCAATCCTTAGAAATAAGCTCTCGAGATTCAAGATGATCCCATCCGTATCTAATGTCTACGGTCTCAGCGAGACGCTTTCCAAAGTCTGCTCCACCGTAGGAAGCAAGTCGACGATCTTATTAGCGTCACGTAACGCTATCGTCACAGCGTCGGGCACCAGGCCCGTCATGAGCAGTTTCTACACAAAATCAAGTCAGCTTTTTTTTTTTTGTCCAACATTCCTAATTTCTTCCATATAGCCCTCTCTCCTTTTCCATCTCGAGATTTCGAGCAACAGTTGGAAAAGAAATATAAAAAATTTTGTCGTAAAACTTACCCGCTTAACATCTTCGAACCCCAGCTCCTTCGCCGTGTACTCGCGCGTGACCTCCTCGGCCGCGAAATCAACGTACACGCGCGTGTCGCGGACGCGCACGACGACGTTATCTAGACGCATGAAGAGGCGAGCTAGCAGCAGCATGCGCCGCTCGTGCACGCGCAGCTTAACGCTGAGGACGCTGATTCCGTTGTCGTCGAGTTCGCTCTCGTACAGCATGACCTCGTCGAAGAAGAGGATGGGGTCGCGGCGTTTTAGAAGTTCGATTGGGATGGGGTTTTTTGAAGGCTTGAAGTCGAATTTGCTGTCTCGGGCTGTTTCTGCTGTCTGCTCGCTTGATTCCTTGGATTCCCCCGTGTTGCTGTCGTCCTCGGCAGCTGCTGGACCTAGCGGCGGCGGGGGAGCTCGGGACGACGGGGGGACGACGCTGCCCCGGTACGTGGTGCTGTAGCTCCAATCGTACGGCCTAACTACATCTTTGATGCCGGCGCTGGTCTGCTCGCGACTGGCAGACCAGCTCTTGGCGTAAGCAACCTGGAGCATATTCCGATCGGTCTTGTCCACGGCATCTAAAGCATCGCGAGCGTTGAACTCGACAGCCCAGCCGGAGGGCACGTGGCGCACGGAGACGAGGTTGTCGCCGAAGATCATCTCGGGTACGGGGATGCCTAGCTCTTGCTCTAAAGCTTCGATAGGGCCGGCTTTAGAAATGGGCAGTTTTCGCGTTGAGATTATGAATGAGCCTTGCCGGTGTGATGTTGTCGCTTGCGCGATGTCGTCCGGCCGTGGAAATGGCTCATTAGGCGAGGTTATGTGCGCTGCCATAGTTGGAATTTGTTGGGTTTATATTTTTGGGGGGGTGGTAGAGGTAAAAGTATTGGTTTAGATGTTCCAAAATAATAGTCAATGTTGAAGTTTGTCAAGCTCTAAGAATAAAGTAGAGCTTATCATAGAGGGGCAGAGCTTCGTCACAGCGGGGTTGCTTTCCCAGAAATTGGAGGTGGGACCTGACGGTACATACTACATAGGTAGGTAGGTATGTAAGGTACACAGTACTACATACATGTATATAACTACCTACCTGAGAGGTACCTAAGCTTAATCCGTCAAGGCTCACCTGCAGCTATCAAGTCTCTAACTTAGACTCAACACATACCTATCCTATCCTATCCTATCCCATCCCATCCTAAGGCTTCCAACGATATATTCCGACTCTGACAGTATAACAAATGTCAAGAAACATACTATAGTTAGGTAGTTATGCCATATTAAACATTGACTCTAGTTGGTAGAGCACTACCGCTACCTTACCCAATAGTCTTTTCTACCATCGGCCTTCTATCATAACACAATAACTCCCTTAGTTAAAGCGACACGACTCTTATGCACCTTACCCAGCTCCCTGTTACCCGGTATCCTCAGCCGAAGAAATAGAGCTACACGCTCGAAGTAATATGAAGAGATGAACCCATTCCCAAATCTCTCAAGCACGGCCGGCAACTCTCGCCCTCCTTGCTTCTTCGTCTCGATTAGCCGCAACACGAGCCAAGAAGTCTTGTCGGTTGACGTAAGACTCCTTCGACTTCCCAGCAAATTCTAGTTCGTCTTTGATACCCTCCTTATCGACAAATCCTGCCCAATCCATGCGGCTTTTCTCGACTACGTTAAGCTTCTTGGCCTTTGCCTGCTCGCGCAATTGTAATCTTGCGCCCATGCCGAGATTCAAGTCTGCGCGCTGTGTCAATCCTTCGATGACGGGCTCGAATATAGATCGGAAGGCTTTTCGGGGTTTCCGTCTAGACTGACTGTTCTTGGCTTCGGCGTCTTCGACTAACGTGGGATCTTGAGATGCTAGGTATAACTTCGCTTCCGCCGAATCTCGGGGCACCAGCTTCTCTTCGACGTGCACCTTACCAGCAAAATTGTAGGTACGCTTTATCTTTATCATTGATACCGGCTCTTGTCTACCTGGCTTCTCTGCTTGTGGTCTGTCCTTTGCACCTTTGGATTGCTCATCCGATCCTTGTTCCTGAGTTGGCTTCGGGGGTTCCTTTTCCGTTTCTATATCTGCTTTAGATGGTACTAAGGGAGCGGCGGTCATTTTAGCCCATAAGTCGTCCACATCAATCGTTACTGGGCCGGTGGCTGCGCGCGACTTCTTTTCGACCTTCTCCGCTGCTCGCATACTCCGGGTCTTGATTAGCCCACCTTCACCACCTTCATCATCCTCGACGTTGTCATCCTTCCGCCTTTCCTTCTTTCGTCTCTTCTTGCCCCTTTGTATTATCGCCTCGTCACCCGAGTTTTCAAATCCATCGTCGGCATCTGAATCGGCGCCGCGCTTCTTACTCGGTACCGCGACTAGTTGTACTTCATCTTCAGATTCTGAAGCCTCGGCGTCGATATCTAATGGCGCTGCGTCGGGCGCAAAATCGGAATCTTCATCAGATGCATATTCCTCGTCTATGAATGGTTCCTCAGTCATATTTTAATAGGATGGGCGTATGTTTTCTAATCTAGGTGACGTCTAGAGAAACTGCAATCTAGGTTACAGGCTGGAAGATGTTTGGCGGATGATTCGCGATTCCTAAAGAGCTGGGGGAATTTTTGGAGCTTAGGTCCTTTATCTTATCGAATTTGCTGACTTGCCAAGATATATGGATCCATAATGTCTCCACTGAAGTGCAGGTATTGTATTGTATGTACAAGCAAGCTTGAGTGGTATTACTTCACACTTAAAATTAACTACTTAACCTAGTTAGTTCCTCTTTAAACTTCAAGTCTAAACTAAAAGTGCTTATGAATATCAACACAGTTCTGCCCATCAGACGTGTACAACAAAACCAAGCACCGAATATACATATGCCAGTAATGCTTCTCAACCCCTCAGAACCCCCAGTACCCCTTCACAAGATACGCAGCATACCCACCCAACCACAAAGTCGTAGCCATAGTGCCCCAGTAGCCAATTGGTCGACCCAAGCCTAATCCATTAATAAGACCCAGCTCCACGTGTAGGACTCGGAAAGTCAAGAGGGCGGTGAGGGCGTTGCTGAGAGTTCTCTGATTTGCGCCGTTCAGTTCAGCAAAGGCTGCAATGATGAGAGCCATTGGTACATTTTCGATAAAGTTTTGATGGCAGCGGCTAGCCAGGTACAACTTGTTATTCGGGTCGCCGTTCTTGGACGAGTTGTCGCCGACATAAAACTGATCCTTGAGACGGTGGTATACAACCCGGCAGCTTAGAAAAGCAAAGTATGCCGAGAATGGCATAGCAAAAGTGCCAGTAACGGCTATCGTTGAGAGAATAGCTGTTAGCATTTCTTGATAGGCCCGGCTTAAGTATAGATAGAGATAACTTACGCAAGAGGGGTGCAAGTGCCGGGGTTGTAATTCCGATTATAGACGACATGTTGATCGGTATCGATTCACAACGTATCTATAAATTGTTGCTTAGAGATATAAGTGAAAGGAAAGAAAAATGATTTAACATAGTTAGTATAAAAGTCACTAGGCTCTCAAGCAGATGAAGCTGTTATATACATACATAGACTTGTCTTTTAGCGTTAACATCACCAACTGCGCGGATCCGCTCATTAGCATCCTTTAAAGCGCCCGTACGAGATAATCCTTGCAGCATGACTCATATCCAGTACAGGTAGCTATTTACAATGTTTACTGTTCACAGCTAAACAGCTGGAATACTATTTTACATTTTGAATACATATACTAACTAGGTATCTAGGTACCTAGGTACCTAATAATAGGCTACATCTTATAAAAGTGACGGCGGGTTATCGCACGGACACCACTATCGATGCAAGGGATTATGTATAACTGCTTACCTCACTAGAACTAAACCTATCCTTATAAAATTGATTATTGCTCATGTATTGTTCCTAGGCACTTAATACATCAAAAGCCTTCACTCCGAGTTTTATAAGATGAGTAAAAGAATACTTTTATAATCTGACCTTCCATTTTGGATCAGCTAGAAAGGTTCGATTGGCTGCATGGGTTTTCGATGCCAAGACCCTTGCCGTCTTCAATAACGTCCTCAGATCTTCCCCAGATTCTTAAATGCCCCCACAGTTTTAAGGTAAGATATTCTCGTGTGTAACCCGATTGTGTCATGAATCTCATAAATTCATTGACGTCACTGACTTGAGTAGACGTAAGTAGAAATCGAGTAAGCACCTCTTATAAAGTCGGCGTCTTTCAACATTTCCAGCAAGTCTCATATCTACTTTTCTACATATCAACCAATAGTATTATACCTTCTTCGTGCCAATCACCAGTCATCATACATTCCGGCAAATCACAACCATATCCCAAATCAAACAAAATGTCTTCACAAAACAACAGTCAGCAACCTTCTCTAATTGGCGGCCACGCCGAATATATCAAGGGAGTCACAGAAGTCAGTCTAACCGGCCATAATGAAATCACCTTTTTATGCCCACCAAGTATGCTAACAACGACCAGTCAGCTATCGGCAGCGTCACAGGGTCACAGGCTTGGACTAGCTCCGGAGAGCAAGACAAGGCCCATGCCGTAGATACCATGAAGACGGCTGGCGCGAACCGCGATTCATCTCAAGGGTTCGGCAAGGTCGAACAGAAGTTGGGTCAAGCCACAGGCTGCGAAGGTATGGTCAAAGAGGGGGCAGCTAGCAAGAAATCCGCATAGATAGAGAAACATTGTAACATCATGTATATTAATATCAAGTGTGTTCTGGATGCTCATGCTACTTGAATAGAAGAAAATAAGTATGCGCAATTGGTGAGGTATAAGATTGTATTGTCAGTTCTGTTAAGGTTTTATGTTTTACCATCGGGTATCGCGGTGGCAGCTAAAAGGGTAACATCGCATCCTCGGAAGACTAGGATTCATCATCCGCGTTGTATTGTATATACGTTCGTATTAAAATGTACCTAGACAAGCTTTTTAAGGTACCCGATGGTAAATTCCCTTCTAAATTCCCAATAAGGGCGGCTGGAAACACGATATTGAAACCTGTGGTTCACATGATAAGTAGGTAGGTATGTATGTATATTATACGTTAGGTAGTATTGTAACTGACGCAATAAATCTTTTGAAAAACAATAGCTTGTAGCCTATCGACTCAATTAGGAGGACCGTTTAAATGTAAGTAATCCGAAACTTCAATTCCAGGCTCTGATATATTCACAATTAGTAGGTAGTTAATAACTTAAGAAATACTCCTAGAAACTAGAAAACAAAAAGCCGCAAGAAAATGACTAGTAGCTAATACCACTGTATGTCGCATTAGGGATTCACTTCAACCCAAATAAAAACCAAAAAGTCTAGTCTTTAGTGTGACATAAAGGATCAACATGTAGGTAGACGTTCAATATACCCCCCCTTACTTAACTTTCCCCTCCTTTTTCTTGTCCATCTATTGCTTGGTGATGGTTTCTTATCTGTACTCCCTATGAAGTCCAGCCATAAGTACCTATTTACTAGGTTACATAGTTTCTACCCAAGCATTGAACTAATTGAATAGGTACCTACCTATGCTTCTGTGAGCTGCTTACTTTTCGCAGCTATTTAGGCACATTAGAGCCTCACGATAAGAGGACAAAGGAGCACAGCAAGTGTGGGGCCCAGTCTCAATGTCATAAACTATAGTTACATTGCAGCAAGGTTCCGCAGTAGCTTAAATCACATCATGTAGCGTACCTATGTAGGTTAGGACTTTAAGCATTTTCGATAAGGGTCAGATGGGCCATCGGAATGACCGGAGAAAAAAAAACTATTATTAAGGTTTGCTGTTCCTGTATTTTTTGGGGGGGTTCTCAATTGTTTAGGTATGTACCATTTAAGATATTATAATGATGCATCTAATATAAATTTAATATTTGCAATACGATCGAATTGTCAAACAAGCAAAATCAGAAAAAAAGCAAGGTACATATCGAAATTACGGTCAAGATATTCGATATGCATATCATTAGACTTGGAATCACTTTTCGAGTCACAAATTGCATACCTTAGGTACATAAGTACTTAACTACCTACCTAAAACATACGTGCATGGATGTACATATGTTGCCTTGGGTCCACTGCATCATGCCCGTAACCCCGCAGGCCAACCCCGCTAGTACCTACGTACCTAACATACACTAGGTACATCCTACATCAGCAATCGCATATCCATCCATCGTGCGACCTGGCTATGTAGGTAGGTATGTATGTATGTATGTACATACAATACAAACTGGAAGCTAGTCCCCTGTGGACCCTGAATTCAGAGGCAACCCTTAAAGCACTCTTTGGAAGCACCAAGGGTCCTTTCTGGGCTGATCGTCCCATCCAGATTTTCCAACATTGCTCCACCCAAGGGCCCAAAGGTCGTGCCACATCCTGCACATTCTAACTCGCACCCACATCGTAACCCACATAGCTTGGGCACACACTTTGGAGGGGTCTGCCGGACTTATACATACAACTTTTTACGCTTGCGCTTGCGAGAATATTCCAACATCCTCAGACGAGTTATAAGCTTTTTTTTTTTCTGTTTCTTTTTTTTTTCTTAAACCCTAACGGTTTTTAAGCCCCCGCCCCAACTTCATCTTTTAGAACAGTACAATCTCTAAATAAACATCATATCGATCGGTATTACTACTCTACTAGAGATCGCCTCGATTAGTTCGATCGATCGCAACCGAGAAACGCGGGACGGGAACTAAGCCTGGAACGAAAACGCGCGCCGACGATCATCAGACATCTTACAGAAACCACCCTTTCCAAAATCTTGATTCGAGGTTCAAACAGGCGTAGCACCTTGTACCCGCCACGCTGATCTGTAGCTAGCCTCCTACTCGCTAGGTTATCTACAAGGCGTCAAGGACGATACAAGGCGTACGAGGAAGATCTGTAGACAACTAAGCAATGACGTGCCCTTGATCAGAAGTGCGGTTCAGCCCCCACCCAACCGTTATCGAGCGTCCCCTACGGCCCTACGGGACCCCATATCGATTCCCGTATAGAAGAGCCCCAACGGGTGTTTGCGTGATGGACGAGTCTGAGGAAGAGGTCGATCCTCGCATCGAGTCGCTTCTCCAACAGCGCCAATCATTGACTAACGACCTGCTGGAGAATCCATACGACCTAATCCTGTACATACAGCGCGCATTGGTCTATTCCGACTTGGCTTATCCTGACTTAGCGGCTGGCGACGCTTACCGTGCTCTGTTATTAACCGACGAAGTTCGCGATGAGAGTTTCGAATACCATACTCAGGCCTTCGAGGGATTGACAGGTTACGCCCAAGGTCCCTTTCTAGAGGTATTAGACCATGGCTCTCTATCGGGAACCCAGTCTCGTTTGCCTCTGTTAGATAACGGCGAAAAGGACATTCCTGCGTTCGCTTGGCTAGCGTCTATTCGCTGTTATCAAATACTGTCCTTGAATCTTCTACTATGCGGTTGTCTAAGGAGTGCTTACAACTTCTGTGAGCGCGGTCTTGCCAGATCGCCCAACAACCAGGAGCTCCTAAATACGCGGAGCTACATACAGACTGTCAGCGAGCGTAGAATACGCAAGCCGGTCTCTACCGCGAATGATCTTCCAGATTGGGGCATGGTGCGTAGGGAAGTGTATCCTTGGAATGGCTATGAACCAGACCGGTTTTCAGACGAATCCCTGTCCGTCCTCAACGCCGGGTTGACCGAGATAGCACCCAAATGTACTGTCCAAGTTGCAAAGCTACCTATATTGCTCGGGTGTGCGAGCCGCACAGATGGGTACGATATAATTCCAACCTGTAACCAACTCGGCGTGTTTGCCAAGGAATACATCGCGCCCGGAGAAGACGTACTCGTGGAGTATTCCTTGGTCACGGCCAATAATCGCCTAAAGGAGTCTGTCTGTGATGCTTGCTGTGGGGAGCTCCCACCTTTAGGTAGCGATTCGACTGCTGTCAACTGTCCAGAATGCTATGATACTGTGTTTTGTACCCAGTATTGTTTTGACCAGGCCCAGAAGCTCTACCACCCTGCTGTTTGCGACAAGGATACGGATTCGATCGCCAGGGATCCAGATGCTAAAGACGCCGATGCAACTTTGCATCTTTTGCTGCTCGCGCGTGTTTTAGCCATGGCAGCTCACCAAGGAATACACCCACTTGACGTCAACCAAATCAAATATATATGGGGGGACTTCATCTCCTCCCAGACCAATGAGATTGATTTATCGCCCAAGGCCGGCCCACCGCCGGATTGGACGCTTCCGTTCTCCTTTACTTATAACATCGAGACGCCTCTCCACATTCTTGAGAAAATGGATATCGACATCTACGCCACCATTGCTGATTATGATATATGGGTATTTAATACCTTATACAGTAAATTTCGTGGCACTGCTTCAGCTCGAAAGAACCCAAGAGATGGGCGACCCGACGTTGCCGCCGTGCACCCTTACTGGTGCCTTGCCAACCATGACTGCAACCCAAATGTTACGTGGGAATGGGGCGGTCGGATGGTACTAAAGGCGCGGGAGACGCGGGTTGTCGGGAATGCGCCAGGAGGTATAGAAGCCGGAGAGGAGATTCTCAATCACTACTGTGATGTAGATCTACCTGTGAAAGAACGTAGGGAGTGGGCGAGTGGTAGTCTCGGTGGCTGGTGCATGTGCGCTAGATGTCGCGACGAAGCTTCTAACTCCCAGAACAACTCCCCTGGATAACTGCTCGAGACACTTCTTGGATCCCCTCTAGCCATCTCTCGGGCAACACGTACACTACGGCAATAGGTCTGGTTCTTTCATGATTATACACGTGTCATGACTGCCGACTCGGAGATTCTCATCAATCCGCTTCTAATTGCTCTGCTTCCCTGAATAATTATACCTCTTATCTCGCACCCCAAGTTTCCATCACGGCCAACAATCGGATAGGAGGACAGACGGCGGAGATGATGGAGATTGGACAGGTTAACCTGCATCGCTGCTCTAAAATAGGACCGGTGCCCGTGGCATGCCTATGCGTGCTTTCTATGCTTACAGGACGTTATAGCGCAGCATTTCGAAGTCGGATGTGAAATGAGGATCCCCGCGGACGCCATCTCTTTTTCGAATCTGTCGCTTCCTTTTTTTTTTTTTTTTTTTTTTTTTTAGCTTCTAATTCTCTCTCTTTCGCACACGGCTGTATCTGAGTAGTATGAAACCGCCCCAGCTGGCAACCATCATATAGAAGGGCAAATTATCGAGCATCGTAAACGAAGAAAGGCCTGGATTGTTTTCTGAAGACTAAACGTAACATAGTCGCACCTTTTGAATCAGTAAACGAACGATACCAACGAGAATAGAATAGGGATGATTCCCGATATACTATGGGAATACGCGGGTGCCTGTTCGTTTGTTGATTGTGTAGAGCGACTAGGTGACTTATGTTTGTAAGAAACCGATGTGATCATAAGTAAGGCTGTTAGATTAGTTGATGGTTGCATCTAACGGCGACTAACTTGACATAACTACAGGTCTTCTCGAAGAACAATTCAAGTCACGCCAAGGTAGTATGTGTTTCAAACGACTAATTAAAACAGACGTGTAATACTACACGGGGAGAGGAACAGAGAAGGGTTTACTAGAAAGGAGGAACTAAAGAAGAGAGGATTATAGCAAATAAGTATACCACGGTATTTTCTAGGCATTTTCTAGGCATCAGACCTGGGTTCTATTATAGGTCAAAAGCAAGCGCATATCTATCAGCTAAGAATTAGACAGCTACTAAAGAAAGGCGGCAGAAGAGCTGACTCGGAATTATAGAGAGCCTCCTTCCCCCCCCCCCTTTTAATCTGCAAACGGCAACAAACTTGTCGGTGGGATTATATAGGTACCTAGGTAGCGGAACTAAGGCCTCAATAGCAGTAATTAGTTAAATACAAAAACTACAACTCTAGGTACATAACCGTCTACTCCTTTAACCCCTATTTATAACTCCGTGCTTGGAATCAAGGGTTGTTATGGCGAACTCTACAGCCAAGCCTATTACTACTAGGTATGCTACTATTCATTCGACACCCAAGCAGCAGGACATAACATCGCCAACTAACACGGGAATTTACCTTCCTATATCCAACGAATAGGGACAACAAGCCATCGTATCAACCAAACTAGCACTCAGAAATCCATAGCACGCACTTTTCATTTATCCAATTGACTACTCGTCACAAGTTATGATTTGTCCATAACTAACCTGCCTAAGTACCTAATGTAACCTAACATAACCCAACTACCAGTGAGTAGCGAATGCGTTCATTCATTCCCCTCTTCGTTTTCGTATCATGCCCACCTCATCGCCGCACATACCCTCAAGCTAACTCAACTAAATACACCGCTGACCTCTTTTTTATGGCAGAAAAGATAATCCCGCCATGCTGAAGAAAAACAAGCCCAACTGATAAATCGATAATATCCCTTTTTTGAAAAGGGAAAACGCACGAGAAAAGAAGAGAGAAGGGAAAAAAAAAAAAAGGTGCCGCATGCTCGATCGACATCAACAGACTTCGTACATCTCATCAAACGCCATGGTCCCTATGTACATCCTCCATACACCCTATATCTGTTCACTCATCACTCATGACATATCTTCTACCTTGCCATCGCTATAGTGGTAGCGCCGGATACGCCGGCTGACTCGGCGGTCTCGTAGGCGAATCGACATCCATCTCGCTTCCACTAGACGCAGCCGACGCGGGCGACTCAGCGTCGTAGTCCTTGCGCTTGATGCGATCGATGACGTACTCGCGGAGGTACTCGATAACACGGACGTTTTCAAGCCACGCCTCGTATGCCTGGTCCTCGCGTGCCTCGGCGCTGGCCTCCGATTCTGCGGAAGGCGAGCTGACGGCCGAGATAGCGGACTCGGACGCGCGAGGGGTAGTAGAGGGTTCGCGGTCGAGGTGAAGTCTGGGTCCGGCGCTGGCACGCTGCAGCATGCCACCTGAGTAGCGACGGCGAGGATCAGGGTCAAATGTAGGGCCGAGAGTTGATGTTGCAGATTGGCCGGGGTAGCCGGATGTGACAGCAGGAAGAGTCGGGTATAACGCTGACGTGGCCGAGCTATGGCGCGTTGAGGGAGATAGACCGGAAGAAGAGGCACTAGGCGAATGTCCAGAAGTATAGGACATGGAACTCGACGGGGGCGTCACAGCAGGAGTGCCGTTGGAATGGGTCGAAGAGACGGCAGTCAAGGGCGAAGCTACGTGAGCGGCCGAGTACGCATTATTGGCCATAGCGGACTGGTGCGGCGCTGCAGAGTGCGGTGGGGACTGGCTGTGACGGAAGTTCAAGGGTAGGTAGTGCGAGCCAGGCTGGTGGACTCCAGCAGCAGCAGCAGTGTTAGAGCTTTCATATACAGTGCTCTGCATCTGCTCGAGAAGCTGGTCGATTTGGACGAGGTCGCTCTTAGTGCGGACGTTCGGCATAGGGGGTAACGAATAGTGCTGTTGGTACGGACCATGGCCGGCGGGTCCATCGACAGCCATGACACCCGGACTTGGGAGATACTCTGCTCCGAGGGAGCCGGAGTGAATAGGGAGGACTCCGTGCAAGGGCAAGAGTCTCTGTCCGACCTGAGCGTACGAATTCGGGTCAAGGTGCCTACGCTTGGCATCGCCGAAGAACTCGTTAAGCACATCGTAGGTACGTTTGCGATTGTCATATTCAGCGGCGGAGGCCTGGTAGCCCATGTGATCACCCCGACCGCCCATGGGTTGATAGTACATGGGCCCTCCAAAGGAGGTTTGAGGGTGGTGCTGATAGTAACTACTTGGGTGGCCGCCGGGATGAGACGGCTGACCAAAGGCGGCCGAGTTAGTACGGATTTGACCATTGTGATCGTAATAGCTAGACGGAGCTATGAGGCAAATTAGCCTCCAAATGAGGAATAAGGAGTGGGGGTTTCGAACTGAAGGGGGGATGCATACCTTTTCCTGAAGCCCGATAACCTCCGTTCATTGAGCCATGCTGGTCTGGCGAGCGGATAAGGACAGAGTCATCCGCATGCGTCTACAATCGGAGTTAGCAACTGAAGGAGAAGTAATATTTGTAACTAAGTAGGAAAACATATCACATACCTTAACATGCTTCTTTAAATCTTGGGGGCGCTTGAATGACTTGCCACAGAAGTCACATTTGTGCGGCTTCAAGGGGACGTGCACTCGGATATGTGATGTGATATGATCTCGCTTGACGGTGGTAGTCTTGCACTGATTCCACTGGCAAGTCAAGTTAAGATTGTTTGTGGATTTGCGGCCAACATGCTTCTCGCAAATGTGCTCCTAGATTATCGTTAGTTATGTCTACAAGAAAATAAATAATTCCGTATAATCAATTAATAATAAAACTTACGTAGAGAGTTTCGGCCGAGCCAAACTTCTCGCTACAACCAGTCCAGCGGCATTGAAGGGAGTCATCCTGGGCCGGGGCGCTAGACTGCGAAGTTGCGGTTGTAGCCGTCGACGGTGCTGGCGTGGTGCCGTTGGAGGCCGAGCTTTCACCGCCCGATTGGATCGGGTTGCTCTCGGATGCTGCCGACATGGCTTTGACCTCAATCTTTCAAATACAATTCAAATAAGGGGTAAGGGGTAAGGGGTAAGGGGTATATGTCTTTCACGTGATAACAGAGACGCACGTGACGAAACGGAAGAGCTTCGGAGGGGTCGGAACAACTATGGTAAATTTTTATTTTTTTTTCTTTCTGGGCTTTGGCTGTACCTAAGGATGTACGGTGCTGGTCTTGGCAATCCAGTCCAAGCTCACCGGCATGTAATGCGACTAACGGATGCGGTAATGTCTAAATCGGGAAAGGTTTATTTCGATAATAGTGGGAAAATAATAAAAGCGTAGAAAGAGCACTGGATAGAAAGAGATCTGATCATTCAATCTTTTTTTTTTTCGAATCCAAGCAACAAACAACAATGCTAAGATTGGATTCCCAAAGGAGCAAAGGGGAGAAAAGCCAGTATTGTCTGGGGGAGAGGACGGCCGAGTTTATGTAAATCGAGCGTCGTGCTTGCTCCTTATTATGGATGTTTGACCTTGGCGATATCGAGGCGGAAAGTCTTGGCAATGGGTCTTAAGTGTAGCGGGTGACCGTTAGTGATTGGTTTAAGGGAAATGGGGGCAAACGAGTCAGGTACCATGTGCGGAAAGTGACTCGATCTATAGTGGGTAGTGACTACCAAATTCGAGTCACCCCTCCTCAATAGTGACTTCCGCGCCAAGACGCGCCAAGCTCTTGGCGCGTCTTGGCATTTGATGATTGTCTCGACATATCTGCCCAGAAATGCACCAAAAATGCTTATGGATGCTTGGGAAAAAGCTTGGAAATCCCTTGGCCGCCGGTTCCTCCTGCGCCGAGACTCGGCTGCGCCCACTCTCTTCCCATTTTCCCCATTTCTTCCCATTTTCCTAGTAACTTTGGCAATGTATTCGGTGTATTCGGTCCCCCTTTGCATAATGTTCTATTTCGTAAGTAATTCTATTTCTTAAGTAGTTATGTACTTGGGTTAGATGGAAGCTACCTATCATCTATCATCACTGATCATTACCTTATTACGTACCAAAGTACTACATACGATGACCTTATCTAATAAGTTGCTTGAATCGTCTTATTAGAAAGCATGTCTGTCGTATTTGATTGCCAATTCCGTTGACTTTTGGCTTTTATAGTAATTTACATATTAAACGGCATCTCGTATCCGTGAACCGACGTTCGATCTCAAGTTTGGCATAGAAAATACCACTTATACATACCTAACATAGCACTTATATGAAAAGTATACTTGCTCTTCTCTTTGCCTGCCCCTTGCCCCTTACCCCTTGCCCCTTACCCCTTGCCCCTTGCCCCCTTAATTCTCTTACTCTCTTCACCTTTAAAAAGCCGTTCATTCGTTTCTACATCTCTATAATAGCCTGGAGGATTACATCGCGTGTGATACAACGTGCTTTACACCCTCTTGCCGCTTTTCCACTTCCGTTCTTCCGGCATTGTAAACCACCTCTTGACAACATTGCCATTGTCGACGGCTATGACGGCGGACAGAAAGTCTTGGTATCTCTTGGTATTCTGGACATGGTGTTCACTTTAAAGGGGTGGTCTACGCTCCGCTGGTGGCCAAGCCTTGGTCTTCCTCTCCGCCCGCCAAGTTCTTGGCCATGCACTCGTCAACTGCCTTTTTACTCGTATCAGCAGCGAGAGTACGGAGTACGGACAAACAACATGTCGACTACCTATTTCGTCTATTCGTCTACCCCTTGAGAGCTTACGTTCGACTTGCTTTGGACCCTTGCTTCAATATTGGACAGACTAGGCTGACCCCTTAACCCAGGAAGTTCAAGAAGCTTACGACTTCTGTGGCACAGCCTGATCCCAAACGTCAAAGGGCAATCAGAGAAGACAAGAAGGGGAAGCTGAGCTTGTCTCTCACCGCTTTTGGTATTGGTGCAGTATAATACCGCACCTAAGAGACCTAAGAAATTCGGTGAAGACTTGATATATAGTAGTATCCATTATCATCACTTTTTCATTGGCACCTTGATTAGTTTTTACTAATTGCAACTTAATGGCTTCTTCATTTGGTTTCACTCGGCCATCAGATCTGACTCAGCTGTATTATACGCCATACCGGTGAAATCTCTTATATGGCATGCGTCTTTCTAATACTGCGACCGGACGCCTCTTGCAGAGGATGGTGTTAGCTGAATTGTCACCTGCCATCAGCAGTTTGCTAGCACTTTACTACATAGTAACTTATCAGCTACTCTCTACCGTATTGCCGTATATCAGCTTAGCCCGCAAACGGTAAGCGTCAAAGAGATTAAGTTCTCTCGTCCGAGGATGCATCCCAGCTCCGTTTAAACGTGAACCTGGTCGCATTATATCTTCCGTGGATCTCCGGGGAGTTTGCAGGAGGACGACAGACTAGTTTCACAGCCTAGTCTACATACGCAAGACGTCAATACTAATATAAAGTCATAGCTTGCCAAGATATATGCAATGAAGTCGAATTGGGCCAGAACTATACGCCAAGCATTTCTCGATTGAAGGGTCTTGGCATATCATGACACGATATGGGTAGGTTTTATATATCGTGTTTATTGTGTCATAATGTCTACTAAACCTCACTTGACTTGACTTGACCAAGCCATCTTTATTTGCTTAGGTATCTATACATATACGGGAGATATGAGAGTTCCATGGCAGGTCATATTAATACTGAGATACTTACCCGAGTACCTATTAAACCAAGGAAAATACAACGGACTCAAGTAAAAAAGTAAACAAAACTGGAGGCTCCTTTACAGATTATCTTCACATCTAAACTAGCCCATCTCCTTATATCTATTAGTATTAAAAAATTGCCAGCAAACTTGCACGTTCAGATGATGATGTATGTTACTAGTGTGCCATGTAACGAAAATCGATTCCCATGTCGTCGCTAGTTTCCGCGTGGAATATATCCGCGTGGAACATATCCACCCGTCAAGGACATCGAGATCAACAAATCAATGCTATTTACGTCATCGAGTCCGAACGTATTTATCAAAAGCCTGCCCAAATGAGAAACTCTTATTGTTACCATATTTCCACACATATTTGAGGAATCTACATCTTTTCACAAGACTTTATTTTGGTTATTAGCGCTATAAATATCAAAACTACTACGGTTACGGTAACCTCACAACTGGACACAGGTACGTATCAAGACATCATCAGCTCTTACGACTAGCAGACACAAGATGCAAATATTGTTTGGACGATTGGTGCTCTCATTCATTTTTGAGTAGCGATAAACGTAGAGCTAGAAGGCTGCTAATCCAACTATCCTCCAAAAAGGGGGCACTTGTCTTTTTCCTTCTCTTTGCGCTGCCGAGTGCGTCTCCGCATCCTTTTGACATAAGACTATCGTTGTTTATTTGTCGATAATATAATATGTTGCACGACGAACCACTCTTTGCAAATGTTAAGCTCGGCTCTATTCCTCACACGACCAATTTGCTGCCAGTTTGGCTACGCCCCTCTATCCAGGTAAACAATATCAACACCATTATCCTCATCCCTCCCCTGCCATCTTTTTTCGAGTACGGGAGTACCCGTTAATTAAAATATGTTGATTCCAGCTCTTGCAAGTATATGAAGCAAGTATAGTTGTGATTTCTGCTCGCCAACCATGGAACGCCATGGAACGAGTCGTGTTCTGCTCCTTCGCAGGTGCTGTTGAAGCAGGGGGTATTTTCTGCCAGCGGAAAATAAGGGGATTAAAATCGAATATTTACGTCGCAATGGGGTATAAGTTTCAAACGAAGATACTATCAAAGGCATCTGACACCGAGCGCACGAGGGCTAACCACTGGCTCAAGGCAGCCATATTCCTTCAGGTCGATGCCGGCAAGCTCCGATAACATATATCAGGCAAATTTGCCGCAAGATTCGTGAATCGCGTAGCAACTAAAAAAAGGAAGACGAAAGCAAAACTCCGAACCGCTCGCAACCGCGGAGATGCGACCCCCAGGGTTGAGATTATCCATGCAATATGCCGCCGACAAGGACAATGTTCCAAAACCGTGACATCCTTAAGAGTGGAAATGATGGGGTGTTCCCTGATTGTCCTCAGAAACCAGAGACGCCGGACGTCGGAAATATGCCGGATAATAAAATAATGATGATCAAGATGAATATCCACCATGAAGAAATGACACAATGCTAGCCAGTCTGGTCAGCTCGGTCAACAAAACAAACTAGGTCCACCCGAACCGAGATGTCCCCTGAAACGCCGCCTATGCTGGATTATTATACAGAACCGAGTTGTAAAAGCGCCTGGATTGCTTCGCGCTCCTGCGCATCTGACGAGGCTGCTAGTGCATCCAAGTCAATATTATCGAGACGTGGCTCCCGAAGCATGCCTGTGTTGCCAGAGAAGGATCGGAAACCATGAGAGTTATATACATGGGAAGGATAGTTTGCACCTTGGCGGGCCTCGGCCGGATTCGAATACGATGCGGCCCGTAGTGCAGCAGCTCCTACAGCTGCCCAATCTTCGTCGTCTGTGGCGTCCTCTGGATCGTCATTCATGATCATGTCTTCATCGTCGGGCGCCAAAGAGCAGGAAGCTGAAGCCGGGCCATCTAGAGAGTCGAGGGACATTTTATCGGCTTCGTTCTCCGTCATGGTCACATCCCGGTCGTCGTGAGAAAAGGCTGCCGAGTTCCCATTGCTGACTGCTCGTACGTTCAAGCGGGATCGGTCAGCATTCCATCCAGCACCTTTTGAGATTGGTATACTGGTAGGAGGGATTCTGGAGTCGCTTTGGCCAACGGATTGTCGAGACACCGCATCTCGAGCAGCTTGACCCCGTCGCCTAGCATCCCACCGACCCCATCCAACCTTTTGAAATTCCACGTCACCATCGACTCCACCACCTTCGACGCCGTGTCCTTGTCCACGTCCTTCCAGTGCTGCCACAACTAGCCTTCGTGCCTTCGGCGGAGGGATTCCTGCGAAGCCGGGAACCGAGGTGGTCAAGTAGCCCATGATATAGCGAATGGCCAGAGGGCCGTGGTTCAACAGAATCTCGGGAAGATGATACTTGGCCAGCAGGGCCGGGGTAATAGTCCCTGTGGATTCGAAGGATGGTGAACCGACAGGGCTATGTTCGACGCCTTCGTGAAGGTCGAGGTCCGAGTCGATACAATCGAGCTTGGCCTTGTGTAGCTGTGCCTTTAGGCCATGAGGCGGCAGCGTAGGTGATATGGAGTTGGGAGGAGTCGGGAGGGAATGAGTTCGTGTCACAGGGACGCTCCGATCAGCCGCTACAGCAGTTAAGTTGTCTCGGCTGAGAGGGGAGGTCTTAGGGATATCGCGAGCAGCAGAAGCCGATGCCATAGTTGCCATAGTTGCCATTTTTGGGAATTAAATACTTCGAGTTGTATCTATAATGCAAGGCGACACAGGATTAGATGATATTATAGATAGAATATTTGGAGGAAGATGCTTAATGATAATAATGATAATAATGATGAGGATGATGAGGATGATGATGATAGGCTGGGTAGGCTGGGGTGAGTCACTTACAAAAACAAGCCCGAAGTAAAGAGTTGCGGTATGGCGATAGGATAGAATTGTTTTTTGTTTTCTGTCTGGTGGAGAGAGAAAACAAAAAAGAATTAAAATCAAATTTAGGCGAAATGGCAGCGCTGACGCGATTCTCTTGACTGCGACAAAAGATGACTCTTGGGGTGCAAAATAATGCGGTGATGTCAATTTGTTGTGTTGTTGATGTTTCCTTAACGAAAGAAAAGATCAACGTAAAGAGCGAGCAACGGCTGCGACCTACTAATGTAATCCTCAATTGCTCATACAATGAACGGGAAACGGCAGAAGGTTCTAACTGGCGTGTATGCCGTCAGGGGGGTGTTGTCCAGCAGGGTCAGCAGGTGTCGCATGGCGCACAGGGCGCAATGCACGCAGCTGATTGCTCAAGAGTAGCAGCCATGATGTGGTCCTAGCAAAAAGGGGTAGTGTATTTAATGAAAGTTATGTCTGTATTTATGATGTACATAATTTACGCTACTACGGTACGTACTTTGTACCTGACAGCAACAAAAACACATATTCAGCCATTACCTGTGGATCTAAACATGGACCTAAACATGGGATCCTACCTACCTACATATGTAGGTAGGTATGTACCTAGGTTAAGTCATTCCTTCCTGACACTTCCTGACACTTACACTTATTTAAGGTATTTAATCCGCTAATGTAATTTTGACAGTACTTTCATCCCGATAGCCTTTGAAAACAGGAAACTTGTAAGGTACATTTGCCGTCACCAGCCTCTCAAGTCCTAAATTCCATACAAAGGAGTCTTATGTAGGTACAACCGCAACAACGGCAGTACATAATACAGGATGTATACATAACATTTCCTCTGGGCTACGTAGTAATAAGGTATCTAACGTAACGGCCTGAGTGTGGTCGACGTTGTATGTGTGGTCTTATCATCCAAATGTTGACTAACAGGGCACAGCCGGATTCGTTTCCATTGGACCGCAAAGCGTGTGACGAAAAATGACCCCGATACATCTATACACTTGCTTGCCGGAGATTTCCTGCACGTTGATAACGAGGATTCCTGTTCTCGGCTCGGCTACAGGGCTTTCTCCAGACGTGGAACCCAATGGCTTCTTGGATAGAGATAGCGGCATTCCATCCCTTGATATGCAAGATAGCCGGGGTGGAGGGGGGGTCAAATATACTACATACATAGACGGCTTTGATCCTCTCGGCTCAATGGCGGTTTTTTTAGTATCAAAACTGTCCCCAGAGCAGGCATACGCACGCCCCACGAGTCTTTTTCAAGGGACGCCCCAGATATTCACCATATGAGAGAATATAGAAGAATATCATCTTATTACTGTACCTACATATTCCTGCCTGTCACGGGAATCTGGTATAATATAGTGCTTATGTATTGCGTTGCGTGTACATGGTACATACAGGTAAGCAGGCTCAAGCCGTCAAGGCAGGCCGAAAGCGAAGATATGTGACCCACGTCATAATATAATACTTATTAGTCAGAATGCACCGAAGGTTCCATTTGCGGCATATTTCTAGATGGCTAAAGAATAGACTACAAAGAGTGCTTTCTGTATATTTCACTTTTAGGTAAGTACATGCTTGATAGATTTAATCGATGTACTTAACGACAACTACCTTAACAACTACCTTGAGTCAAGTGCCCAAGTGCCATGTCAAAGAGTGGCAGGCCTCCTCATATTTAGCGCAACCCTTGGCTTTGGTAGGATAGGAAGGTAGGCTGCGGATCTCATCCCCGTCAATTGAATTGAGTGACAATACACTAAATGTTGGCATGTGCAGCCTCAACCTCGCCTATCCATCGACTATGCTGGCCCTTCTGTGTGTACCTACATATTAGTGCACTACTTTATCTGGTTCCTCGCTAGCTAACTTGCTGGTTAGCAAGGGCACACACATCTTGGAAAATCAATTGAGTTCGAGACTGCGTAATTAAGTAGGTCGAATTCGGTAACACATGATTCCCGAATTTCGACAGCCATAGACCCAGGAATGCCTCACGTTGCACAAGTGCAGTGTTGTCATTGGTCCAAAACAACCATCGTGATGCGCGAACTTGTCCCCATTTCCCATTTCACCAACCTTCAGCTAGCCGTAGTGCCAACCGGTGACGAAAGGACGCACCGGAATAACGGGGCTAGAGGCGTTTTAATGACTTGGCTCCGGAGTTGTATGTTGTAAATACTAGAACATAGTAACTTCGCCATTGATAACGACTCGTTGCTGAAACGGCCGCGCATACTATGTATGTCACGATGTCCAGACGTGAGTCGGTTACTAGCTACTTGGTTAGCTAGCAACCTAATCTTGATAGTGTAGGTCCAAGTACAGCCACCCGGTAGCCGACGAATGTGCTAGGTTGGGACATGGAGAGGGTATAGTCAAGTCGTACATGATCGTGAATGGTCGTATCCGAAGAGGGGTTTCCGTTTTCCATCTGCATCTCGACTTTGTAGAGCTCGATTACCCCACTAGAGTTTCGCGAGAATAGCCCATCATCCAGTATGATTCCCCCACGTTCTAGGATAACGCGATCCGACGGCATGTTTTTAGGTCGGTGCTTAGGTCGGTGGAGATGCGCGGGTGTCACATCTACATAAATACATACATGTGGTATGTATGTAGGTATGTCTTGCTCTAATTAGTTATACCTAAGGCATGCATCTAGCTTCGCGACACCCCGTAGCCTAGGTGGACCATATGGGTGCAACTCGAGGAATCGGGTCGTTAGGTCCTGCATTTGCGTTTCGTCCAATTCGGGAATGAATACTTTGCACGCACATTTGCCTCAACGAAGTTCAGCCCATCGCTAGAGCCCATTTTGCCGGAAGCGCTTCATCAGGCTGAGCGTCATATTCTGAATAATTGCAGGGCCGATATTCGGAGTAGGCCACGGTTGTACAGCATGTTGCTTCCATCAACCACTATCTTCTAGTAAGAATTCGGTCCGCAAGAATCTTGTGCTGTATGCGTATGTGTTACTATGAGCGGGTAGGACTAGAGCGAGCTTTCACGTTCTTTACGATTCCTTCGCGGGTTCCAATGGTACCTTAATCATACCTATTGGCATAACCTAGCCAACAACCTCTTTCAGCCGCCATTTTGTTGGAGGACATACTGCCGGCATGCCTGTATGACTTTTGATTAGTTCTTGCTCACACCTATACGAGACTAAGATATAGAACTAAGATATAGACTTACCGCTTTGAGGATGTTCAATTTCTCCTGTGATTGTAAGTAGACTTGGCGGTATTGCTGAATGCTCTCGTTTAGAACGGCCTCTTTTGTTGTACGGCCTTCGCAGATGGCTTTCATCTTCAACTCCATTTCCTTTCGTAGAAATGGTTTGCCAAGGCTGGTATCGAAGTCCATTCTATCGAACCCTTCAATCAGAGCCACACCCAATTTAGTCGGGATGAATTCTTTCACACCCCCCCTCCCACTAGCCGTAGATCCCCCACCTCGACCTCGACCGCCGCGACCGCCGCGACTACCTCGCCCTCCCCGTGCAGCTGGGGCATCTTCGTCTTCACCCTCGCCGTCTGCTGCTCGTGTGGTCCGGGATATAGCACAAACATACTCTCTATCTTGAATCTTCTGAATATGCTCCGCCATCGTAGCGTCTGTCCCGATCCCGTTGGCATCCATGAGAGCAATCAAATCGGCTTCGGTAAGATAATTAGGGGGCGCAGTCTTGCCATCCGTCATGAGAGCTTCAGTAGGCTCAAAAACCTCCCCGACTGTAAATTTGGGCAGCTGTCCAGTCCCGGTCCACTTATCATACACGTAGACATCTAGATAATTTCGTTCTAGGACAACAACGCCATGAGCGTGGAAAGATTCCTCGCCGTATAAAATGTCGACGTCTGTAGCAGCACCTTTAGCATCCTCCGAACAGCATGCTAAGAATCGCCTAACGACAAATTCGTAAACCTTCTTTTCTCTATCGCCGAGGACTGTGGGTGCCGCGTAAGTGATGGGGTGTATCGGGGGATGCGCTTTATCATCATTTCGCCCCTGCCGTGGTTGCTGAAATCCACCGTTGACTAGATTCTGCGCGAATTCGCCCCATGTATTAGATGGCGTTTGCTTCTGTACTAATGCGCGCAAGTTCATACCAGAATCGAAACGGTCGGTTTCCGTTCTGGGATAGCTGATAAACCCCTTGTTGTAAAGGCTTTCTGCAGCTTCCATCGCCTGCTGACCCGTCATATGCAAAAATCTAGTGGCCATCTTCTGCAGTTCTACCGTGGTCAGCGGCAGAGGTTTCAATTTCTTCGTCGGCTTCTCCTGGACCTTGGTCACCTTGGCCGTTTTTGCCGTAAGACATCTTTCGTAGAGCACGATAGTCGATGCTCTATCAAAGAGGCGATTGCGTGACCAACCGAAACTGACATCCATACCATCCCGCTTGTGCACGACCTTGATGCTCCAGAATGCTTCTGGCTTGAAATTCCTCACTCTGAAGTACCGGTCTACTACAAAACCCAATGTTGGGAATTGGCAGGACCCTAAAACGTTAGAACTAGATTATCCGATAAATCTTAGAATGCATTACAAACCATAGCTTAATACAAGGTCTTTAAAGGGCCCTCCTAAAGTCCTCAGATTTGTGGTTAGAAACCGAGTAAAGGCGTATCCTATCCTAAGATCCAATTCGATTCGAGAAGACACGGCATTGACTTGTTTGTGATCGAGATCTATAAGGTTTTGGGCTGCGTTCAAGATATGCCTAAATTTCCTCTTTAGCTAGACGTTCAGCTAGGGTTTAACGAATCGATAGACAGACGCTCTCTCGATGTTACTGAACTTGGCCCTCTTAATATCCAGAGTCCTGTTGCCTTTTCTAGCGGCCTCGCATATTTCATAGCCTATGTGCTCGCCTTCACGATCGCAATCCGTCCAGATGCATAGGGCATTGGCGTAGCGTGCCTGCTTCTCGATATTGTCCGCCACCTTGGTTTTATCCTGTGGGATATGTTAAACTCTGCTCGGCATACGACCCAAGCGGCTTTAACGCGTACCTCGGAAATGATTATGTTCACAGGCGCGTCAAATAAGCGCTCGGGAGGCGGGTTTTCCCATTTTTTATACTCGGCAGGAAATACAGCCGAGGTGATATGACCAAGGACAGAGGTCATGGTAACATGGCAACGACCCCAGGGGTGCCCGAAGTCGTAGTCAAAAACGTAATTCTTGATGTACTTTTCGGGCGTATTTTGCTGGACATGTGTTAGCAGGCAAAGATTGTGCAGACGGAATATATCAGCCAAGATGTCATCTGGAACTAACGCTTTGAACCTGACCACCCGAGAGATGGCCTGCAACAGCTTTCGCGATGGAGGGTTTCTCAGCGACGCAGAGGACTCGCATGGTTGACTGGAGTCGCGTAGAAAACGTAGCAGAGTAAAATGTTAATAATACCGATACTCGACGTGCCCTTTCTACACGGCACGAAGAGCTCAGGCTAAGCAAGCGTCTCATGGGTAACGTTCGTTCCTTGAAGTCGGGAACGGCAAATGATTAAATAGATCACATCCATGTCTAATCCATTTTGAAAATGGGTTCTAAAAAGTTGTTCGGGTGAGGTTGAGTATCGAGAACTGTGTGGATCAGTTTATTGTTAGGTAACCTGTATGTACTAATACATTCATTCATCGTGTGCCTTCCCGACTTTTTTATTTTTGCAGTTTTTTATTTTCCAAGGCAACTGGTCACTTCTCAGCCAATACCCTGAACTAATTTAAACTATCTGATTGGTGTTTAGGTACATTAAGGTAGGTAGGTAAGGCTTTAAGGTTACCCCAGTAGCCCTAGCCTAGTGTAGTCCCGTTTGCCCCTGCCTCTGTTCCAATAAACAGTTAAAGTGGCCCAAAGTGGCCCAAAGTGGCTCGTGCCATTATTTTTTTTTTTTTTTTTTTGGAGCTTTAGCTGAATGTCGACTTTCCTAACCTAAGCATTTCCTAAGCAAAGTCATGACGTGGTCCAACAATCGAGACTACAATAGACAATAGGTAATAGGCAATATAACACTTCTTCGCCATCTCTCTTAACCCTCCCAAAACTTCCGAATACGTCTCGAATTGAAAAATGGCTTTGCCTTGGGTAAAGAGGCTCGAAGATTGCGCCGACTACTCTCAAGTAATTGAGCCATACCTACCACAACTCTACGAACTCCCTGGGAAGATAGTCCATGCCACGTCGAGTCACGGATCCTTCGTCGAATTATACAAAAATACCAACCCGTTCATATCGGGACTTGGCTTTTCTATATTCCTCGGTGCCGTCTTCTTAATTGTATCCGAGATCAATCGTAATTACTCCCAGGTTGATCGCATGTGGAGTCTATTGCCAACAATATACAATGCACATTTTGCTGTTTGGTCTCATCTGAATGACCTTCCAAGCCAAAGGCTTGACCTTGTGTTATTGTGGAGCGTAACATGGAGCGTGTGTGAACACTTAAGGAAACCTCTATTCTTAACTGCATAGCTAATGTTTATAAGGCTCGGTTGACGTACAATTACTTCCGGAAAGGCGGTTATAATGTCGGTTCAGAGGACTATAGATGGTGTGTCATTATACTACATTAGCCTCCATCCAGTTGTCTAATTCAATCTATAGGGAGATAATTCGCAGCAAAGCACACCCAGTGCTGTTTTTCTTATTAAATGTCACTTTCATCTCCTTCATTCAGAGCATATTGCTTTTCTTCCTCGCAGCGCCGACATACATTATCCTATTATCGTCAAACTTTGAGCGAGAGGTCACAGCGGCGGATATAGCTTTCACGGCAGTCCAGCTCGGACTCATACTCTCTGAGTGGTTTAGCGACCAGCAACAATGGGGTATGTGGTACTCTTCCTGCTCTGTATACCTCCACTAACAAAGGGACATTTAAGACTACCAGCTAGCCAAAAAGGAGTACCAAGAGACGGCCAAGGTGCCACGGGGCTGCGGTTTTACCCAGGAGGACCTTGATCGAGGTTTCATTACTTCGGGGTTATGGGCTTACTCCAGACATCCTAACTTCGCAGCCGAGAAGACTATCTGGTTCATTTTATACCAATGGAGCTGTTACGCAAGCAAGACCCTCTACAGCTGGGCAGGTCTGGGCCCTCTGTTTCTAATCATGATCTTTCAGGGGTCAACCTGGCTTACGGAATTAATCAGCTCTGGAAAGTATGCAGAGTACAAGTTTTACCAACGGCAAGTCAGGGCTCATATACCCAGCTTCACTCCGTACAAAACTCCGACGCCGAAAGTCATTCGGACGAGCGAGTTAGAAAAGCGACTGAAGGCAAAGCAAAAGTAAAAGACGCTCTCATATGCAATCACTGGTAGATGGCGTAGGCTGGATGCACTCACATGTGTATACAAGAATAGTCTCACGACTGCATAAGTTTGCGGTCTACTGCAGTATGACGCCTACATACAACCTCATTTCGAAGACTGAGGCTTCATGACGATAATCTATTTGTCCTCGTAAGATGCGGGGGTCCTAATGCATTAGAGTAGGTTAGGTAGTTGATCTTAAATAGTCCATTTCACAGAGTACCAATTGTTTTATTCAACAAAATAACCTGCAGACGGTCAACAATTTCCTCTTCAAATACTTTGCAGATGACGGCATGCACCTATCATGTGTGATGCCGGAAGAGACCAGGTTTGATACGCAGGCCACGATCCTTCAGGTCCACAATTGTCGGACGCCCGATAAGACTCAATACGGATGGTGATGGCGGACAACATACACATGTATGGAGGCGCTTCCTCGCATGCCTACCTACCTAGGTTAGGTACTTTACTATTAGGTATAACCGACAACAAGCAAAGTTACGTCTATGCGTCTATGCGTCTATGTCACCTGCTATGTCATCCCCTAAGTCTTCCATTCTAGAAAGTGAGAAGACGATCCCGTCTAGGTTACCCCAGATCGACCTATTTAGTCGAATATCCCCCCACGAAAAGGTTACATTCAAAGTAGTAATGTGGCCAAGTGGAATGGCTTCGCGGCTTTGTAATTCGTAGACATAGGTAACTCGGCTTTGAGCAGCCAAGGACCAAATTAAACAATACTAATACATACATCCATGGATAGCTGCTTCGCTTAAGATGGACCCCGTGCTGTCGTGGTAGTCTTTCGTACCGTCTACCGTCTCGTCTATCATCTACCGAATAAGCTGATCACGTGTTTTTATATACATACTTGCGACAAATGCCTTTGGGAAAATCCATATCATTCTTCCCCGTCAATACCTGCTGAGGTAAGAGATCGTCAGACCAACGTCGACTCGCATCTGGTATGCTGTGTAATAGTACATACATATGTATGAAATGGTAAGAGAGATCAAAGCGATCCAACCCCGAGGGTTCCACCGCTGATAGCCACCCTGATACCTCCACCCAACCAACCCTCCACGGACCACTACTGAACTACTTTCACGATAGTACATACATATGCATCGTATCATGCTTAGGAAAGTGGGGCCGAGGACCCTGACTGACCCTGGTTGCAGCTAGTCAGTAAACTAATATGATATAATATAACATAATAATTCAACGCTGACGACACCCTTGCTTGCTTGCATCGCTTGGTAAAGCTGGTAAAACTCGGCGGTGAGAAATGCTGTTCGACCCAAAGATGCATGCAGCATGCAGCATGCAGCATAACATGCTAGTGTAGTAGATCCATCTCCCGAGTCTAGGAGAGAGTGGGGGTTCCATTAGACGAAGAGACACTATTCTCTCTTTTCCGCTTACACGTAGTTACTCACTCATTCAAGGGAGACGTATACGTATACATATGTCTCGTGCCCTCCTCGAAATCTTACTCCCTCCTCCCCTTGTTTCCTCAGTTATCTCCGTATTCCGAGGCTTAAATAAGAACCCTCTACCCACCGCAGCGGGAGGAAGACGTTTTCTAGAAAGACTATATAGTTATAACATATCCGACTACCACTTATACTCTCACTCATTATTATATATTATATAGCAGATAGTCTCAATTATCAAAACGTCCGACTGTTGTCTCTACCCCCTTCTACTTTGTACAGAACTATTATCAACCTACCTGAGATATATCTATTTACATTGTCACCATGTCCGGTACTTGGGAAGCACTCATGCACATGATGCGAAGCCGCGTCTCGTTCTTCGAAGACTCCACGCCAGCCTCAGCGCAGTCCCCGGCGAAGGGATGGGGGGTATCCAAGCAGCCGTCCGAGGCCGCCAACAGCTACTTTCCCGAGCGAACGCCGTCACCTGCATCATCTGTCTCGGAGGCGGAAGACGACGGTCCCACGCCCGTCACCAAAGCGAATCGCATGATCGGTGCCGAATATCCCATCCCGCCGTTGGAGCGGGAATACAGCCGCCCGACCGAGGAGCTCGACGTCGCGCAGCAGCTGGCCAAGAAGCCGCTGCCGCGATCGCTACACAGCTCCCTCCAGCGCGCGGCCTCCAGGACTGCGCAGAGGCCCGTAGACGACGAGGAGACGCGACGGCAGAAGCTCGCTGCCGCCAAGAAGGAGATACTCGCCCTGGCCGGCCAGGTCTAATTACGGGTCGGGTACCAGTCTAGAAGCTTTGGAATTTTATACGTGGGTTGGGATATCGTCTAGAGTGGATAGAGTGGAGAAAGGAGAGGGAAAGGTAGGGGAGGGGAAATACTATGGCAAACCGACATCGCAATTGGGCGAGCTTCCCTTTGTATGCATTATACCCAGGGATCGGTGCGTATTGGATACGCTTATTGTTTCGAAATGTTTTAAACCGGCGTACTGTTAGGACAGCGGAGATTGAGGGCAAATTGTACTAGGATTCCTAGCAATTTGGAGCTCGTGCTTTTTTTTATATTATTTACGGAAGGACTGGAACTTGTTCGGTAGTTGGATACCTATTTATATTATAATAAATTGACAGTCTGGTTCCCTAATATCCTATGTACCCCGTATCGTATTTATTGGCAGCGCTAAATATATATCTCATCCCCTTTTCATATACACGTAATTCGTTAAATAGCATTCGTTCGTTGTCCCCGTTTATACGAGTCGGGAAGATAGGTTAATGCCGTAGGCGACTGTCGCAATTACCGTGATGAGGTTAGCAAGCGAAGAGATGCCGTGGAGCTGTCCAAACTTCTTGTTCAGCGCAGTCATCTCCTCTGAATGAGAACCCTTCTCGTAACTTGCTTTGCCATCCTTCTTTTCTAAGTCACGGAGCCGTGTTAGTCAAAAACTGTTCAATTGTTCTTGGTCCCTCTCTAGCTTACCTTGCTCTCGCCTCAAAGCGGTTATCTTGTTCGTCTCGGGAAGTAGATATACCAAGTTAACAAGCCCTGTTACGAGTATGGTGCCAAGCGGCGCAAGTACGCCCCAGCGGTTTGACGGGTGGAACACGCCAGCGAGGCTCGAGGCAACGCCTAGGGGGTTCTTACTCCCAGGATATGTCAGGGCGAGAAGTACAGGGGCGGCAGATTGGATGCCGAAGTATGCGGGGAAGACGGCGCGTTGTAGGATTGCGAATTGGGGTCGCTCGAGAACTTTGAAAGAGAGTATTGAGTTTATAAAGGTCTGGGGGTTTTTCGTCGTTAGCTAATAAGTTCCGTTTATCGACAGAATTGAAGCGTCGAACTGCTTACATGGAAAACTTGCGTTCCAAGCAATGTACCGTATCTGTGTGAGAGTTAGCATAGCCTATCGATTTTACTGTCATAGAGCTATGAACTCACGATAAGACCTGGTAGGGAGCTAAGGTAAGGAGGATGTGCGACATGTTGGTGCTTGACTTATTTTTATTTAGCAATGGTACAAGAGATAGTGAGATGTATTCAAATTGAACAAGAGACGTCGGATACTCTGTAAACTGCAAAAGTGAAGTGTGATTTTTAGCGATTTTATCAAGGTAGATATAACCAATGGACAATAATGACGTTTGAAGGTGCTGAAGGTGGTGGTATGTTGTCCTGGCCCCTCGTAGCCTCAATCGTGCCATTCGGAGTTCAGCGGCCGAGGAGCTTGGGCCATTGGTTGATTGATTGGTCTAGGGCCATTAGGCGCATAGGCACACGGTCAGGTGCTCGCGCGACTATCTGTGGGGACAAGGAACGCGCCTTACATGGACGTATGTATAATATAGTATGTATGTAAATTTAATTTATAGTAGGTGCTAATATTAGGTGCCCAGCCTGTCAGGCAACCACCACCTGGCAGCCCACCTTAGCTCAAGGTACCCGTATACAAGAGACTTATTACTTCTAGGCAGATGTCATGCCTCATAGGTCATTGTCATTTCTAATTCCATCTTGAGTAAACTTCAATCTTAGTATGAGTCTTCTCATAAAATTAATACCAAGGTCAATGGCCCAATAATTAACTTGTGTTCATACTCATTTCTCATCTCATATCTTTCAACTAATAATCCACAATACCACTGCGACAATGGCGGACAAGGAGGCTACAGTGTATATCATCGACCTCGGGTCGTCGATGGGCGACTGTCATAATGGTAGGGTTGAATCCGATCTTGACTGGGGTATGCGCTATGTGTGGGACAAGATCACCACAACTGTTGCTGCATCGCGGAAGACATGGACGGTCGGGGTCGTTGGTGTAAGAACCGACGAGACCGTCAACCCTTTACAAGAACAAGTAGGAGAAGGTTATGAGAATATTTCCATCTTACAGGAGCTCGGACCCATAAACTTGACTAGTCTTCGTGATTTGCAAGGTCTTATAAAACCGAGTGATACCGATACTGGCGACTCTATCTCGGCTATAATAGTAGCCGTGGAGATGATCGAGAAGTTCACCAAGAAGTTGAAATATAAACGGAAAGTCATCCTTATCACAGATGGCGAGGGCCCTGTTGACCCTGATGATTTTGACGACATAGCAGCAAAGATCAAGGATTGCGGTATTGAGCTTATCGTCTTGTAAGTTGAAATCGCAGCGAGCTCGCGAATTCTACTAATCCTTTTTGGTTAGAGGTATAGATTTTGACGATGTCGAGTTTGGCTTCGAGGAAGAGGATAAGTCAAGTCAAAAGAGAATAAATGAGAGGCTTCTAAAATCTCTGGTTAATAAATGCGGCGGATTATATGGTACCATGGCAGAGGCCGTTGCTGAATTAGAGATGCCGAGATTAAAGCCTTTCAGGCCGTATAAGACGTACGATGGGGAACTCACCCTTGGAAATCCCCAGGAACACCCAGATGCTATGAGCATTAGCGTGGAGCGGTACTTCAAGACGCACAAGGCGACGGTGCCGCCGGCCAGTCGAGTAGTACTCAAGACCGAGCCTAGTCCATCTCAAGCTGCCGATGGTGACCAAATGGAAGGCGTGGAATTCACAAGCGGATTTTCTGCGGTGAAAAATGCTCGGACATATAAGGTCAACGACCCTGATGCGCCAGGAGGTAAACGGGATGTTGAGTTCGAATCATTGGCAAGGGGGTATAAATACGGGAGGACGGCCGTTCATATCAGCGAATCCGAGCACAATATTACCAAGCTTGAGACCACAAAATGCTTCACCATCTTAGGATTTATACATCAAGAGAAGGTAAACAAACCCAACTTCTCGAATCTCTTCGTACACTAACACCTCCAGTATGAGCCATTCTTCAATATGGGTGAGACATGTCAGACGATTCCCCAGAAATTCAATGACTCAGCCGCGCTCAAACTTTCGTCCTTCATACACTCCCTTCAGGAACTTGAGTCTTATGCAGTAGCACGAATCGTAACAAAGGATGGAAAGGAGCCAACTCTCATTCTCCTTGCTCCTCACATCGAACCTGACTTTGAGTGCTTATACGACGTGCCCTTGCCGTTTGCCGAAGATGTCAGAAACTACCAGTTCCCCCCACTTGATAAGGTGATTACGGTCACTGGAAATATCAAACACGAAGACCATCGGCTTCTGCCTAGTCAAGAGCTATCAGACGCCATGGATGACTACGTGGACGCTATGGATATCTCAAGCTGGGTAAAAGATGATGACGGGTGAGTATTATAAATCGACAGGGAGGGTGCAAAAGCTAACAACATCAAGCAACCGCACTATGGAATACGCCCCCGTCGAGGATGTATTTTGTCCTTCGCTTCATCGTATTAATCAGGTCGTCCGACATCGAGCCATCTATACAGACCAACCGCTCCCCCCAGTTGCTCCCATTCTACTTAAATATTCAAATCCGCCTGAAGATTTAATGGCCAAGGCTAAATCAAAACTTGAAGATCTCATAGCTGAAGCTAATGTCAAGAAAGGTATTGCTGATTCCAGTGTGAATTATTTGTGTATTTTTACTAACGTTCGTGAAGTACCACCCAAAGCGAAAGGCAGGCGAGAAAAGGGGGCCAAACCAGAGCCAATCTCAGGTCTCGATATCGATGCACTCCTTAATCAGCCTCAAAATAAGCGTAAGAAGATTGACTCTGATAACGCCATTCCCGAGTTCAAGCAGATGGTTGAATACGCCAACGAGGAGTCCGATATCGAGAGCGCTGCGAAGCAGATGGGTACTATCATTCGCTCGCTTATCACAAACAGCTTGGGAGATAGCGGGTACGATCGCGCCATAGAAAACCTTGGCGTGTTCAGGGATACGATGGTCAAGTGGGAGATGCCGGCCTTGTACAACTCGTTCTTGAAAGATTTGAAGAATCGCCTGCTCTCGGGTGAACTTGGCGGTGATAGGAGAGAGCTCTGGTGGCAAATGAAAGGGGCTAAAGCCTCGTTGGGCCTGATCGACCAGAGCCTGTCTGAACCGTCTAATATAACCCCTGAGGAAGCCGCAGAGGTATGTGACACTTCAGCACACATTTATTCGGACCCTTACTAATTATCTCACTAGTTCTTCAAGAAGTGATGCTTGTTATGGCATTTAAATTTTATAATATCAGTCAGGCATGTAAGAGAACCCGGAGTCATTGCTTGTGGGAAATAGGCATTTACATATCAGCAGTGTCATATGAAGATGAGGGGGGAATGTAGTAGCTGCTAAGTCTTTGTAGCTAGCAAAGAGCCCCCCGATAATTATAAAACAACATCCTAAATGTGCCATAGGAAATTTGGGGAAAATACCCCGTCCAACATGTCGTACCTAAGAATTCGGGAGTAATATCGGGGTTCAGCATAAGAGAAGTGGTAAGCAATCAGGGGCTACATGGTTGGATACGTGCCTCCTAACACAGCACAGGATTGTAGATATATAGAAATACTACTTGGAAGTTACGGCAGGCACGCGAGATCGAAATGCCTTGTCCACCTTAACGGCCTTGGAGAGGCAATGGTAAAGCTCTTGCTTGTATCTGAGAAGGAGCACTTTCAACTCGGAAATACGCAAAAGGGACATGCCCCCCCGAGTGGCAAGAGGCTAGAACGATTCAACATAAGAATCATCGACCCGGACTACTCTGATGTGCCTTCCTTCTTTCTCCTACCGCCACTATCATCACCTCTCCCTCCGCCTGGATCTTACCTTTTTTCTACCCTCTTTCTTCCACCCCCTTCTATCCATCACGACAACTCGTCTAACTATTCTCTTACTTCATACACCATTATCTTGGTAATGAATAGGGTTACGCTGCTCATTCGTGATCAAGTCTAGGTCTATACCTGGTACTAGGTATTCACTCACGTCTCTATCAGGCACGCCACTTCCATATCATTTTCGAGGATATTGGTTATGTTTCATTAGGCAACACTTTGAAACTTACCTACAACTTCACTTCAGTTACTCGGCACCACCCAACCAAGAGTAGTATTCCCTACAGGTAGCCACCTAGAAGGAAGGATCTAATACCAGCTCTTACCTAAGTACAATCGTGAACGTTCAAGTCTCTAACCTCTGGTGAGTATCTTCATGCGACATTATATTCCAGGCAAGTAGATATTTCGTAACTAACATCTACATGCTTCCGAAGGACTTGACCATCATATATCAGCACTTCTAATCTAAATAATCGACGCATATTTCCTCGTGGTGATAGTACGGCACCCTCGGGACTTTTACTTCTCCAATCTCCTGCAGCAGTCATGCCAGTTCCCAAAATCCAGATAAGGCAACTGTAACCAGATCTTTTCAGAGACCTTAACCTGTGATCACCTCGGCCGGTTGTCAGGGACAGCTGCCATCCCAAGTTCAGCACAACCCTAATTTAAAAATCTATCACACCTAAGACGTATTCGAGTCACTTTCTTCGGAGCTGGATTGCACCGAGCCTAGAAGTTCGTTCGCTTTCTTAAATAGGTACTTAGTCAATCTTGGAACCAAGCCTTGGTGTCTTCGTCGCCTTCCTATACGACTTCATTCCCTTCGGTAGCCTTTATTATCCCCGCGGCCCACCGATCTCGACTATCATCATGCCTCCTCCGTGCGAGCAAGAGCTATGCACCGCTAATCCCAGGTACTTGTTCTTCATTCTATTTTTGGCCTCTCACACTAACGCCTTTCTTAGTGAAGGCACGCACGTTATTGGTATCATGTTGGATGGTTTAAAGAAAGTCGCGGTCCACGCGCACTTACTTGCTCACCATTCCATGTGTTTCCGGGAGCTAAACAACCAAGCCAGCCGGGAATATTTCTGCGTGGATTTCTGTCCATATGCCACCGACCAGACTGTTTGCTTCTTCGTCCGATGGATCTATGGAAGAAGTCTCGGCCCCTACAATCTCAACGAGGGTCTACGAAAACTATGCCGTGGTGAGCAATATGAAACCTTGATAAGGTCTTTGCTCTTCGGTGAAAAGATAGAAGCCACAGAGTTCCAGAGGGATATCATGCGATGCATTACGGAAGACATTGACTGTGTCGATCTGGCGGTATCAGTTGATATATGGATTGACATAGAGGTGATGGCTCCTAGCAGTAGATTGCGTCCCTTCCTAGTCGACATGTGCTGCGCAAAGCTTCGTGGCAACGATGCAGATCGTGTGGATGTGTTTTTAAAAGATCTTCCACGAAGTATGCTAGAAGATATCTCTCAGCGCATGATCACTGGGCCTTGCAGACCTCGAATGGATATGGATTTCAGTAAGTACCTGAAGTAGAAGGTGACATATTTGGGACTAGATATTTAGCAAGACGTTTCTCGTTGCCTTATATAGTTGATCGTCTAAAAATCTAAAATGCTACGCGATGATTTACAAACATTTACAAACAAGCGTTCTTGCTGCTTCCTGAATATAGTGTGCGCTTACGTAATGGGTGTACGGTCGTCCCTTACCAATTGAATTTTTACTACATACCTAGGACCACCTAACAAACAACAATGCCGATTGTTATAAGTAAGGTGCACTACGATTTGAATACATGTACACAGGCGCACTTGCAGATGTGGTCACGCCTCTACTTAACACGCACAACCAGCCAAATCAGGAAACAGGTAAGTACCTCCTACCTTAGCTATTTAATGGTGTGCCTAAGTTAAAGGAAAGAATACCTCAACTTAGTCGATCCTTCCGCTCCAAACACAACCACTCATAAGACAACCACACAATGTGCCCAAACTGACTTAGCATTACACCTAGGTGCCCTGTAGAACATGGAGGCAAACATTCCTGAATCGATACCAATCGCACCTGTCAAATTTGGCGACGGATTTTACAGTAAAAGCTAGCAATGGCCATTTACTAAAGTCCTCCATGAAGAAGTCACGCCCAAGAAACCAAGTACGCTACATACATAATGTATGTCCTTGTTTACTTTCCATGTTTTTAGAGTACCCAGATAATCTGCATCTTTTTCAAGCTAACGAGGCATTCCCCAACCATACATAGGTGAGCAAGATGGACATCTTTGAAGATATGGCTATGGGGGACCAATCTTTAAAGGGTCAGAAGTTTTGTCCCTGGAAGCTCGTCCGATCTTATCCCCATCGCTTGACCGATCTGGATAATCGAGAAGAGGTAAGAGTGCTACTTGTAGGTTATTAGAGAAGTAACTCATTTAGATCTAGGTGATAAAGGTCTTTACCAAGCTACTATTCGAAAATCGCACCTGGGATTTGTATGCACGCCCCTTTATTACCACGCCATATACATACATACATACATACATACATACATACATACATACATGCATACATACATACAAGAAGAGCACTTGGATATGCTAACTTTCCTACAGGTTCTGCCTGTTGGATCCTAGTAAAACTGGCAGGAATCCTCTTCTGCTAGTCCCTAGCGCCCAGTTTGAGGAACTTCTAAAGCATGTTAACTCCCATCTGAAATTACAACTCGACATCCCAGAGGGCGAGATTGGTAAGAACTTCTCCGTCACCTTTGGAGATTGGGACACGCCTCTTCCTCGTTTTCTGGGCCGCGCTAGTAATTCTACTGTTTTGGACGAGCTTGTGCTCCGTATTCACAGACTGCCTGTAGATGATTTGGCTCAGCTTAGCACCGCTGCCCTGCAAAACTACAGAGCGAAGATGGATAATGTGTATGGATCATTGAAGCAGGTCAAGGATAAGGCAGTAGTGAAGGCATCAAAGAGGGCAAAATCGATTCGGAGAAGGATCAGACGCCAGAAGGGTTATGGACGGATGACCAAGCGAGCACAGAGATACCTCGGGCTTCGAGGCCTTTCCGGATATCCATCTAGCTTAGGTCAGTGCTTCTACCACACAATCAACCATGTTCAGCGGAGCTAACTATTTAGATATCACGGCGACGGATTGGAACGTGGATATGCCAGTCCCCTTTAAACCAGAAGGCTCTATACGCTTTGTCTCTGTTGACATCGAGGCATGGGAGAAATCGATAAACGTAATCACAGAAGTGGGCCTAGCAATCCTCGACACTCAAGACACTATAAATGTTCCACCTGGTCGAGATGGCTACAGATGGTTCCCATTGATTAAATCACACCACTTCATAATTGAAGAGCATAAGAAAAAGATAAACTATAAATATGTCCAAGGGTGTCCTGGACAATTCAACTTTGGGTATGGTCTCTTAACCTCGAACGGAGAGCTAAGCTTACGTGTAGTAGCGATTCTAAATATGTTGGTGTAAATGAAATTGGCAGGGTAATCAGCAAGATTATCGGAGACACTGAGTCTCCTGATCAAAGACCAGTTATCATAGTAGGACACGCCGTCTGCCAAGACTTAACTTACCTCAAGAAACTCGGATATAATATCTGGCAGGCGCCACAATTTATAGACGAGATAGATACGAGGTCGATGTTTCAACATCTAAAAAAAACTACTAGCGGTGGTGGTCTCATAGCTCTTTGCAAAAGTTTAGGGATGCTATGCAGTAATTTCCACAACGCGGGAAACGATGCAACGTATACGCTGCGCGCTATGATTAGTATCGCGGTCAAGCAGATGATGAGTGACTCCGGGGGACAGAAGGAAGCGAACTCTAATGAATTAGAGTAAGTTTATTCATTCCGAATTCACATATCGCGCCGTTGCTAACTTCGTAATCATTATATAGGGAGGATGAATGGAGCGATGGTATAATGGACGACGGAGGTCCGCCTCAAAAGTCAGCTGAATGGATGCCGAAGCCAGTTCACAAAACTAAAAGCACATAATACGGAAGTCTATGATGGACTGATATCAACGGTCCTCCAGACTCTTAAGAAACGATGTGTTCCTAGGTGCCTATAGAAAAATTCACAACAGCTATTGGTCCATTTTGAAATTTGCCGCAAGAAAGCAGTTGAGAAGAGACTTCGTCCCGAGATAGATCGGCATTGAAACTAAATAGAATACAACCGATGCGCAGCCCAATGCAATAAAACCCCTTCCAAGTCAATGCCGTGAACGCCCTCGCCGTGTGGATGCTGCAGTATTATACACTTTGTACTAGAGGCACAATCATCACCACCTCACAAGTCATATAGTTCGTTAAATCGGCTCGGTACTAACTATTCTTTTCCAAGAATTCTTTTGCTTCGTTGACTTTCGTAGCTAGATAAGGGCTTCCGCCTCGATCGGGGTGGTTGAGGAGCATCAGCGTCCGGTGGGCCTTTCGAACTTTCTCCTTCGTGATGGCTCGTTCACTAACACACAAGTCTGTTAGACAAGACTGTTATTGTTGTAGAAGCAAGGGCGGCAGCTCATACTTGAGGGACAGTATTAAAGTAGCTTCTTTCTTGGTCATGCGCGGCTCGAAACCGCCTTTGTAAAATGCTTTGCCCAGCGCTCCGACGCCTCCCCGAGAGCGCCGCCATGCGACGAGTCCTGCGCGGCCCTGGTTTTCTCTGTGTTAGTTTACACGTGGAAGGACAAGCTATAATATATTCTTACGAGAAAGGCAGCAGCCGCGACACCTGTTCCAATAACGAGGGCTGAGGCCATGCTGACAATTGATCGTGTGAACAAGTGGGAAATTGAAATATGATGCCGATCCGTGGAACGTCGCAATGATTCTTTTCGATGTGCACGGACCTCATGATGGAATTGCGGCCGGATACTTATCGATAAGAATACACCGAATGACGGGAAGGTACTATGTAAAATACGGTGTTAAAGTTAATCCATGCCTATCAACCTGATAAAGGCTAAAGGACCCACCAAAATTTCGATATGAAGTTTTCGGAGGGGCGCCACGAAATACTTCTCTATCTCGATTCCAGTCATATACCATCCAACATCGCCAACGAAGTCTACTCCCTAAGCCCGAGATTCGTCCGCCGTCAAGATGAGGTCAGTACTAACAGATTTCATTTTGGGAATTCCTTTGTGGCTCTATAGCTATTCAAGCACTTCGTGGCCCATATCGGGCTACCACAGTCTTTAATTGCCATTGCTAGCTCGAAGCCCAATCTCGGCTCATATGCGAAATACAAAGATGTTGTTTACTAACTAGACGTTCTACAGGATCGAAACGTGCTATTTCTGCAGTAGGCCTGCCTACCCAAGCAAGGGAATCGTAAGTCCCCCCCCCCCCCCCCCCCTTTCCCGATCTTTCTCCCATACATACTCTTCCCAAGCCAGAACCATACCATATCCTAACCTCCTCTCCTCTTCCCTCCCCGAATAGACATTCTGCCGCAACGACGCCAAGCAATTCCGCTTCTGCCGCAGCAAATGCCACAAGAACTTCGTCATGAAGCGCAACCCGCGCAAGCTGAAGTGGACCAAGGCGTTCCGGCGGGCGGCCGGCAAGGAGATGACGGTGGACTCGACGCTGCAGTTCGCGGCGCGGCGCAACGTGCCGGTGCGCTACGACCGCGAGCTGGTGCGCAAGACGCTGCGCGCCATGGACCGCGTCTCCGAGATCCGGGCCAAGCGCGAGCGCGTCTTCGCCAAGCGCCGCCGCGCCGGCAAGCGCGCCCAGGACCTCGCCGCCGACCGCAAGCTCGTCCACACCCACGCCCACCTGCTGCCGCGCCTGCGCGGCAGCGACAAGAGGAGGCTCGCCCAGGAGCAGGGCCTGCGGCCCGAGGACATCGCGGACCTGGAGCGCGGCGTCGCGGGCGTCGCGGAGAAGAAGAGCGCGAGGGTCTTTGGCAAGGAGAAGATACGCCAGAGGGTGCGTGTCGACGGGGGCGTCGAGGTCGTGGGAGACGACGAGGCTGGGATGGATGTGGATTCCGAGTAGGCGAGCTAGTTGCAATATCCGCGATCACGTTTGCACTCGTACGAAAGGAGGAGGTGTATCTACGATGGCGGATGCTCCCAAAAAAAAGAAAAAAAAAAGAAAGAAAGAAATCACGGACAGTGGCGTTCATGTGTATGGGATATTTCGTTTCTTCTGCATGCCCTGGCGTTGGTGGATTATAGGACTCTGATTCCTTTCTTTTCCTTTCCACGAAACGAAACACGTTTGACCTAGTTACACGGTTCGCTACGAGAAGATGATGTATCGGTGCCGGGCTTATTCACCGCCTGTGCTGTATTTCGTGATAGAATATGAGTCTCGTTTTCTTGTTAATTGTTTGCTATTTTGTGTATTATGATTATGATTATGATTATTATTAGTGATGTATATGATGTATATGATGTATACGTTCTAGATGATATGTATACTCTCAATGTGGTTGGGTCTTCGTAAGGGCTATCCATCTCATTCGCGAGAGTGATATCCTTGGTCCCAACGCCGAGACTTTAGATATAATGAGCTATCTCTCCCATACCGCAATTACTAACGACAACTATTATCCAGCCCGGCTAGGCAGGCAGATCCGGCTTCCGTCCCCGACCCGGGCCATGCATATAGTGGATCTTGGGCGGCTGCGGCAGCGAGTCTCGTATATCCTGTAGGATGTGCGCATCGAGAGCCTCGCGGCGTTTGCGCTCCTGTTCTTGGTCGTACGGCTCGGATTCCCCATGCTCAGACGTCCAGTTCCCTGCGCCCCCACGGCCCGAGAGCGCGCCCCCGCGGCGCGGTGATGTCGGCGGAGATTGTGGATGCGGCTGGTCTTGGGGGTTTGAAGCGTGAGCGGTAGATGCAGTGGTGGTGGGAGCGGTCGTGGCTATAGATGATGATGATGATAATAAAGGGACATCGACGAAGTTTCCAGCGCCGCCCCTGCCGGTCCTTACACCGCATGTAGTAGAGCCCACGATGGGGGCCGCAACGTGTTGCGCTGGGCCATCGGCTGGATCGGTCAGCGGTTCATCATCGGCAAGTGGTAGCGATTTCTGCGCCTCGAGATCCTACGGACGGCTTTTTTAGTCAAGGCCACTCGCTCGCCCACTCACTTATTCACCCCACTGTGGGATTTCGAGATACGGGCATACCTCAGACTTCCTCCCAGTTGCCTCTTCGATATCCTTTTGCGAGTAGAAGTTGCCGGCGCCGCCCCGCCCGCTACGACGATATACAGTATCCGCCATCAGGTGGTGCGTAGGTGCAGATAGATATGTATGTATGTATGTGTGCGGTTGAGGAATATGCTTCTTTGGGAACTTTGTTCCGTCTAGTTACTAGTAATCTCACGGTTACTTCGGGTAGTATTCGAAATCGGACGCCAGCTCGGCGTATGTACGAAGAGGGCTAATAGACGCTGAGGTATGTATGTGTGTGTATGTGTGTGTATACCTATGTATATGTGAGCAAGTAATTAAAACCGACCGCGCGCCTAAATAGATGCGGGGTGATAGCAATCAAAAAAAAAAACCTGCGCGCTTGAAGAGTATTGCTCGCGATCGTGACACGGCAAATCTTGGGTTCGTATTGGAAGCGAGTTGTTTTGCTCTGTTCGATGTTATTGTTGTAGGAGTGAAAATGAATACGTTAGGTACCTACCTACCTTGATGTATGGTGATAGAGAATATCGAAGTAGGTACATATGTAATTCAATGTTCCAACTTGCTGGGTGCGGCTGCCTACATTGTGTGACTACTGCCTTGTGCGACCTACCTTAACCTAATAGAATTTCCGGTAGAAAACGACGTCATGGAGGGGCATTACATCAAACTAACATGACCTTCCTCTTCCAAGTTCGTCTTAGACGCTTGCATGTATCTATGTAGGTTAGGGTCTAGGTTAACAGGTAGTTATCAAGTTTGTTCGCGGGTTCAAAAAATAAAAAATAAAAAATAAAAAGGCTTGATAGATTAATGTATAGAATGTATAGTTACTGTGTAGTTAGATGAAGTTTTCTTATCGCTATTATTCACCTGTTATTTGTAGTGGTAGGCCTATTCTTAGCAACAAGTTGGTCTTGTGTGGAAGTGGATTTAAGTGAGGGACTGAGAGTTCTACATATCAGTATTACAAATGATATATCAGTCAGCATGCGCTCAAAGAACCTGGCGGGCAAGATTCAGGCACCAAGCCTTATGGGCTCCGCCGGGGCGTTCATAGTATGCTCGTACCTGCGTCTGGTCGAATATGTTTGGCTGAGCAAACTTGGAATCAGTCATTTCTCTATGTGGTTCCGAGCGCCGACGTCAATCTTAGTGAAGTGATGCGCGGCCGGGTATGGCGGGTATGGCGGGTATGGCGGGTAAGGCGGCGTTGATCCTTTGATCGACAGTTCGAAACTGCTAGCTAGCTTTGAATTTGTTATACCTACCTAGCTCGTATTATCCTCGTTAACATTGTTGGCTTCCGGTTCTTTTTGTTAGGGGCTGTTTCAAACCAGCAAGTTTGGCAAGCTGATGCTTAAGCAGACAAGGCAGACAAGGCAGACAAGGCAGACAAGGCAGACAAGGCAGACAAGGCAGACAAGGCAGACAAATGGGAATAGCAAAACAAGTTGGAACGCCTTTATCGCCTGCTTTATCGAAAGTATCTCCTTACTCGCGAGCTGTTGTCAGCTGCTGCTTTGGCGTCATCTTAATAAGGTATAGTATGGATTCTCAGAGTCACTTGATATTCGAAGTCTGCAATGAGATATACATATCACACTTCCGCATGATCATGCTTAGCTGATACCTTTGAATAATGTCAAAAAATTTATTCAACCTATTTTTCTCCCTTGAAGCAAACATTCGATGTGGCAAGCGCATGATAGACCAATAGCAGACCACGAAACTTAAGAGTCGTTAACCCTAAGTTAACTTATAGTGGCGAACGGAATACGGAATTAACACTAGGCAAAACGATTGAGTCGGTGGCCTCCGTTTTGCCGGACGCACTAGCAGTACCTTAGGTACTAATTGTCACTTGAGATACATATGAGGTACCTAGGTACCTATGTATTAAGCTTGTCGTCCATTGTGTGTGAATTACCTAGGGTTTAATACTTTAAATTGAAAAAGGCCTTGTGTAATATGGCGGGCGAGCTTACCCATTCAACCGCGTCTATACCTAATATTAAATCGGGATGGGAGATAGGAGCCCAATTGGATGGCCTAACTAACGATAAATTTCGAGATTTTTTATTTATTAATTTCTTTTTTTAAAAAAAGCTATACTGCGTAGCACCATATCCTATCGCCGGCCATGGGGTATAACACACCCCTATTGGCTAATGGCGAGATTATCGTGGACTACGAATAAAAATAAAGACAACGAATCAGGGGGATCGAAGTATATAACAAGGGGAAAAGGGCTATAATGTCAATGCCTTAGTCCGTGACTCTGCTAAGATACCCTTTCAATGCCTAGTCTGTGGCAAGAGAGCTCAGATGGTAGACCCCGCGCCGGTTGGTTCGAGTCGAAAATGAATGGACTGTCATGGTGGCGGACGCTAACGGTTCACTTAGGAAGGAGAAGACGAACCGTGATCTAGAAACCTGTGAATATTTTTTTTTTCGTCTCGATGAAGATTATACCGATGTGTAAGTAGATGTTTGGTATGCATCTCCAGTGGTCTAGACCACTGAACCCCTTGGCTACTTTTGTGTGTCGAAGGAGCTGGACGAAGAAAAAAAATCCAAGTCTACATTAGGTGCTCTAGATCTCTCTGGCCAGACTTTAAGTAAATTCTCCCTTGCTTTATCTGTGCTGGAGAGTATTGTCCAGTCATGTTGCTGAGTGGTGTCTCATTCAAAGAGCATGCTCGAAGCCCGTAGAAGAGCTTGGGGAAATCTGATAGAGTTGATTTGATAGACACGTACTTGCTGCTGCTTCTTGCATAGGCCATCGGTACCGTAGATTAGGTACTCTAATGCGCATCTGTGTATGTAGGTAGTATGTATATGTGGTATGTACATCATCGCTATCCAATGAAACGGACTTGGGAAGAATGGCGTAAGAAGACACGGCCGAGGCGTGAGCATAGTGAACGTCTTCTGTTTCTCCAAATTCCACTACCTACAGGCGCGAGAACCCCATGCACGAAAGTACCTGCATCCGGAAAGGTCAAATGGCCTTGCTGATCTCGTGGATTATTTTTTTCTCTTGAGAAACATATCCATTCAGCAAAGCATAAATTAAGATCTATTGTTGCTAAGTCGGCTAGATTCGTGACCACGGGGAGCTATTAAATTCGTCTTTGTCTTTGATATCGAATTGGTATTTCTTATTGGTGTAACTAAACACAATATTGTTAAATAAGTAGTACATGTAGTTCGAGATAATGTTTTCAATACTTGTACATACACTATGTATGTTACGGCTGAAGCTATAGCCTACTGTAAGGAAAATGCTATAACACTGTGTTTTAATGTGCTTGGTAGCGTAGACCTTAGTTTCGTGCTGCGTAACCGGTGCTAATGTATGTTGGGCTGACCCCTCCTCTAGGTAGCTTCCATAATTATTTGAAGCTTTTATGACAGGACCGCATCTCAAGCGTCTGTTAGACTTTATGTAATTATGCATTTGTATATATATTTTATTCATAGCGCTTACTACAATGTAAACGGGGATAAGCAATGTGCTGTGTAAGATTAGACTTGTTTGACAGCCGGAGAAAAAAGGATTATTTGAAACTAAACAGGCAGAATACGAAATACCGCACACATAGCTACCTAGATATTCTTAGCAGCTTAATTATGGAGGTGTTAGGAATTGTCAGGGGGTAAACCCTACCCGCCAGGTGACGCGCCTACGATCGTAGTGTTGATCCGCGCAGTCCGGGGTTGAAGTCTAGTGTATGTATCGTCCTTGGTCAATTTATAGACTCGGACCGGTCACAAGGAGTCCAGGGTTGTTATCAACCACAGGGAGTACTTTATATACTTAGCTTTATCGAAGGAGATATCCTTTGCTAACACCTTTCCAAAATATCAAATTTTATTCCAACATAGCTCAAGAAGTATAAGTATATTAACTGCCTATTCGAATGGTTGATTCGGCGTGCAGGAATTCGGAGCGTCTGTACGCTAGCTGCTCCAGTTTAGATAGGTACATGTATGTACCTACGGATTATATAATATAAAAATACCTCCTAGGGGGGTGTGTTTATGGGTAATCTACCTAGGGACCTAGGTATGTACATAAGAGCTCCTCCTCCTTTTCATTGCGCGTACCCCCTCGTTGGACTAAACCTCTTGTAGGGTGTTACTCCAACAATATTATTATCTAATATCTAATTCCGACGAACGAATGATAAATAATCAGGTCGGCATTGCTATGTACACATATGTAGATGTTCTGTTTCTTCGTAGAGTTGTTGTTCGCGAATAACAAGTATGATATATGCCACGTTATACTGCCACTTGTTAATAAAGATGTGCACGACGGATTGTTGCTGTCGCCTTATGATAGGCAAATTCCGCATACGCAGTGTAGTACGCATCTGTGTATTGCTTGTAATCGCAAGATAACTTGTCTCTCTTGAAGACTCCGATGGGAGTTGGAAAGCCGCGTGTTATGTATTTGTCCGGCTCCGCTATCTTTTACCAGACATAGACACAGGAATAGGAATATGCAGGGCACCAGGGCACCAGGGCCAGGGAGCAACACCAGCTGCCATTCGAGCATTGGAAGATATCCACGTGCGAATAGGAATGTACAGAGTAGGCCGTTGAATTCCTGCTTGTGTCCTATTTCAGACATCTATGGCTACCTTTCGAAATCGGCCATTTCCATCTCTGAATAGGTAATAGGTATGTGAAATAGTCACTAATTCAAAAGGGGGCTTCCTCAATTGGACTACATAGTATGTTGAGCAGCATCTGCGTCCCCCATGTCCGTCCGCTTAGCTGGCAGATACAAACTTGATCGCAACGATTTGGTCGTTTCCCACCTGTCGTTACAGCTTAGATGCATTCAGATGGAATTGCTCATCTTCTCGTGTCCAATCCAATGGTCTCTACTATGCCGCCTTGACTAACAATTCGTCAAGCAGGTTTGTGATCTGTACCCTTTTTTATGCCGCTCCGACTTGTATCCAAGTTTGAAGTTGTGCCTGACAGAACCCTGACCTGGATTGAAGCTTGTCCAATTAGTACCTAGTACAGGGGGACGCGCTAACTGCATGTACGTACTTATATGTACCTAACTTATCGTGCAGCGCGTGCGTAATGTTGTATGGATACCTCATACATACTAGGCAAGTACTATGTAGGTACATAGTATCTTTCCAAACTTCCAATATGCTCTGGTGGATTCCACTTGGAAAGATAGGACGGGGAAAGAGATGGGGGGGGCCGAATAATGAATGGGGGAGGGGAATTGAACAGCTTGGAGCCCAGTTGAGCCCACCATAATCACTAGTGTAGGTACTGGAATACCTACCACACCATTCAACATACCACATGGCACACGCCCAACTTTTAATACATAATACACTTTCTCTAACCCACCTAGCATGATTAGTAGCTTTGGTCTACCTAGCGTGCCTACAATAATACTATAATAATAATATTACATATAATACTTCGAAGGAGCATAGTCTATTAGGCCAGAGAAGGTAATAAGCAGCTAAACGAAGACGCAGTTCTAAGCCCATTTCCTAATACGTACATGTATTATTTAACTCGGTTTGACCACCTGACGAACTACCCGATGTATCTTAGTATCCTGGTATCTCTGTAGGTATCTGTGTACTGTACTGTCTTGTCCGTACCTGCCTAAACGTTCCTACATTATTATCTATACTGGATATCCATAAAAATTTATTTTTTGTGCAATGGACTGATCTTTGTTCCTTCTTCAATTCCCAAGGGGTTAAAGAAAAAAAAAATATTATTACAGATCATCAGACGGCTTTTTCTTTTCCCAGTGTCCGCCCTCCACCCATCAGGTCCTAATCCAGCCAATACCTCTCCTAATCCACCCACCATTGCCGACGAACACCTCTTGCTTTGCTTTTTGCTCCCTCTTTCTTGTCCATCTTGTATCATTCTTTACCCGGTAAGACACGAGCTGTACCAAGGGGAAAAAAAAGATAAATAAATCCTCGAGACGATTATTTTGTTGTTCTACTCTCTACGTGGTCGGCAATGGCCTCTTCCAAGGTAACCAACAAGTTGCACTAACCTACCTCACCTTGCCTTTTTACCTACCTTGCCCGCTTAGCCCGTCCCCGACACTGGGATAGTCATGCTGATCACTTGTGTCTATCACTCTAGGAAATGCAAACACCAACGAGGCCATTGAACCAGCACCGTCAATCAATCTCTTCTACCTCGGCGTCTTCCTTAGGCCCTTCGAGACCATTGTCCCATTCACGCAACAACTCCCACACATACTCCGCTTTGTCCGGCGCCCTCAATGCCACCCACCGCGTAACACGTCGGAAGAGTATGACTGGCACCGCTGCCAACGTCGCGGCTGTCGCGGCCGCTCTCGAAGAAGCAGGGGATAAGGTTGGACCACTACCTATTGCTGTCAATTCCCGCCGCGGTACCATGTCCAAGCCTGCCACCGCCCGACCTACCATCGTGGGTAGCTTACCTTCTCCGCCTGCTAGCTTGCCAACCCATAGATTCTCGATGAATATGAAATCCGAGGGCCCAGAAAACGCTATCGACGACTCCTCGAACGACATGTCCGCCGATGAGGGAGAAGAGGGTCCCCAGAAAGCTCGCATGCGACGGGCGAGCGATGGTCAGCCGCTAACAAAGGAGGGTAGGAAGAGCAACCGAATTGAACTCCGCTGCGACAAGTGCGGGAAAGGATACAAGCATAGCAGCTGCTTGACTAAGCATTTGTTGGTGCCCTTTTTCTTGCCCACTGCCTCCCTTATGCATTCACTTGCCCAGGCCTGTGGATAGAGTATCTCCCTGCCCCCGGGGCAAGCATGGACTGGCCGAGACCCTTAAGCCCTGAGTAAATGAACATGGACTTTTGTTGACGAATTGCTTGCCAGGTGGGAACATACTCCCGAGTGGTCTCTCACGTCCAAGCTGCTTATATCCAAGCACCAACAAGTTCAACTGCTCGAGGCGGCCTCAGTTCTTGTCGCCATGAACACCGAGGCAACCACTCCTCCCGACTCTACCAAAGACTTTGCCAGCGACCCCGAATCCGCTTCTCCCACCGCCTCTGGGTACTCAGACCTCCACGATGGTCGTAGTTCAGCCGATACCACCCCACCTCCGCATTTGGACGCTTTTAGTGCCATGAATTCTTTTGCTTATCATACGGCTTCCGAGAGGGACAGCAATGGGAATGGCTTTGCGCGATCGTACCAGTCAGCCGTTTCGGGCTCGTTCTTCTCAGGTAGCGTACCAAACGGGAATGGATTCGGTCACGCTCGTCATGCTAGTTCGGACCGGCGCCCCCCTTCTTCAGGAATGAACAGCACTGGCCAAGATGATCGCGACCTTGCAACGGCCATTGAGTTGCTCAGCTGCAGCTTTGGTAGTAACGGAGGGGCCCGAGATTCTAGGCTCCCTGACGATGCTCCCCCCGTACCACCGCTACCTGCCCAGTATCTCGATCACGCGGCTTTTACCAGTACGAGTTTTATCAACAGCTTTCCATCAGGTCAGATGCCGGAAAGTTTTACTCGGGGTGAGCTTCGGCATACCGAGGACGTGAAGATGGAAGATAGTGAAAGTAGCATAATGGATGAAGACGAAGGTGAAGGACGGTTTAGGGCGCGCAGCAGCGAGGAAGACGATGATATGATGTTTGGCCGTATGGAGGATTAAACTTGAGATCGCTCGCCCGCTCGCTCATCAGAGACGGCACGAAACGATAAATGGCTCTAGTTGTTTCCTTTGTGTCACATATCAACTTCTGGAAACGAGGTGGTTCCGCTCCGCTACCGAAATCTCAGCACCGAAGAATGGGGGGCTCTAGGTACGAATACTCTAAGGCATGCTCCAAGAGGTTAAAGTGAGGATCGGAGAAAAGCGTCGAGCGAACACCCAACCTGTCGAAACTGTAGGGAAAGTGTGAATTTCATTAGGCAAAGCGTGTGATATCTATTAACAGGGCCGATGACACCCATCTATTTACCATGAATGAATACCAACTCAAACGCAACTTTTGACTTACTAGAATATACTTGACCAAAAATATAGTTGGAGGTTTTTAATTGATAAATAGGATCCCAAGATTTACTATTGCTGGACCTGGCTATCCTTCAGGTAGCGGGGCTGCGGAGTCATGATGCTGGTGATTTTGATCTATGTGTGAATGCAGGTTGGTATAGGAGGTTGTAAACAGAACCAGCCGGGCAACGGAAAACATCAGAAGTTTAGCGATGGTTGCCTGACGACTCTCACGGAATAAGTACAAAAAGAGGAGAGCCGGAGAATAAGAGAAGAAAATCTCAAAGATGGAAGATCGAGGACCTAGGTCCCTTTTGAGAAGCGAGGTTTGTTGTCGATCAGGCCGGTTGTGGGGTTATTAGTAGGTTAGGTACTTAACGTAGGCTGAGTACGAAGTAGTAGGAATAGGTATGGAATTTAGCAGGGAAACTTGATGAAGAGTAGGTCGTTCGGAGACGTCACCGGTGCTAGGTTAGGTACATACATGAAGTAGTTACCGCTTTCCCCAATGTTCGCGCATCGGGCCACCCCCCACCATTTATAGTACCTACCTAGGTAGCCATTATGGAGGTAGCCATTTCAGCCTACTACCTCAAATCAGGTACATAACCTACACTCATAAATAATCGCGACAATTTCTGGTCAGCTTCGATTGTTATACCTAGCACGTGAGCGCATCAAGCTTGGATCTCTGCAAGGCGCATACTTTTTTTTTTTTCTTTCCGGGGAATTTTCTTAATCTTTTTTTCCTTCTGATAGTAGATACATAGTTGCAAAATCTTTACGGTGCAAGCAGACGAACGAGGCAAAATGAGGACTAGGAAACAGACTCGTGAGGAAGAAAATGCGGCTGAGGCAAGGCCAACGGTAGTGTCTATCACCAAAATCGAGACTCCGACAATCTCGCCTTCGAAGCGCGAAATTACTCGTCCCAATAACACACCGTCCAAGCTGCCTAAGCTGATTCAGTTCCCGCTGGTCACTATTCTGAGCCTATCGCTCGCAGCGGTGGGCTACTCGTTAACGTGGCGATACACCAAGGGTCCGATAGCGCCGCACGCGAGGCTACTGACTACTTGGGATGATGTCGGAATTGTTACGGGATGGCGAGTGTGAGTAGCATTTTACCAGTATCCCAACATACGACGGCGCGTATTTGGCTTTAAATTGTGTTCATGACGTAATTCCAACAACACTTTACTCACCGTGTTTTCTCATAGGTTTGAACTCGCGCTGAGTTGGTTCGGTAACTACGACGGCTACGATATTACAGCGTTGAACCTCCTGTCCCACGGTCCTCTCGTAAGTAGATCGAATCACCAACACGACAAAACATATACATAAGCCTAACGGTGACAACAGCTCTACCTCCTAAATACCTTCTATGAGGTGCCTACCAGCGCCCTTCTCCTCACACTCGCCATCGAGACCCTCGCGACATACATCCCCTTCCGCCTTCTACGTCCGCTTTCCAGGGTCCACGCCGACCCTAGCCATGCGCCCAACGCAGACATCGTCACGGACCGGCCCATCGTGCTGCTCACCACACTCCTCGCAGGCGCTATATATAGCGTGACGCTGTTCTTCGCATACGCTATGTACCTACCATCATACCTAGTCGTGTACTTCACCAATCTGCCGTCCATCGCGCCCGCACACGAAACCACCTACGTCGGCCTGCTCCCCGTAACGCTCGTTCTGGGATTCGCAGCGCGCGCCTTCATATTCACGCCCGCCGAAGCGACGGCCTCAGCTAAGGACAAGCCGTTCGATCCAGTTAACGCGAGTCTTCGCGAGACGGTGTGGTGGAATTTCTGGGGCTGGAGCGCGCAGACCAAGGTCCTGATCCAGCGCACGGCGCTGCTGATGCTGATTACGGGTGCGGATACCTTCGTCCAGACGCGCTTCACGATTAAAGGCGTTGAGACGCCTGGTGCGGCGGCTTGGAGCAGCGTGTGGGTGGCTGCAGCAGCGATTACCGGGCTTGCGCTTGGTGCCGTTGCCGGTGTTTAGGTCCAGGTAGCTGGTTGAGGAGGAAAGGGAAAGCAGTGTAGGATAAAAACAGATAGTCACGGTAGTGGCAGTAACAAGTTAAATCATCTTGAGGTGTTGGACGGAAGGCGATAAGCACAATTGATTATAAAATGGACAAAGGAATGTAATAGGGCGTACCGTGTCGGCAGAATCAAATGTCATTAAGAGTTTCTGCTTTGTTAATGTTTATCTTATATTTTTCAAACGTACATACCTAAGCTACCTTTTACAACTAGGCTAACCTATATTATATGTATATCAGACTTTATGCTTGTCTAAGATTCCAAGTCCTACTCACAGGTCAGCCTGAAAACTTAGGTAAGCTTGAAGAGAACCCATCTCTTGTTGATACCTATATGTAGAATGTATTGCATTTGTTATCCAAGCCAGTATGGTATAGTTCAAAAAAAATCAGGCAACTTCCGGTTATATCCCTATTGGTTACGGGATAATATAACCAACTAGAAAAGTAGGTAATCTTCTCTTATAACATCTACTATTGCAATTGGTAATTTGTTTATATCATGATTGGCTCGTCTTTCTACGCTTGCTTTATAAAGGGATAGGCATTTAAGACAGGACCCACTAACAAGATGGTCTCCAAGCTTATACTCAAGCTTTAAGTTCTCTAGGTTACATAAAAGGTATTTTATCAAGTACAAACAGGCTGGTTAGTATTAATAGGAAGTTGCCTCTCGCGTGCATTATTATTGTCAGGTTACATCCATGTATTCAGAGGCTTCTACGTGTAAGTGCTACTACCGCGGTTTCCCTATTTAAAATAGTTTCCTAGACACCTAAGGCACCTTCCTAAGGTATGGCTATGTTTTGTGTAGATATCTAGGCGCCTGCCTATCTACCCTACGCACTTATCTTATTTTCAAAGTTAAAACCTGAGGTTAAGTTGGATTTGATTATTATGTTTTGTTATGCCGCTTAGGTAAAAAGGCAGCTACAAATATTTGGGCATTCTCAGTCAAATCTCAATTTTCTCATCCAACACAACTACACCCACACTACTACACCCACACGCCTCTTTCGGACTCAACAACGCCGAAATAGTCGGCAAGACAAATACCCCAACAGATTATTGGACGAACATACTGCTAGAACATAAACCCAGAACCCATTACGATCTGAAGAAGGTCATCCAGTACCTAACCGAGATCAAGCCGGACCAACAACCTTCTGAGACAAAGCTCTACTGCAGTGTCCGAAACGTTGTCCAAGCAATTAAAATATACTGGGAAGAAAACGACTATAGCTTCCTCTAAACCAACCCAGCAAATTTTTTAATTACTAAATTAACCAAACAAGGGCATGGTTGTCCAGTAGCCATGGCATTTACAGTTATCAGGTACGTCCTTGCTTTTTTCCCTTCTATTACACGAGTTCATTGTGGTGATAACGTCTAGTATCGGACCGTGTCTCTTAACCTCCCATGGACTTCGCTCACATTAGCCCAGAACAAAAATATCGCATAAACATCCCATTTCTAGTGGCGGCACAGATCACAATACAAACACCGTGCCCGGTTGAAAGCCAAACTATTGCCAGAGAGCGGAGCATAAGGGTAGAACATGGTGGTTTCTCTTTGCCTACGATCTTGAGGTGGAAGTAGGGGAGTGTTAATTTCCCTCAGCGTTATTGTTGAGTCACGAAGACATTGGAAGGACCTCTTTGTTCAGCAACACAGCAACTCAGACGCGTCTTCAACATCGTCAATGCCTAATTTCATAAGCTACAGTATGGTTGTTGGAACTGAGCAATACGAATAACCTGACTCCGCTTGAAACATCACCATACAAAAAATATCGGGTATGCAACATCCTACAAGCACAACAGAGACCGCAACTACGACATTGAAAGATTGATGGATCCATCACTGGTGACGGTACGCCCTTTAACAAAAAGCCATTACGTCTCCCGATGCCAGAACAAATACCCTGCAGTTGTTTAACGACGCATCGAGTGACTATTGGCGCGGGGGGACCAGCGGGTGGATAGTTCTTATGTCTCTCTAAACGCTAACTATTTAATCATCACGAACAAATACACATGTATTCTTAAAATAAATTCCTCTATCTTGTCGTAGTGTACCGGTGCTCTATTTCAGCAAGACAGGATCTCGTTACTGGATGGGTTAAAGCATCGGGTCATATACTCGCTGGCTCTTAATAGCTATGTCACGGAGCTAGCCTTATGTACTTAACTCACCGTATTACACAACCGGCTGGGCTACTATATAGAGAGATTTATTGATTTTACGTAGTAGAACTCGAGCCTGAAACTAGAATCAATACCGTTATATACTTAGATCTCTGGCACCTTATATGACTGATCGTACTTCTATGTGAGTAGTTGGATGAGAGATGTCTCCTACATGAAGCTTGTTCCTTTCTTTCACTAAGAATAAACAATAATAGTAAGATGATATTGCCGCTTTGACTTGCTAATAGCGCTAAGACTGCCTTTGATGAATAGTTCAATAGAATTTGCCATGCTTCTATACTTGAACTCATGCCAAACCAGAAAGATCTTAGGATTGATAGCACATCTATAGCAAAAACTTCACCGCGAAAGAGGGACATTTTCTATTTATTTGGCGAAATTTGCTTGTTAAGGAGAATTTGCTACTAGGACTATACGGCTCTGGCTAGCACTATCTGACTACCGTTACCCCTGATGTCTGTCGAGTTGCTTTTGGCGACCGTCACTTGAGCACGTAGACCAGTTGCTGAATTGGTAACGTACACGATGTTTTCGCTGACTTTGTCTGAGTTTGCAGCGATGGCGGCGGCTTGGGACTGTAGATGTATATTTGTGTTCGGATCGAACTCGAGGTAGCGAGAGCTTGATGCCACACCTCTTCGTCTTCAGCTGGAAACTAAATGCCCGGCCAAAAGTTAGGGTACGAGGGCGCGAAGTTTCAAGCTATGAAATTGCCTTTGTCTTGATCCAACGGCATATAGCGGTACGGTTCGCAAGCCCAGTTAGCCCGAGCAGGGTGAAAGCAACTGACGTTTTAGGAGGTTGCCCAATGCCTATAAACTATGGCACGTACGTGTATAAGCTGCGAATACGACATGTCGCTAGCCAGTATAAGACATTCTCAAGCCTTGTTATTTCAACATTTCGTAGGGCTCGTATTCACACCACCTTCAGAATTGCTAGCGCTTCAAAATACATTTTAGCTATTCCGAGGTAGTTTACATCTTTAATGGCTGATAGGGCGAGTCGTATAAGTGGTTTTAGGCGCATGCGAATCCATTCAGCCGCGATTTGCAATCCGGGTTTCTTAGGATTTTAGAATTCGGGGAATCAAACCCTTATACATATATATATTATGCGGGCATAAATTGATTCTTTCATATATTACGATATTTGAGGGTTTAAAAGATAGGTAATTTTTGATACCAGGAAAAGGGTGATATTCCAAGGGGTAAATGTTTATATGGCATATTTAATATAATGGTATTATGTTTTAACTCGGGTCGATACGTAAACGCATGACTACTTGACCCAACCTAGGTAGCCTTTATGGAAGCAGTATGCTTTAACACATGATGATATTTCGTGTATACGCAACCTGGGTTAGCTTTCACCTAATGTATGTGTGAGGATCTGTTGTGATATTTCAATGCCTTTTTGTTTGTAACTAATGTATAGATTATTTTTACATAAATTTATGAACATCTGGGGTATACACACATGCATTTAATGAGGTAGTTATCAAAATGCAAGAAGTACTAAAGCACCTATATTATCTACATATATGTATACTATGTAACTACCTAAGGTACCTAAGGTAGTTTGTCGCGCTTTCTACCGCAGTTTGATGCTCCCAGCGCTGTCCTTACCTCATGTAGGTAATCACTCAGTAGGTACATACATAGCGGAGACCCCTGCGGGGCAAGATAGGTACCTAAGTACTTTTTATACAAATAAGGAAAGTGTACAGTTTTTCACTATTATTAATACTGTGTAGCGGTAATGCCGCCAGGCAAGAACTTAACCTAGGAGCTCAGACCCAAACCTTGACGCGACAACCTCTCATCTCTTACAACTCTCTCACCTCAATCGCACCTAATTCTCTCTTGCGCCCTCTTTTAATTTTGTCGCACTAGGTTTGCCGACTACTTATTGTTTGCACCTCGTTATACTTCGCTAACTACTATACCCTGCATTCATCAAAATTCCGACCTTTGTCTATACCGTTCTCTGCGGTCTGCACCATAATCATGGCGACCGCAATAGAAGCAAACAACGATAGAGGTGTGGAGCTCGATGGCAATATTTCACTAGGCAACGAGGACTCCAGCTCTTTGATGCAGGTTATCCCACCGTTAGATACTTCAAATAATGGCCTCGAGTCGCTCAACATGCGCGCCGACCCAGATGCCCAAGCCACCGTAACCGATTTCCTCGATTTTACGGAATATCTGCCATCCGACATGATGCGATCTCTTACCCTGATTGGAAAGCTTGACCAAGCCTACATTGATGCATCAGCTACTGTGAACGACCTCACTACCGCATGGGCAAAACTACCGACACTCGCAGCCGACCAACGTCCTGCACCGGTTCAGCTGCGCAAAGATATATCCGAGAATCTGAACCGCGCTGTTAGCTCGCGCGTCTTCTCCCACGCCGAGGCCGTCCGTATTCACGAGAACGTGGTTAGACACTATAACCGAGCTAAGACTATACATGCAAAGTTGCTGGCAATGCGCGACAACTATCCTACTGCCGAGGAACAAAAGAGTCCCTCCCAGGTCAAGTCCCCACAAACAGTTCGCACCCCTAAGATCACACTTCGGCGTGACAGCAATGGGCAAAAGATCCAAAGGCCACCTCGAATTACTGTTCCAGGAGAGGTGCTTGCGCCTTACGAAATAGATTTCAATGCTTACAGCTCCTTGAGCGACGAGAGCTCTGAAGAAGAGGAGGAGGATATACCCATGTCACCTCCTAGGCGAATCGCAACTCCGTCGACACGTATCAAGGTGGTCAAGCTCCCAAAGTCTCCTAAGCCCCCCAAGCAGAAGCTTCCGAAGCCACCGCGACCACCTCGAACTCCGGCTAATCGGTCTGATAATGCGGTTCCCATGATGTCTACGAGCACTGCCTTAGCGCAACTTCAGCCGCCTCCTGAGAACGCTGTTCCCGGCAGCGCCGACGCCCCATGGCTCCAACTGACTCCTTATGAACTTGCTAAGTTACGTAAGAGGATGAAGAAAAATGCTGTATGGAATCCTAGCGATACCATGATAGCTCGAGAGCTCAAAAACTTGGGCCGTGGCGTCGAAGCATATAGGGCTGCCCAAAAACAAGCCGAGGAGGAGGGAAAGCCGTTCGAAGCTACCCTTCCTACTCCGGTGGTTGACGCCGAGTCCGGGGCAAAGCACCCCCCCGAAGGTGCTATTAGTGCCGAGGCTTTGACAGCAGACGAGGTACAGTTAAGCAACCGCGGTATGAAATTAAACGAGGCCAAGAAGCTGAAACGTGAATCGATGGCAAGGATCGCTGCCGAGGAAGCAGAAGAATCAGCTAGGAAAATGGTAGAAGCTGCTCGCATGTTCCTTAGCCACGAAGATTCCCCGCCTGTAAACGGAAGTGCGCAGGACAAAGTCCCTGAGACGAGTCAGAATCAAGGCAAGGCCAATAAGTCCAAGACCAGGAAGCGAAAGCGGAACTCGATGTCGGAAACTCCCGTTGCAGAGAAACCCGAGGGAGTTCAGAGCTTACCGGCGAATCAACCGCCCAGCCAGACGCCCAGCCAGCCCGAGAGACCCCCGCTAAAACGGACCAAAACTGAGACGCCTGTTCCGTTGCCCCAGTTAACTCCTCGGCCGCCATCTGTGCCACCTCCGCCGCCTGCGCCTACTGTATCTACCGCGCCAACAGAGACTCCGGTCCCGGTTCCTGTCCCGCAGCTCGGCAAGATCCCTCAGGTGGCTGCTACGTCAAAGACGCCGGTACCGGTACCCGTTCCAGTTTCTTCTGATACATCTATGATGACTACTCGGTCTGCGGCTTCCTCGGCGGCGACGAGTCCAGCTCCGCCATCTAATATTGCGGCGACGATGCCCGTTAAGCCATCGGCGGAGACTCCTATTCCGCCTCCTATTAAGACCTCGACCACGCCTATTCCCCCCCCGATTCGGGAAATGCCCAAACGAGAAACTAGACAGAGTATTCAACCAGCTCCGGCTCCGGTTTCAGCTAACCATAGGCAGTCGAGTTCTCAAAACAATACGCCTGCAACCACGCCTGCTCCCGAATCCCAGCCTATCCCCGTACGTCGGCCTACTTCACGCGGGAAAGCTGCGAGCCAAGAGCCCCCTCCAACCTTTGCAGCCGAACGGCCTCGTCGTGCGAGCACCGCTAGAAACACCCCTGCTCCAGAATTGCGTCAGCCTAGCAAACGTACTAAGCGACCTGCTCCAGGCGTCGTGACTACGAATTCGGGCGGCACTAGCGCTATAGGAAAGCGCAAGGCAGCACCACGGAAGAAGGCTCGCGGCAGCAACCCCAAGAAAGAGAGGGGTGCAAGCCAGCAGGCCGAGCAGGAAGTAGAGGTAGAGGTGGACGACGATGGCAATGTCATCGACCCCGACGAACCCAGATACTGCCTCTGCAACAGAGTCAGCTTCGGCACTATGATACAGTGCGATAACGTAGATGTGAGCGCAACAAAGACTACTGCAACCCCAGCACGTGGTGACGAGAAAGCACGCAAAAAGAAACTAACCAACCCCCACCTACAGAATTGCAAGCAAGAATGGTTCCACCTTGAGTGCGTGGGATTGTCTGAGATACCAGCACGCACGACGAAGTGGTACTGCCCTGAGTGTCGTAAACTGCTAAATATCGGAGGAAGGGGAGAAGTGACTTCGCGAGGCGTCAAGATGTAATGCTTGATCCTCACCGCTAATCTACTTCTAATAACTCGAGCATGGTTCATGCCCCCTACAATCCTTGCCATCTTTGTTTTCAGTCGGCATGCGTTCCTCTTTACTGATACCCGATGTCGTTTATCTGACTTTTAACTCAGTCCTTGACCCCTACTCGGCAGACTATCGAATGCCCAGCCTCGATTGGTCTTAGCATGTGCTAATCTAGCGACCCGCGGATCTGGGATAGCGTTCTAACATACCATTCAAGAGGGCTAGACTATTTTGTACGAATCGAAAGCTTCGAGGTTCTTACATACGTTATAGCATCACCTTCGTGGTTTACTCATACCGCCGCCAACATGGAATATCCAATTTCAATTTGTGTCTACTATTACCACATGTTTCTTCGGCCTATCCACCTAAGAGCATAATATTCTCGAGACTACCTGAACTTAGAAGTTCCAAAATACCCTAAGAAATGGCAATGCCTTGTGTTGTAAAGGCCGGGGGATGGTACCGGTCGAATTGTTCAGTTGTAGCCGGCTTGCAGATATCCAGGGCTATGATGTTGGCTTGTAACTCCACACGCTAGATATTTGCAGAAATTTCTGTTAGAGAACTGATTGCTTTAACCTTGCATGGCTATGCGGAGAAATATTTCTCGTTTACGATTATAAATAGATAGTCGTGTCGAGGCTAAGGTGGGTTGGTCGATGCTTCGAGGATAGTTCGAGGATAGTAATCGAAATCCATAATACTTGATTGACTGTTATACGTCGAGAATACGAGCCCCAACGATGAGGTGCTTAGTAAATACCAAATACCCCTCATTCAAGATAAAAGCTAGGTTTGAGTATCACTGGTAGCTGCCTACTTGGTCCTCACTGTCAAAACAAACGTCTTAAAATTATCTCCATCTATCATCCTAAACACTTACGCTCACCTCTCGAGGCCTATCTTCGTAATGGCGGCTTCTGATGACTATACGCCTTTATTCCCAATCGATCATCCGGTTGATGGAAAAGTCAAGAACTTCATATCGCAGTTCTACGCCATATCTGACGACAGGTCAAGGAATGAGGATTGGGTGAAGTCCTTCCTCCCCGATGCCACCATTATCATAGGGGATAAGATGGCGGTAGGAACTGAGAGTAGGCGAGATCTAGTGAAAACATGATAAACCGCATCTAGAAGCTAACACAGAGGCTGCTGGCATAGATATTCGTCATTTGCGCAAGGGAATGTGGGAAGGAGTGCAGGCGCGAAAGCATAGACCTTTGGCGGTGTATCCAGCCGTCTTCTATCCAGAGACGGCTTACGACGAAGGCGAAAAACCGGCCATTCAGTATATGATCGAAGGAACGTTGATTTCGACCGGGGAGAAGCTCGAGACCCGGGAGATAACGTGGGCGGCGCGCGCGATCCTAAAAGAGGAACAGGGAGAGCTGAAGTATAAGCTCTATCAAGTCTATCTGCATAAGAAACCCAGTACCCACGACGGATAGCTCGGTGATTTCTCTCGTTTGCGCACACTCGTTTGCAACTTGGCTTGGGCCATTTCTTCTGATTGCTGCTCTTAAGATCCTGTATTATAATAAATCATATTCATTGGCCTCTAGGTACGTGGGTACTTGGACGGTAGAATTGCGCGTGCAGGAAATCCCGCCCGACCCGTCTACCGTCTACCGCCAGGCGTCGGGGTCGGGATCGGGATGATGCAACGATATGAGTTTTGTCATGCTGGATGATGGACGCCTTGAGTTTGCTGAGATTGTAAAACTTGCAACCTGCTGCGCCCTGGGTACCTGACTTAAAGTCTTACTGTGTAATATGTATGTGTTATATATGTACTTGACCCAGGCGGATGTCCAGCACACCAGACTTGTTAACAAGAAACTAGTGTAGGTAGGTAGCTGTTCTAGAAATACATAGCAAAATAGTGTAATTTTGCTCTCGTGCCTAGCGCGCATATGGTTCTTCAGCTGGGCGTCAGCTGATCTTGTACATACATCCCACGGCGGGACGCCCTTGATCACGATGGCGGGTTGGGATGGGAGCGGTGGGAGAAGCTGTAGTGACCTAGTCTACCTCACTACATAGTATACATAATAGTATGTATGTAGATAGGTGGCTGGCAGGGGCGTGACTTGGCTTAGTATATTATTGATGATGGATGACGACGAAGTCCCGTGATGAAATCATTTGGAGCAAATAGTGTATCATCATTATTTAAATTGTTGGTCCGTGACCTTGAATGTGCCCCTTTTTACGAGTTGTCTTCTTTGATTCTTGAACCTAGGTAACCTAGTGATGTATAATACATGACTTGGGTAGGTATTTTCAGCGTCTCCCCCCCCCTTTTTTTTTTTATATCAAAGGAAGTCCTTTTTCGGAGTCCACGTTGTAAAGAGCCGATGACGTAGTATTGGAGCTGCTGATAAGGGAAATTCACATGAATGCATCGAGGCATCATTCATTGCTAAATATATTATTGTTCATATGTAAGACAAGGATAAGCTCTGTCAGTTGAAGGTTCCCAGCTGTATATTGTCTTACTCTGATCCATAGTGAGGGGCTCCCGCGGCTGGGTTGTGCTTGTGCATGTGCATCTTTTGGACAATGGGGAAATGGAAGAGCTGGATCTTCTTTATCTACCATGTACCTTGTAACTTGTTAACATCCTACCTAGGTAACCGGACTGGAATTATGCGCCGTATTGTGCTGCATTGTTAGCTTGTACAATAGACACCTAAGGTACAATGTAACATAAAGGGTACCTAACGCATACAGGGTACATACATATGTCTAACAATATACATAATGTACACATTCATCCTTGTTCCTTGCTTCCAACAACCCCAAACCCCCAGCATTAGTCCCCTCCACATGGTGCCTATCGCGCCTATTTACAGGCTAGAATCTGTTGGTTACATGTATTAGTATCACCTAATTCCCCTCTTCAGGCATCTTGATTGTACATGTCTAGGTACCTAGGTACCTATGTACTCAGATACCGTTTACATAATGCCCCTCCTTTCCGTTGCCGCTTGTGTTATCAGTCACATGCCTTGACTCACTTAATTATGAATACTATAGTACACTAATAATGCGTGAGAACGGATTACAAGAAAACGGTCTAGATCGGTAAGCTAACGGTTGGGAGATTGTTTGTCTGTTTGTTGAGTCAATATTAGTTAGCAGGCTAGCTACTATGAGAATGGCAACCCCACGATGATGCGAGGTAGCTTCGAATGAATATAGAACAACATTAGCCCTAGAAATATTCTATACATACCCAAGGCAAGATGTCCGAGCGGTCTATGGAGCTTCGCTCAAGTTTACCCAACTTAACCTTGTGAAAAGGGGATCGAAGTGTTGCAAAACGCGTGGGTTCGAATCCCACTCTTGTCATAACTCCTGATATCCTTAATTGGATATATCTTTTTGCTGCTTGGTAAGCTTCTACCTTTAAGATGGATTCCAACGCCAATGGTACATAGATAAAGACTATCGTCGATTTTTATGACTTGTAACGTAAAAAACATTATAGGTATTACCGGAACATGCAAATCTCTGTTTCCGAGCTGCAGTTTGCCGAAACGAGTTGCACGTTGGTCTTTCGGCAGACCTGAGTCACTTGCCGAGCTTGTAGAGCATCTCGTTAATTCTTCGAGCCCGTCGGAATGTCTGGCTCTGATGACATGGCTCTGGTGACGTCGATTGAGTATGCAGAGTATGCAGAGTATGCAACGCAAGATGAAGTAGCCTCATACCTAGGTACATAGCAACATCGGTAGGTGATTGATCAGCTATTTATGAAGGACCTAACCTAGGTTAATAAGATATGATAATTATACGAAAAACGGAGATAACATATTTCACGTCAGAGCCAAAACGGAAAGTGGCGGTACAATTTTATGCAAACCACTTATGCAATGTACTTTCTGTTAGGGTGGCACTGATTCGGTACTTACATAACGTATACACACGTATCAATTAATCAAGTGCTTTTATCATGTACATGCGTACACGTCTACATTCTCGTTCCTGAGGACGTACCTTATGTACATTGTATCTTACAAGGTTCCTGACCTCAATTCTACCCCCCTCCCCTCGGTTCTCCCTCTACTACATAGTATGTATACTTACATACCTTACCTACTTCGTACATACTCAGAAACTCAGCAACTCAGCAACTCAGCAACTAATGATACCCTTCCCTCTAACAACTACATAACATACTTGGACAAAAACTCTCATAGATTCGATACCCTTCTTTCTAAATACGTACATACTACTATTATACAGCAGTGCTGACAATAATCTCTTGATAACCTCGTCTATGAAAGATCTTACAAAATAGTAATAATTCCCTGCCGTTTTGTTCGGCTGCCTGCGTCTTCTTCTCCTTTGTGCTTCCCCTCCTAAACCTAGCCTCGGTGTCGATCGCGTACAACGCGCTTGTGTGTCTTTGTCCCTCCGACGAGTCGTCGAATCAACATTGAACTCTTCGACGTAATAACCTAAACCGACGCTCAACTTATTTGCGATACTGTCCTGACTCTTCTTTTCCCCCTTTTGACGTACTCCGTTCGCCATATTCGTTGCGACCCCTGCATTCCGAGTTGAGCTCCTTATCGAGCTCCTCCGCTGGCGAGCAGGAAACTGCCCCGGCCGTCCTGCTAGCACCGCCCTATGCCCGGTTCGTCTACCCGCGATACCTCTCCGACCTCGTCCTCCTCCGTGGGGAAAAAGAGTCGTAATAAACGAACCCAAAAACTTACCGCAAGTGATATCTCAGGTTCAAAGAAGAAGGACAATAATGTTAAAGAAAGCGGCGGGGTTGTCGCAGCGGTGACGAGACATGGGGCTAAGTTCTCGTACGTACCCCGTACCTCCTATCCAGTCGTTATCGAGCAAGTTGTCGATTCGCTGGTCGCTTGGGATTTAATCCGGCTGTAAATGGAACTTGGTGTGTTAACTGTAACTTAGTAGCAGCAATAATGCCAGCGATGCATCTCCGCCCTTTGACTCCCCTCTGGCGTCTCCGGAGCTGAAACCTACAGTTCCCGCATCCATACCCACGAACGGCAATGCAGCGTTCTCCCCGACGTTAGATGCGGCATCGACGACCTCTGTATCTGCTAGCACGGCCCCGAGTGCTAATGACTGGGCGCGAGCGATGGGGCCCTTGGCTGGCTCGCCGTCAAACTTGATAAGTATCATGGGCGACTCTCCACCAACTCAACCTTCTTCGTACGAGGATCAGCGGTCCTTACCATATGCTTGGAGTGCGCAGCAACAACGACAACACTTTGCAAACGGTCATGCTTATTCTGCTTCCCCCCCTACTGGTATTAGGCGACCTTTGAGCTTCCAGCTAGATGCACATTATCCCACGAATGACATCCGGTCTCAGGCGTCATCGCCCCCTGGAGTGCGAAGAAGTTCGATGCATTCGCCATATCTGCCGCCTCGAATTGGGTCTCATCCGCCGTTACCTCACCAGCCTCAGGCTCACTTCTACGGTGCTCCTGATATCGACTTCGATCTGAACGGCATAGCTGGCTTGAAACCGGGTGAGAGGGGCTTTTATTTCGGATTTGACACTCTTCCGAACCCAAGCGGGGCTCAGACGTCGGGCAGCGATAATGTTGTTCTCGCGGGCTACGAAGGTGGCATCGATATTTACAGTGCTACAAAGCATGCCGTAGAACCGCTTGCTAGTTTGAAAGGACTGCGGGGTGGTGTTTATAATGCAAAGATCTTACCCTGGAATGGAATGTCGGATCCGTACGGCATCTTTCCTTTAATTGCCCTTGTCATTCATGGACCGGTGGTACCACTGACGATCCCCGAGATAGCCGTTGACCACCACTCTGATGAGTCGTCCAGTCCTCGGCTGGACGGTATTCATACACCCCAGTCAGATAGCAACCAGCGACAAATCAGCATTGGAAAGACGATACCAATAATAGATGCCTATCAGACCACTGTCGAGGTATATTCTCTAACAACCAACAGGCTTGTTGATGTACTTCTGCAGGCACCGAAGACCCCTATCAAGACTTTAGTGACAAACCCAGTCTTTAGAAGTCCGCCACCAGCTGGTGCTTTTCAGCTTCGTGCCGATGCTGGGAGCGTTCTGATTTCTTCAGGGGTCACGGGTGAGTGCTGGATATACCGGCAGACGAAATGCGAGCAAGACCCTGGGTGTCAGTTTTGCTGTGTGGGTAAGGTATGGACTAGTTTGAGCGGAGGTTCAATCCCTGAGAAGGATGGTAGTCAAAGCCCGCTTCCTGTTGGAAAACGTCCGCAGATGCCTATCGTCGCAATCAACGGCAGGTGGCTGGCATATTGTCCACCAGCGCCTTCACCTCAGAAATCACTCAACCCGTACATTCCGGTACCGCTGGAAGGCAAAGCGCCTGGCTTAGCGACCCTTGCTCCTCCCATCTTGCCAAATGAGAGTTCGGATGTCGACCAGCCCGTTCCTGACGGCGTTATGAACCGTATAATGAGAGAAACTACACAGGATTTCATCCAAGGAGCTCGGTGGGTTACGAAGCAGTCGGCTCAGCTATGGAAAAACTACTGGTCTAAGCCTGGCCAGCAAGCACAATCTCGTCAGCCTCAAATGGGCTCACCGCCCTGGAATGGGGGGTACTCAGGGAGACCGGATGCATCACAATTTCCTCCGACTTACGGTATTCCTGGTCAGGCGGTATCTAAGGAACCGGGTCTAGTATCGATCTTAGACCTACAGGGCTTGTCAAATTCAGCAGCAGTTCACCACGTTACTACGTTCAAAGCACCACTTGGTTGTAGCTTTTTGTCGTTCTCTCCGACTGGTTTATCCATATTCACTGCGAGCAGCAAAGGAGATGTGCAGACAGTGTGGGATCTGATGCGTATTCAGTACACGAAATCCTCGGCCTTGCAAAATTCGCAATTAGCTAACGGCCACACGACACGAGTAAGGCAGGTCGCACAGTTTTCACGGATGACTGTCGCTCGTATCGTTGATGTAGCATGGGCGAGACCAAACGGAGAGCGAGCCGCGATGGTGACCGAGAGAGGCACAGTACACTTGCTCGATATGCCTCCGAGTGCGTTCACCTGGCCCCCTCCTCGTCGTCGGATTAGAGTTGAGGACGGATTGCCCGCGGGTCCTGAAAATGCACCCTCGGCGGTTTCGCTGGCATCGAATGCACTTAGTTCTGCTTATGGTGCCACTCGAACTCTTACTTCCCGCCATCGGCGTACGAGCTCAAACTCGCAAACGCCGCCTACCATCATGGACCGCGCTGGATATGGGGGCAAGGTACTTGCTGCAGGAATTAGTCATTCATTGGGAAACGCAGGCACCGCCATCAGCCAGCTACGCCACACAGGCGAAAACCGTGTCAGCCTACCACCCGGTAGCATGTTGCCTGGCCCGTTCTGCGCGACGTGGATTACTGGTAAGAAGTATCACAACCTGTTCGTATTAGGGGATGGTTTAGTTAGGACTTTTCCAGGAAAAAGCAGAAGGCCAATGATCGGAAAGGATAAATCTCGTTTCCAGCGCGGCAATCAGTACAGGGACTTCAAGTTGAACCATTTGCCCGATGATTTGATTGCGCCGTCTATCAAGCAGATTATCGACCCTATCGAGGATCTTGACCCCATTAACCAAGAACATGATGGTGGTAACACGTTGGTTTTCAACCCTCGACCACAACTTACCGATGCCGAATATAGTCCTGAGACTTTTATCCCACAAGCTGAGATAGAGTCTAGTGCACCCTATCAGCCGTTCCACACCGATAGGCGGGTGGGACTGTATTTATATGATGACGGGTCTGCAACTTCTGTATCTGAACTTCTCCAGGCTACGACCCTAGAGGATACGCCGAGGGGCGGCAAAACTCGACGGTCCTGGACGCCTCCGAAACAGCCATGGGCTTTCGGAGAAGTCTTAAACGTGGATAGGGTGAACGTGGGAATAGTACACTTCGTTGAAGAGGATATCAGTACCAGCGTCGATGACCATCGTGCCCTACCCGCCTCGGCCATGGAGCGGGTCCTGCAGGTTGGCGAGAACGATGAGCAAATCGTAGTCACAACCCGACGGCGTAGAGGCGGTAATAGATCTACGGACGCGGACGAGGATGGATTCTTTGAAGATGATTGCGAAGTACTTGATTTTGCGGACCAGAGAGTTTGAGGTAGATGCCGAATTTGGAGGAATTGACCTTGTTACTTGTATAGGCGTCTCGGTTCAACACGGGAGTTTGATTCTCAGACTGCCCAAGCATGTGCGAGAGGCAATAGACGAAGCTATCTCTGCGAACATATCCTGTTAGACCCTCGCTTATCTGGTTTGGATTCTGAAGTCACGGAACGGTGGGATTGGCGTCTATTGCATAAGTCATATTGCATTGCAGACACGAAATATATAGTCCTATCAATACGGGGTTGAGAACACAACTCAATTAGATACCGTCAAATCACCTCTGGTATTCATCTTCCAGGACGTGAACTGTATTGATTATTGTTCATTTTTTACCATTAGGGGTTTATTATTATGTAGATTTAGCAACATAGATCAGCCAGCTGGCTCAGGGGCAACGCTTGCAATGTCATAACTAGAGTCCAACTAAGTCCAACTAAGCCCAACTTTGCCTAATTTCTCCATGTATGTCGAGTACGTGTTTCCCAATTTTCGAAGCCAAATACCATCTACGCCTTCTTCTTAGATGCTGCGGCCTTGGCCTTAGCAGCCTTCTTCCTGTTGCTACGGATCATGACGACGCTCAGGAACGAGCCGACAACGGCGCATCCGAGTAGGATAAGGATAACAGGTAAACGAATAGCCCAGACCCGCGGCGGGAAGAAGTTGTGGAGAGGGTGGTCTGAATCGACGAAGGGCTATGCGTAGATATGTTAGACTGCGGTTTGAGATGGAAAAGGGGGGGGAATAATGTCGCCGTACCATAGCCAACGTCCAGATCGAATAGTAGAGAAAGACGACGGAGGCGGCCACCAGCATGGCTAAACCAACGAGAGTGCCGAGCTGCAAAGTGATTAAAGGTTAGTAAGGAGCTATACTACTATGGTATGATGCATACAGCGCACAGCGCACAGCGCAGGGCGCAAGAAGTCAAAGATGAAAGAGGGGATATCAGACGTACCATTGTCGATTATAAGATGGTAAACGAATAAATTTTAGGTTCAGGTAAGGAACGTGGTGAATTGGCAAGTAGATAGTTGGTATTGGCTTCGTCTAGATGATGACCTGGCTAGAAATCGAAATGTCCCATCGAACGAAACGAGACGCGACACGAATAGTGAATTGGAATAGTGGATCAATTAGGACTTTGGTCTAAGACTTGGGGCACTTGGGGCACTTGGGGGCTTGATTATGTGGCTTGTACAATACAATAATACCGCTAAGCTACCTACCTAATGCAGGTGTGTTACCAGTGGTCCCACTTTCCCGAGAGCTATCCAGCCTCATCCAAACTTTCGTCACGTTAACATTTGCCCTTGCCTGCTTCAACTTTTTCCATCGCCAACTTCATCTTTTTCAACGACAACTTTCCCGACGGCGGGGATAACTAACTAGTTGGTTGTAGCCTCGAACCTCGGGTCGTTAGTTCGCTACTCTAGCCTATATAATTTATTCTACTAGGGTAGTAAGAGACGATGGCCGAAGTCGAGACGCGCCACCTAGGCGAACGATCGCCGACCGAAGTTCCCGTTCCTCGCTCTCCCCGTCGCGATCCTGATCGTGGTCAACGTCGCGATGGCGGTGATACGTACAGACCTGCGCGCGACCGCGGCCGTCGCTCACCCCCCCGGCAACGTTCGCCACCTCGTCAGCGCACGCCGCCCAAAATGCCTACCGAGGAGGAGAAGCAGGCGGCAGCAAAGGCCGAATACCAGAAGCTTTTAAATATGCGATCGGGAGGAACGTATATCCCTCCTGCACGTCTGCGAGCGCTGCAGGCCCAGATCACGGACAAGACAAGCAAGGAATATCAGCGGATGGCTTGGGAGGCGTTAAAGAAGAGTATTAACGGCCTTATCAATAAGGTTAACGTCTCCAACATCAAACATATCGTCCCGGAATTGTTCCAGGAGAATTTGGTCAGGGGACGGGGACTCTTTTGCAGAAGCATCATGAAAGCGCAAGCGGCAAGTTTGCCATTTACCCCGGTTCTAGCAGCCATGGCGGCTATCGTCAACACGAAGTTACCGCAGGTTGGTGAGCTGCTTGTTAAGAGACTGGTCGTACAATTCAGGAAAGCGTTCAAGCGGAATGATAAGGCGGTGTGTTTATCATCGACTACGTTCATTGCGCATCTGGTCAACCAACAGGTAGTTCACGAGATGCTGGCTGCTCAGATGCTGATCTTGCTATTACAAAAACCGACGGATGACAGCGTAGAAATTGCGGTTGGTCTGACGAAGGAAGTGGGACAGCATTTGGAAGACATGAACCCGGCCATTGCAGGTATCGTCTTCGACCAATTCAGAAACATCCTTCACGAGGCGGATATCGACAAGCGGGTGCAATTTATGATTGAGGTTTTATTCCAAGTACGGAAGGATAAATTCAAGGATAACCCTGCGATCAAGGAGGAGCTAGATTTAATCGAGGAGGAAGACCAGATTACACATAAGATTGACCTAGGCGCGGACCTGGACGTCCAGGATGGCCTGAACATCTTCAAATTTGATCCGGAATGGGAGGAAAATGAAGCAGCTTATAAGAGGCTACGAGCTGAGATTCTTGGGGAGGGAAGTGACGATGAAGAAGATGAGGACGATGAGGACGAGAGCTCCGAGGAGGAAGACGAGGAGCAAAAAGCCATGGAGATCAAGGATCAGTCTAACACCGACCTTGTCAATCTCCGTAAAACCATCTACCTCACCATTATGAGCAGCATGGACCCCGAAGAATGTGTCCATAAGCTCATGAAGATCAACCTGCCAACTGGCCAGGAACCTGAGCTACCTTCTATGGTTGTAGAATGCTGTAGTCAGGAAAAAACGTATTCAAAGTTTTTCGGCTTGATTGGGGAGAGATTTGCTAAGATCAATCGTCTATGGTGCGACCTTTTTACTCAGAGCTTTGAAAAGTATTATGAAACGATTCACCGGTACGAGACAAATCGACTACGAAACATTGCGAGATTCTTTGGCCACATGTTTGGTTCGGACGCTATCGGATGGCATGCTATGTCTGTCATACATCTGAACGAAGAGGAGACGACCTCTGCTAGCAGAATTTTCATCAAGATCCTATTCCAAGAAATCTCAGAAGAGCTCGGTATGACAAAGTTACAGGCACGAATGCGGGAGGATATGCTACAAGAAAGCTTTACGGGTCTGTTCCCACGCAACAATCCTCGTAACGTACGATTCTCGATCAATTACTTTACCAGTATTGGAATGGGTGCCCTAACAGAGGAGATGAGAGAGTACCTGGCCAATATGCCGAAGCCAACTCTTCCCGCACCTCCTGCTGTCGACAATTCCGACTCGGATTCTGTGTCTAGCTATTCATCATATACTGGTTCTTCCTATTCGTCTAGGTCTAGATCTCGTACACCGCCACGGAGGGCTCTTGATAGAGGCCGATCAGTATCTCGAACACCGCCGAGACGAGCTAGATCGGCATCATATAGCAGGAGTAGAAGTCCATCCCGCTCCCGATCGTATTCGTACAGTTCGTCTCGGAGCCCGTCTCCGCGGCGGACTAACAAGAAATATTCTGGCTCCCCTAGTCCGCCTCGTGGTCGTCGCGACTCCAATTATTCGCGGTACAGATCGGTAACCCCAGTGCCGGCACGGGGAGCTGGTAGGCCTCGTTCGTATAGCCGTAACCGCGACTCCACACGATCTCGTTCATACACACCTTCACGGAGCCGCAGCCCGGCTCCTCGCAAAGCAGCAGCAAGACCGCCGTCATTGAGTCGGAGTCCGCCACCGCGTAGGGCACCAACGAGACGAGATTCATACTCGGCCAGTCCCCTTCCTCGTCGAGCACGCCGTAGCTCGAGCCACTCCCGATCTCGATCCCCTCCTCCGCAGCGGGGCCGTTCCTCTAGGTCACCATCATCACCCCCGAGGCGACGTAGAAATACTAGCTCTATCAGCAGCGCTCCCAAGAAGAGGCCGCGATACGATAGCCGGTCACCTACCTCAGTCGACAAAAAGAGAAGACGGTACAGTTACAGCCCTAGCAGATCTCGGACAGGTTCGCCGCCGCCGCCCCGCGCTAAGCAGGATGGTAGGGTTAGAGGATAGGTACTGCATATGTTGAAGCGGAGAGTATTTACCCCGCAAGGGAGCGTTTCTATCAAGATGGGGGTTGTAGTTTAGGGTGGGTGTAAAGTAATGAAGAAAGGATTACGGAATCCCTAGCTGTGTTTTGGCGTTGCCCTTTTTGAACTTGCTCTTGCACTTACGCCGGCTGAGTTCACCTCGATGTAAAATATATCACAGACTGGAGTTACTGCAGCAGTAGGTTAGATATCAAAGCATTGGCCGTAATTTTACAAGAATGTGTTACCAGTTAATGATAATTGCTCTTATAACAACTGACTGATGTCTTCGTGCTACATGTGAATGCCTAAGGTTTATCTTGGGATATTATGTTACATGTAAGTAAAGATTTCTTATTTACATAAGACATGCCTTGCTATTTTATGCGAATTTTTCCTGTCTTATAAGAAGCAGTAAAGATGAAAGAAATAAAAGACGACAGAACTAGAATCCTAGTAGGGTATAAATGACTTGGTAGTGGATTCAGGGGTAGGTCTATTAGGATTAGCCATATAAAAACGCACAACGCCCTCGTAAGGTAGAAGGAAAGCGTTAATAGTTCAATATAATTTTTCTAACATTTATTCTACATACATGTAGTTATAGCATTTGTTAAAGGCACAATACCTATTAAATATAATGCGGTATATACCTGCCTTAGGCTTTTGTGCTGTTAGCCGACAATGAGACCTCCAGCCTAATCAAAGTGCGTCAGTCTTGATACCTGACGTTGGTAGCCGTCTTGCCTACACTATTGGCCTCGTGGCGCCCTATGGCGTCCACGTTCGGACCCGAACGACCAAGAATTATCAATCCCCTTGCTTACCAGGACACCGATAATTATATTAACTGCTAAGAGGCTTGCTTATAAGTCGAATCCTTTCAACCCATCTCAATGGCATATATTAGCTACCCCCTCACCATACACCTGAAGAGTAGTGCGAAGTTCTATTGTAATATCTCTACAACCATATACAAGATCAATGGATTCTATGACACAAAATAATAAGCTGCCCGCTTCAACTAAGGATCCTGAACGTGTGGCCAAGCATCATCTTACTCATATGTCACCACCTACTGAAGAATCGAGTGGCGCCGACGTGCGCCCTCTAAGCTGGCTGTTTGGTCTTCACAAAGTCCCACAGCAGTCAGGCTCTTCCATATTCCAGGAGGCCGGTCCAGCATCTCAACCGTTGCCTCCTAGTAAAGATCCGTGGTACAAGGCACCGGCCGGGTTTGAAACCAAAGAGCCCGGTACTATTCTCAGGATACGTCCTGCACCAGGTATTCTTGCCTTCGTTGGTAACAGCTCGGCTTCGTATAATATACTCTACCGCACCACCGATTCACGCTATCGGCCTTCTTGGGCCGTTACCACGTTACTTATTCCTAAATCCTTCTATGTCTCCCCCTCGGGAAAGACGGCCATGCTGTCTTACCAATTCGCATACAACACGGTCAACCTTGACTCCAGCCCCTCGTACACCTTGAACCAGGAGCAATTGCAGTCCAATGTCGACCTCGGCATTCAGTCGAATACCTCGCTGCTTACCGAATTGCTTGGACAAGGCTGGATCATCAACACTCCCGATTTCGAAGGCCCTAGCGCGGCCTTCGGTGCCAGTGTGCTGGCTGGACACGCCACGCTTGACTCAATCCGTGCGGTTCTCAACTTGGCGCGCTTGACTGGCGATGCCAACATCACGACCGCCATGTGGGGCTACAGCGGCGGCAGTATCGCCACCGAGGCCGCCGCCGAACTGCAGGTTCAATACGCCCCCGAGCTCGACATCTCCGGGGTCGTGGTGGGAGGCCTAGCAGACCACGTCTCCGATAACATGGACATGCTCAACAAGAGCCCCATCGCCGTTTCCCTAGTAGCCGCCCTCCTGGGGACGACGTCGCAGTATCCCGAAGCCGCGGCGTACGTCCGCAGGCGGCTCCGGCCCGAGACGGCCGACCAGTTCCTGAGCGCGAGGGACATGGATTTCGGCGCCTCGCTGCGGGCCTTCGCGATGAAGGACATCTATGGGTATTTCGTAGGCGGGGCGGCGGATCTGAAAGAGCCGGTGCTGCGCAGGGTGTTCGACGTGGAGGGGAGGCGCGGGTTCCACGGCGTGCCTGCTATGCCCATGTTCATGTACAAGGCTATCGGGGACGAGTTCTGCCCGATAGATATGACGGACCGGCTGGTAGAGAGGTTCTGCGGTAGAGAGGTTCTGCGGTAGGGGGGCGGACGTCACGTATGAGAGGAACAGCGTGGGCGGACATGTGTCTGAGATTGCGAACGGGAAGGGCAGGGCGGTTAGGTGGCTTTGGAGTGTTTTTGACGAATCTTACGTCCCGGCTGCGGAGGGGGGTGCAATCCGAGATGTTGCAGTAAACATGTCTTCTTTAGATACGTAGGAATCTGTTTGCATTTGTTTTGTTAACGCTTGTTTCTTTTTTGTCTAGAGAGCCTGTCGTTGACAAGCAATGGGGGGTTAGCTTGGTAGCTAGAGTATCATATAGCTCAGTTTTTACCACTTGATATTGTTCGTTTTCGTATGGAGTGGTTTGTAATAATTACAGCACGGTCAGGCAGGCAGTTAAATATCTACCGCTATACTTTAAGGTATATGGCGATCACCGTAAGCATGCTATTGCACCGTTTAGGTACGGATAAAACCTCAAACTACCGTAGATACATGATATTATATGTTTACGTGGTTAACCTACCTACCTGAGGCATTCAGCCTGGCGCCCTAGAGAAATTTGCTACATAGAGAGCAATTGGTACTTGCTTCCATGTCAAGCTGGTCGATTATTTGCCATCCGTGGATATCATCATAGACACTTATAAACGCAAACGTAGTGCTTTGCCTTTTGAATGCACTATATATAGTCGTATAGAGCTGTACTTTCGGGAGAATACATTTTGGTTAACTATATTTCTATTCACAGTCTATTACCCTCGTCTCTCGGAAACTTACTACTTACTATAAGTAATACAACCATGCCCAAGATTGCCAAATACACCTATTATTGACACAACTTGAAAGAATATTATTACTGAACATGCTTGAATGTCCTAGCTGAAGCAATTTAGCGTAATATAGTCCAGATAATGACACGCCGTCGATATATTAGTTACTGTTATCGTTTAGTTAAGTCTCGAGGCCCAAGTACCTATCTAATAATATCCACTTCAACAGCTTTGAGGAGTTGGTATACGTTTAGAGAGATTATAACTTTTCATTACTATATTTAATTCCGGCAATTGTACGTATCGACGCTCTTGGGAGATAAGCAGAATTTGTTTACTTCATATACGATATAATATATTTCAATATGCCCTCAGGAGGACGTACCTTATGCTTATGTATCACATATAGACACCGAGCAGGTAAATCCAATACGTACGTACCTAGGTACGTACGTGATTTAATGAGGTACCAAGGTACGTCTCGTCTAGTTAAGAGGTACCTACCTATCTTGTTAAGCATGTTTACACCTAGGTAAGTATGTGGTAGGTGGGTATGTTAGCAGTTGCATGACTCACGATATTTCTTAGGAGAGCACGGATAATAGCAACACAGTATCTCGTACCTTGGGTACAATCCAAGTTGTTACTCGGTACATGTACCAACCTCGGTGGGCAAGTTGACATACACGTATGGAGTTTTCTCTTAGACATTGTCTGGTGTGAAGGTGCGTATGAAGGTACGTATCATGATACTAACCACCCTTCATAGTTCAAAGTATGCTTGCTACTGCCACTTACCTCGACAACGGGCCTAAACGTTAGTGATTGTTCCCCGGTTGCCAGTGTCAAAGTGGAGCGACTCGGCTCCGGATTGACTCAACACTCACTCCGTCCGGTTACGTTACGTGGTAGCTCTCGACACGGGTCTATTTTGTACCAAACTCCAGCTTAATTCGTTACAGTCACTGTTTTTACTAGTGACATATCTTCAGCTGTAAGGTGGTCTATGCCTCAGATCTGGAAAGTATATAAACATGGCCTCCATCCCACATTTCCAAGCTCCCTCTCTTTCCTTCTTCTCCTACTCATAGATGCTCAATTGTCAAAGTCTTTCCTATATCAGACAATAACCTAACATCTTCAAAACCATTCATTACAACCATCCATCATAAACATTATCAAACTATTCATCATCCAGCACTTGTCTCACGCTTTCCACCACCATGTTTGAACTCGTATTCTCCATGCTCAACATGGGGCTGGCACCAGCACCGGCACCGGCACCGGCTTCGGACAGGGTCTTCGCCGTGCCCGAACTCCTCGAAAACATCCTTTCGCGGGTCAACAAGACTGATCTTCTTGTTAACATGCAACGGGTATCGAAACACTGGAAAGCCGTCATCGAGGCATCGCCTGAATTCCAGAAGGCCTTGTTCTTTCGCGCAAGCTCTAGATCCATGGACCCATACAAGAGATACCTCAAGAATCTCAAGTTGGCGTCCGTCGCCAAACCGTTCTTCAGCGTGGCGCTTTGGCAACGTAACGAATCTGAGGACAAACCGTTCAGTCATGTCTGGATGAGGGACATCGTCTGGTGGTTCGACTCTGATATCCGACAAAAATGGCTGTTTGAAAACGCTTCTTGGCGTAGAATGTATGTGTCTCAGCCACCGATCAAGAGACTTCATTGGCAGATCGAAAGAGATGACCAGGAGAATCACGGACTCTCCTTGCCTGGAACCATAGCAGAGTTTGAATTCCCAGGAGGATTGCGGATGGGTGACTACTATGACCTCGTCCTTGGCACTAGAGGCACCCACGAAGTCGTATGGCCGGGCTCGTCTGGGCCGGCCCACCGCGATACCGAGTCGGATGCTGAGGTTCGGTGGATAGACCAAGAGCACCGGAGAGCGCGCGAGCAACATGCGATCATGGTCAAACAGCATATATCTCCAGACGAGGAACACCCGAAACCCAGCCGGGATGACTATTGGAATCCCAAAGACCTTCAGAGATACCAACAAAATGTTCGTCTGGTAAAGGGGCTGGATGTCAAGGTGACGGATGGGACTGTGGCTTGGAGCTATACATGGCTGGGAAACGACAGCGCCTCAGGTATGAGGATGTTCCTTCGTGCGGCGCAAGAATGGATCCCCGAAGCCGACGACTACTATTATTAGAGACGCTATACCGCCATACAGTATGTCTTAATCGCCTTAGTCTTCGTTGGAAAGTGCTAACTGATTAACAGCGTCAGGCGATTAGCTCCGGGAGACTTTACTATAATTCTCCTCGGTGAACCCAGCTTCCTCGGTCTACTAGGATAGGAAAGGGGTGATGGTTTTCGCACAGGCGTGGTTTGGTGTGGGCGAGTTCATTATGCAAAGAGTACTTCGTCTAGCTACTGCCTAGAGAAATAAGGATGGTTCTGGTTTGGTTTCGGGGGATAAGGTTCGTTTATTCTTGAGAGGATAACGGAATTTGGGAGGGACGGGAATTAGTTGTCAGATGGACAACGTACCAACTTACCTACCTAAAATATTGGTAGAGAATCAAGCCCTTTATTACTCACACGATGTCGTATCTTCAAAACTTCCGGTTACCTTGCGTAGCAACTCTCGACACAGACCTATTTAATACCAATCTTTAGCTCAAATCGTCACAGTTATTATTTGTACCGGCAATAGACCTTTAGCTCTGAGGTGGCTTATGCATCAGATTTGAAAAAAATATATAAACCTGGCCTCCCTCCCACTTTTTCGAACTTTCTTCTTCCCATTCCTCACAGCATGGATATACTTCCCAATGCGTAGCGAGTGTCCAAGCACTGGCGGGCGACTATCGTGGGATCTCCCAAGATGCAGACAACTCTATTCTTCCACAGCAGCCTTAAGCCATTAAACTAGGAAAGATATACCAAAAACTATTCACGGAGCTCGCTCTCAGCACAGCGTTTGACACCACGGGTGGTGTAACTCTACGAGGGGTGCATCGGAGTCCTCCTCCTCCTCCTGATGAGCCGACATGTCAGCTACTTGATTCACGGCATCGTCGGGAGCCACGAGGGGGCTCGGGGAAGAAGGTCCCGGTTCGGGGCGAAGAGCCGCAAGACGTACGCGACGAGCATTGGCAGCGTTGGATAGCCGATACTGTTGCGCCTTGCTTCGACGAGGCATTGTGAATAAGTCGTTAAAGTAATCGCGCATACTTTTGGCTAAAGCTTTTCAATGTAAAGCTTTTCCATTATAGATCATATCCCAGCCGCACCAAATACGGCTTCCTATCGCTGGAGGAGATCCACCAGTGTCTTGGTTACGATATCCGAGAAGCATGGCTGGCTGATAATGCTTCTTGGCGAAACATGCTTGTGTCACAGCCGCCGATTACAAAGATTCATTGGCAAGTGTGGAGAGAAGATGAAGATAGTGAGTTGCCCGGAACAATGGCTGAGTTCAGATTTCCGGATGGGCTACGCATGGGGGATTTGTACGACTTAATCCTCGGTACTAGATGCGACCACGAGATCACATGGCCGACCTTGGAGGTTGGATATGGACATGGTAGACGTGATCTTGGAGAATGGGAACAAGACCAGGCTTTGAAGGCCTATGGACAGCGCGCAATCCTGATCAAGCAAGTCGTCTACGAGGAACATTTGAAAGCCCTCTCCAAGCGAGAGTCGTACTGGCACCCAACATGTCTTCACAAGTACTATCGAAACACCACTGCACTCAAGACACGAGAGATAGTGAACGGAAGTGTGACTTCGGGCTATAAGACGCGCGGGACCGATCAATCCTCTGCCATGGAGATATTCCTCCACTACGCCCGAGACCCTATTCCTCCCATGGCCTACTAGTTCTGACAAGATGGGACTGACGCTCCAGTATATGGTATTTCTAATTGCTCTGGTCTCTACTGAAAGTTGCTAACACAATAACAGGTTGAGCAATCACTCTTAAGGACTTTGGTAGCTTCTTCATGAATGCTATTCAATCAGTCTGATTCAGGTTGTCTCCATAAGATGTGTGCGGGGGGATAGGGGGATGGTTTACGGTTTCGTGGAGGGATAGTCTGGCGGATAGTCTGGTATGGGGGAAGGATGATGGGAAGTGGGATATGGCTGCTACTAGGAGGAGGATTCTCACTTGGCTTCAGACAGATTGTACCCCGATTGTTCCAATAACTGAAGCCTTATCATACAACTAATACGTATTATTTAAGCTTGAATATAAGTGTCACAAAATTGATACGTGTTATTTAAGCATTGATATAAGGCAATATTAATGAAATTCTTAATAATTTAATTAGTTGTTACAAGATTGTAAAAACGCGTGTTTTACCGTTATTTATATGAACTTAAAGATTTTAAATCACTTAACAAGGCTGACTAATCTAATAAGCCTTATGATACTGTGCTGACTTAAAGCCGAAAATCAACCTCTTCATTCACACAATAGGTGCTTATGGTATTTCTTAAACTGAAATGACGCTATATGGACTTTATTAGGTTACTAATTAATATTTCTTACGCACAACCTGTTTCTAGCCACTGTATATTATGCCTAACTTACATAAGCTTCTATCAAGCATATAGTTGCAGTCGTAGGCTAGTTACCACCTCTAAAACAAGTGAACTTCTACATCAAGATGTAGTAAAAACAAATGTGTATCAAAATTCCAAAACCTGCCTCCCCTTTATAAACATGTATGATGCCTAAGTGATAAAACATGTATTTACACATATGAGAACCAGGAGTCAAAGCAAAATTAATATATCATAATTGGTGTGCAATATTCCTACCGCTGCTACATTGAGGCGGCAGGATCGAACAGCGGGAAGTTGGGCTCGCACACGGTTCTAGGAGCAGGTAGTTTACCCTCAAGGAAGTAGTTCTGAATGATGGAATTCGTGCAGTTTGATGGCTGCGTGAGAGACAAGTGCTGCATGAAATGGTTAGCTCCTAGCCTGTAGGGTATTATACGATAGGGGCTGGGGAGAAAGAAAAGAAAAGATTACTCACGCCATGGCCGTTATGCGTAAGAAGAACGCTTCCCTCGAAGCCAAAGCTCATGTTCTTAGCCGAGACCAGAGGAGTGACGGGGTCGAAGCTGTTGCCGACGAACAACACGGGGTTCTTAGTCTTGACTTGGAAGTCACCCTCGTACCGCTCCTTGGCCTCAAACCCCCATTGCGCACAGGGCGTTACGTAGTATCCCCAGGCCCAATCCCAGAACCACTTGCTGGTCTTGTGATACTGCTCAAAGACCGGTTCGAGATCGGACAACTTATTCGTCCGTAGTTTCTTATCGCCGCAGCGGATTCCTAGGATTGCCTGGTCTTGAGACGGGATCGATAATGCCAAGACCCGGTTCACAAACGTCTCCAGGTTACCCTCTAGCACGTCCTCGAGCGCCTGGGCTAGGCTGGGCCAGTTCGCTGGTGAATATAGAGTGTTGAAGATGTGAGCCTTGAATATGTCGTAAGCGAACACAATTGTACCGTTGAATACGGGCGGGTTGTTCCGGACGGTGTCGAAGAGCTCGGCCATGGCTGCTTCTAACTCATCGTAGGTCCTGTTTTTTGCTAGGGAGCAGTTGTCGGGCATTGCGATACACCCGCGCATGAATTCCTCCCAAGTGGCGTCTGTTGATGCGACCATCTCAGGTTCGCCGCTAGGTTTCCACCCGTTAGCTGGATTTTCTTTTTCTTATGAGAGGTTATACTGAGAAAAGGGGGCACATACAAAGAGTTATAGTATTCATGCGCATTCATCACACCATCGAGAACGACCCTCTCTACCCTGTCGGGGAACATCGCGACAACGGTAGCTCCCAGCGTAGTACCGCCCGAAATTCCTAAGAAGGATCAGTTAGCTTATTAGTGCGTTAACCTTTAGTTTACGACCGAGATCACACTCACCCCAGTATCGAAGCATGCCACCTTCGTTCAGAGCGTCGACGATTGACATCATATCTCTTGCGACGAATGCCATGCCGACATATTGACCGGTCTCTTTCTGCTGGTTGTGGCACTGGGTCGCAATGATGTTACCTTCGGCCCAGAGTTTACCCACTGTCGAGTCTGCACCACCAGCCAGGCTATTTCCCATAGCGGCGTAATAACCCGTGGTATCGTCGGGCCAGCATGAGAACCGGAGAGTTTTACCCGTTCCTCTATACAGTATTGTTAGTCTATACGATGATATGGGGGTTATAGTGAGGGGAAGGACTTACCTTGGGTCCCAACTTATGAGATCGTGGTAACCTCCAGTAGTCCTATTGCGATATGTGTGTTAGTCAATCCTTCTTTAGGTTAAACCGAACTGAGGAGCTCGACGATATTAAACTAGTATGACACATACGGGCCCATCAACTCTGCATAAGCAAGCATGCTTTCTAGACCGTCTTGGCCCGGACCGCCGAAGTTGAGGAGAATGCTACCGCGCTTCGGCTGCTTCTGGGCCGGGTACTTGATTAGATCGAGATTGAGAGTGTCGGTACAATTCTTGTTGGTATAGTCGAGCGGGACGGGCAGTTGGGCGCACTGCACCGGGAGTGTGGTGTTTAGTTTGCATGGTCCCCATTTGATCTCCGTATTATTACTGCGGCGGACGGTTGCCGCTTTGCTGGCATGGGACGCGAGCGAAATGAGTAGCGGAAGGAGAGTCTTCGAAGACACCATCTTGAATTTAATTACTTACGAAGCTGAGATGTCGTGTAAAATTCGATTGCCCTAGTCGAGGCATTTCGAATCATCTTATATATTTACCAAAGTACCTAGCTTCGTGACAAGTTGCAAATTAACATTGCCATCCTCCTATGTCACGATTCGGTATCACAGCCCCCGTTTACAGCCGCAAGTGCCATCGACGTAAATCTGGAGAAGCTGATTCCCATACGGCGAATTAATAATTCAATCCTCCCTTTGATTCTGAATACGCTGGCCAATCAGAGTCTCCGTTCTGTAAGATTCATACGGCTCTTGGCAGATCGAGAATACGCCGTATCTGTACCCGGGACCTATGCGTTGCAAATCTTTCCTATTGCGGCTTCTCTCAGCCCTATGCCTTAGTCCGCTGGATCTTGGCGTCAGAGCTGAGCGTTGCTCACGATTCCGTTTTTTATACAGCCAAGACTTGGCAAAGGGATGGTTTTTAGATTCCATGTACCTAGAGAACCTATGGTCATTGGGCCCTATACGTCATCTATTAGGTGTGTATACGGCGTAAAACTCTCTAGGTTAAAATATTACGTAAAAAAAGAGACTCAAGAATTCTAGCTTAGCTTAGTTTGTTTCTCTATCATCTTAATTCTCTATTTTATCTTTTCGAGTTTTAACTTAACTAGTTAAACTAAATGCTTTGGATTGATTAAATTTTGCTCAAGATGTGAACCCTCCTGAGGATAGAATGCATCTCGCTCTTCATCTGATATTCTCCTGTCTCGATCTTCATAGGAAATCCTAGTCTATAGATGCTGATAACTCATAGCTTCGGTTTTCATTAGTAAAACGGGCGCATTTATGCTAAGCCGGATACGGTTTTACTTACGATGAGTACTTGGTCCAAGTCATATCTGCCGCCGCAGCTGAGTTGCGGGACCTGAGAGTAGTTCCTCGCCAGTTCCTCTCTGGTATTCTGGAGGACCTAAAGAATCTTATTGTTAACAATTGATCAACTACCCTGAATTTACTACCAAGACGCACGTTTATGTATGACTGCTCGGGGGTTTCTCTTAGAGTCCTAAGAAGTGCCCAAGACATAGCGCCAGTAGGTGCTCCGGCAATGGATGTATCCGCAGAGGTCTGATCGTCGGCGCATCCAGAGAACATCCAGACATCTTTGCCCTCTGTCTCCCAATGTTCCTCGAAACTCTCAACGGCGAGTCCATCCTCGTCGACATCCTCATTCCGACGATGATGCAGTCCATTGAAGAAGTCAGTCGCACCGCCGAGTAGCATCTTAGCGTCCTCTACTTTAGACATGGAAAAGCCGCTTTCGAAAAGCCCCTCGGCTGCGCGAATCAACCCGATTCCTTTCTTGATCGTGTCAACCATATTGACATTGCCATCTTCGTCGGGTCGATAGACGTAAGGCAATTCGCAGGCTGAGCCGGAATGACAGCAATCAAAGAGTATGGTAAGACGGCATTCGGGGTTCATCGGAGAGACGATCGATCGATGCAACTAGGCAAGGCATTGTATTAGTGTTGAGGTTCGGAAATGTGATGTTAAAGGTGCCGAAGCCTTCTAAGAACTCACTATTTCGCTTGAAATCTGCCCGTTTTCTGCAAAGTCGACAGGACATATTGTATCATCGAAGCTAGTTCATATCAGGGGTTAAAATTCCTAGACCGTTTACTTACCCTCACAAACTTACCCTGAAGGTCGATCCCTAGCATGGCTTCTAACTTGGGCTATACGTAGGTAAGTACATATTAGCCCTCGCTACACATATATACTTGTGATCAAATAGCTAACCTCCATGGCCAGAGTAGCTCAGCCAGAGTATATCACCAGGCCGATTTTTGGTAACCAGCCAATTAATTGCTGCCAGAATGTTGGCGCCTGTTGGAAAAAAAGGAGTACCATCATTTTCAGGGATATCCGACAACATGACCATGTCGTGAGTGCTGGGCGAGAAACCTCTCTCCTCTACCAGGAAGTTCCTGATGTTTTCCGCGTCATTAATGCAGCCATTTAATTCATGCTCAGATCCAAAGTAGTTGATGCCAATAAGAAGAGCTTTCTTGCGGGCCATGATGCAACTTAATTAAGTAGGTACCTAAGGTAAAATCGGTGAAATATGGAGGTTAAGAATGCGCATTTAAAAAGACGACTATGCATCTAATCTAAACATGCCGTATTTCCGAGCTCGATATCAGTGAAACGGCGGCCTCAATGATTTACCATGTTAGGTACCTTATAAGGTAACACTACTTTGTGCATATAGGTACATACCCGTACAGACGTGAGCGTTGGTGGGGGCATGGATATGGGCATGATACGTGGATGCTTCACGCTTGATTATTTTAGGGGACTTTGTTGGAATTTGTTACACGTGGTGTCCTAAGTTGTCGGGGAGGGGAAAGCTATACCCGCATGTCGCCGAGATAGGAACTGTGTAAGGATAAGTCGCGTCCTTCTAAGCTTGTTCGTCGTAGGGCTGAATCCATAAACTGTTAAGGGGTTATTTATAAACTTACCTATGTACATATTGTACATGGGAGGTACCTTACTTAGGTACCTTAGTAAGCATAGACCTAAACGGGCAGTACCAAAAATTGGGGTTGTACTGTTATGTACATCTCCCACCATATAGATTTACTAGTATACACTTGTACCTTTATGGGATTCTTCTACCATCTAATATGTGTATTGAGTAAGTGGCTACATAGCCAACTAATCTAGGTAGCCGTGTTGTACGAGGCTATTATATGTATTTGAAAAGATTGGGAAGGGTTTAGCAAACTTGGCGTACTTATGTAATACTAAAAGCGCCTGAATAGCAAATAGCAACAACGAGTTTAAAAATACCCTCACTTACTAAAATATACATAAGCATCTAAAGGAGGTAGTTACCTAAACATGAAACCATAACCTAACTATCTAACTAGTTACCTTAGGTACATATGTATAATTAAATAACTTATCAACTTGAAGTTAGTCTTGATTGGTTTAAAATATAGTGGAGATTTCTTTCACAAGCGAATTTATATTTCTGTCACGGGCTGTATAAGCAAAGCATACCTAGCTCAAGTTTATAAATACAAGTTTACAAATACAAATAACCCCTAAGATTAAAGATTACGGATTCGTACCGGGAATAAATAATACAAGGATCGTCCCCTTAACCGAATGCGAACTCAACATTCCCAATCCACGAATTACACTCCTGCATTGTAAATCCTCCTAGCTCGTTCCTCTAGGTTAAGCCTTCAGCTGAATGTCTTTGTTTCTACGGATGCGAATCCGATTGCATAGCCATGCGGCACAGCGGAAGAGAACTATCCATCATCGCTATATCTACTAAATATAAAGTGCTAAGATTTCCGACTCCTGTGGAAGGCTACACTTTCAATGCGCTCAACCAAGATAAATCTATTTAATCTCATAATGTACTTTAGAGGCAATCCTTTAGGCAGCCTGACCTTTTTTGCCTTGTCTGGGTTTAAGAGTGTGAAGACAAGCAGCGGGATAGTCCATGGCGGTCAGTGCAGCACAACCGACGTAAACTACTTCTACTCGATTCCGTACGCGAAACCGCCTCTAGGCGAACTACGCTTTGCACCTCCAGAGCCCTACAATAATTCTCGCGGCGTGATCAACGCCACGATACCGGCACCAGCTTGCATTCAGTTCTCGGGATTATTCGATGAGAAGACTGCAACGAGCGAAGACTGGTGGGTAGCTCTGCGCGGTTGTCTAACTTGAGTGGCTCCTCACTAACTCGCGTAAAATATACGTAGTCTTTTCCTGGATGTTTGGGCCCCGGTCTCTGCTACTCCTGAGTCAAAACTTCCCGTGAAGGTATGGCTATACGGAGGAAGCAATGAAGGCGGTGGGATTTCAAATCCGACATATAATGGCTGTTTCTCTGCTGCAGACTCCATTGTCGTCTCTATCAACTACCGCCTCGGTCCTTTGGGATTCTTGGCCCTGTCGGATCTTGGCCTCACCGGAAACTATGGCATCATGGATCAACTTCTTGGCCTACGCTGGGTGCAGGAGAACATCGTAGGGTTCGGCGGTGATCCGGTAGGTCTATACCCTCATCACGTTGAAGAATAGGTACCTAGGTACCTATACATCACAGAGTAATCAAGGTTAATAACGATTCTGCTTTAGAATAAAGTACTACTCTTTGGACAATCCGCCGGCGCTATTGACTCTTTCGTTCTTGCTACGTTACCGGAAGCACCAGGATTAATGCGAGCTGCTGCTTTAGAATCTGGAGCTGGGAGAGATATAGCGACAGTGGCCGACGCGGGAATATGGTATTCAGAGTTCCTTTACGCGATGAACTGCACAAATCATGACGTATGTGTCAGGCTCCAACCTCTATTAATTTATCCAGAATACTTACCAGTACTTAGTTGTCATGTCTTCGAAGCGCCCATGTCGATAGACTCCAAGCCGCAGTGGCTGCGATGCCAAGCACTAGCATAATGACCGTTAATACGGCCCTCGTCAATAATGGCACAAGGTCATCTTGGACCCCCGTGATCGATGGAAAGGTAATCAAAGAGCAACCATCAACTATCGGAGTTAGGGTCCCTTCAATAGTAGGAGCCACTACTAGGGAGGGCTCTATATTCGTCTTAGCTTCCTACGTCACAACCTGGAAGGGAAAAGCTCCTAGTCTATCAGACTATGATGATTTCCTAACCCTAAACTTTGGACCACTAGCGACACGAGTAAATGAGACGTTTCCATTAGCCTCTACCTTTAACGGTTCAACACTTACCGCTATGGAGGCTATTCTCACCCAGGTATCATACCAGTGTCCATCATACCGGGCTCTACAACTGGCAGAGAAGAAAGGGATTCCTGTATGGAGCTACCGATTCGCTCACGAGCCTAGTTGCGCCTGGTTTGCCACGATAGAGGCGGATTGGATACCTCGCCTAGGGGCAACGCACACGAGCGAGGTCCCATTCGTGTTTAACTTTACCAGTGCGATGCCACCCCCTAGCGGGAATTGCACCTTCTCCAAAGCAGAGCAAGCAATGGCCCATGAGATGAGTCGCGCGTGGACAAACATGGCACAGATGGGGATGCCGGGTGACAAGAGTATTTGGCCTGCCTGGACTTCGCACGAAAGCAAAGGCGTAGTACTCGATGATGCAATGGATGTTGGTGTGGTTGATTATGCTACTTGTGATTTCTGGGGGGAAATTAATGAGGATCTTAATAAGTACTGGAGGTCGCAATCAAGTCATGCATGATGCTATCTCTATAAAATATGGTTAGGCTAATTTTCGGTTCTTACCCCTCGACATCATTGAGGATTAGGGGCTCAGCAGCGTCGAACACTTGTCTAAGATAATGTATTTTGTCCATAGAATCAACCGCCGTGCCTTAATTTATTCCGCCACCTAGCTTAATATAATAATCTGGTATCAGTATAAAATACTATTCATTGCGGATAGAATAGTGACGGCGATGAACAAAACAATCAACATAGCCCGGTATTCGCTTTTCGAGGGTCTATGTCATCGGCACGCTGTGCATGTCGTTAGCTGCAGAATATGAATGAATATCACCTGTCAACACAAGGAACGACGATCCCACCCATGCCTGCGCTACTTTCCTGGATTCCCTAAGAGTTAACGTTAAGGGTTTACAGAGAAAGATGAATTGTTCCTGCAGATGAGTTTCAACGTACCAGCGCAGTGGTACCGACTGCAGGCAAACCCTTAGGATGGTTAGAAAAGTGCGGATAAGAGTATAAGTAACTCTGAAAGACACCGTATGATAAACCGACCGTATATGGGGATCTTACGCGCTGTCGTTAGAACTAACTTAGGCCGTGATCGGAAAAGCTTTCTCAGAGAGGACGTAAAGAGGTGGGATATCGCATGTGTATTCTGTAATAAGCTGTCTTTGTTATATTCAATATTATCATTCTCGTTCCAGTTTGAGATAAAAGATTTCGGTGAGTTTCTTTAGTAAAATGTCAAATATTTTCGAAGTTTAGAAGTAAATGATAAGTGCAAGGCGCTAGGTAATGAGAGTTCAATTTTCCAATTATATTATTCAAATGCGAGAAGTCTGGTTCCGAGGTCTCATGCTGTTCTAAGGGACTCTTTTAGAATGCCACGTTCTCTGTGTTATCGTGGTTTACCAAGCTTTTCGCTTTCCCTCATAAGTCCACAACTTACCACCTGATTCTCTTGTAGCCTCACTAATCACCTCGAAGGTACCGTCACAGGAGTCCTTTACGGTGACAAGAGCTTCGTCCAGATCAACTGATCTCGCTGCTGTGTTTCCCATATCGGTTTGGGTCCATCTATAAGGAGAAATCAGCAAAGTTTATCCCAGAGAGAATAGTACTTTATTTCTCACCCTGGGTCTATCACAAATGCGATGATGTGGTCCTCTTCCTCGTTAATGCTCTTTGTGATTCAATGAACAGCGGCCTTTGAAGGGCCGTAAACAGCGTTGGGATATGAATACATCTCCTGAATAATAGGTACATTAGCATATCTAGCCGTGGTCGGAGTATGTGAATCTTCCTACCTCTATAGACCCAGCACTGGATCCAATAGTCACAAATTTCGGAGTAGCAGCCGCGCGAAGTAGCGGTAGGGTAGCCTGAAATAGTCGTAGCACGTCAAAGACATTGACATCCATAGTCCGATACATGTACTCAACCTTTGCATCGACAACTTTGGTAAAACCGAGCGATATAGCGGCGTTAGCAATTACTATATCTAAATGATCGATTCCCTGTTTCTGGAGTTCCTTTACAGCATCCACGGCGCCTGTGTTGCTCGTAGCCCCGACCTTCACGATAATGAGGCTGCTTCCGGGGGCTTTAGGCACCTAGGTTGGCAAGCTCCTTAGACGTGGGATGTTCCGGGTTGCGGTTAGCAGCAATGACTTTATGATTAGGTAGGGCGAGGTAGCGCTCAGCAAGGCCCTTACCAATACCTCGATTGGCACCGGTGATTAGAACAATAGTAAAAAGCCATGGATCCTGCGGTGAGGTATGAAGTATTTAATAAAAGTGTGCCCAAGAATTCATTCTAAGCATACCTCTACTAGATTATTCCTGTCATATATGGAAAGACTACCTTAGGTACTCCAATATCGAGGAAATCTTAGGTTACACTCGTGCAAAAGTGAGATTTGGCGGTATACGCGTTAATTGTCATCACGGAAAGTCAGCAAGCCAAAATTAGGATGCAACATAGTAACATTATAAATTAACGGATGAAATAAGTAGGTAAGATGGGGTAATATCACCAAAATAAAGCCAGTATAAAAGTGCTCGTTTAAATATTGGGCCGAGATCACGTAGGTGCCGGAAGAGCTTCCACGGAAAGCCACCCTTATGTAATAAGTAATACATCCACTTGGTTAAAAGTTAAAAAGCAGGTAAACTACGTTGTAAGATTAAATCTGCAAAGAGATTTATAATTTATCCTCGGAAGAATTAATATTTCTTAAAGATCGAGATAGAAAAGACTTACTTTTTAATGTTTTAAACGGTGGTTTTTACTTGTTTCTTACTTTGTAATATTAAAATACTCGAACATTATTAATAAAAACTTTAATTATAAGTATTATTCTTAAATAATCATTAAGTACTACCCGGGACTTATATAATCATTTCGGATGTAAACTAAAAGGCAATTAATAAGAATAAATCAATAGTTAATTGAAATTCGGAGTTCAATGTCTATTTTAACATCCACATCGCATAACCATGGGGATTTGCCAAACAGCCCGGATCTCCATTGACACAAATGGCAGCCTCATTTATTACCGAATAATGGTCATTTGAGAAGAATCGGCAATGAAATTCTCTACACCTAAATTAATTAGCGCATTGCCCGTGGCGCAGTCTATCATCTCGAGATGACGCCCAATAATTTCATAGCATACCACTAGAGGCGTCAAAATAACCGTCGCACCGACAATTATGATGATAAGATGCGCCCCCTTTTTTGACGTCCTTGTACCCCCTTCAGGTCGAGCTACGCTTACCGCGAACAGCCTAGTCATCATGAATCATAATGAATCAGTCTGACGCGATTCCACGTGATGATACAGACTCGAAAGTTGCTATAGTCATATAAGCTGGCAAAATAACGTCAAAAAAGGGGTAAATTCGTCAGTATAGTTGTTAAGAGAGTGCACCAAGTATTTTGAGGTTATCCTGATTATTATTCTGATTGGCTACGAGCTACGGAGCTTGTTCCCCCTTTATCCTCATCCGCCATGACTACATCTCTCAAGCCCTCCAAAACCATGGACTTCTACGACATTGCTATGAGCCCACCAGCGTCAGTGAACCCCTGGAAGGCTCGATTAGCGCTGAACTTCAAAAACATTGCGCACAAGACTATATGGGTTCCCCTTCCCGATATTGGGAAAGTTCGTCAGGGTCTTGGCGTGCCAGCTTGTCGCAAACTTGCCGATGGCAATGACTTCTTTACACTTCCTATCTTGGTTGATCCTAATACCAACTCGAAAATTGGCGACTCGTTCGATATTGCCGTCTATCTGCAAAAGACTTACCCGGACTCAGGTGCCGGTGATCTGTTCCCCCCTCAGGAGATCGACTATACCTTCGATCAAGACCTTCCCCCTTGGGCGCCACCACTATCTGCACGGAAAGAGGGTGAGCATGACGAGTACTCCAAGTTTAATATGCATATCGACAGAGCATTCAGTGCCTATGTTGGCCTCATGGGGTTCTTCCTCCCCTTCGACTCACAAGCGAGCAAGGATGAACTCGTTCGTCGCGCTGGTGTAAAATCTTGGGACGATTTCGAGATAAAAGGCGAAGCGCGGGAGAAAATGAAAGAGTATTTCCGCGTTATGCTTGGGGACCTTGCGGAGCTATTTTCAAGGAACGCCACGGGGCCTTTCATTCTAGGTAAACAGGCCAACTATGCCGACCTAATCATCGGCGGATGGTTATACATGATGCATGGCACTCTCCCAGACAATGAATGGCAGGAGGTCAGGAGTTGTCACGGAGGGACCTTCGGACATTTGTATGATGAGTTACAAAGGTATGCAGAAGTGAAGTAGATTTTACTATCATGCGACAGAACCCAACACTGCTACGTATTACTAGTAGGATATGCCATACTCTGCAGGAGATACCAACTCCTTTTCAGTACCGGACACGCTTTGAAATATTACAAATCTACCTGAATTGCCTTTATAAAGTATATAGTGAAGTAGAAGTACGATCAGTCATATGAGATACCAGAGATCTAAGTATATACACAGTGAGCTAAGTTGTCTGGTGTAGCAAGGGCTAGATGGGCTTGGAATATAATTCAAATATACTAATAAACTTCAAAGGTCTCAAGACCTATTTGTAGACAGTCTTGGATACGTATCTTGTAGAATGATCCTGATACTATGATACATGTTGGTTGTCTTGCATTCTACCTACATATCCTCGTGATGCTTCTCTCTCATCCAATGATTCAAGTAATAGTTATCCTAACCGCCTGGTTGGCGCTTGGCCATATGTATTGCGATCAACACCCTCTTGGCGGTGTTGTCCGTGTGACATCTGGGCTAGTTTCCGTGCCATATATTCTATAGTGAACTTATGGCGGCGCGGGAACATGAAACCTTCCTTGCAATCCCAAAGCAGTCCTGGGAAGACCTCAAAGACCTCCCTGTCGTCCATCGTGCCGTCAGCATTAAAATACAGCGTAGGCGGATTATACCTTCGCTGTGGCCCATAAGGATATGCGTACGCCGGGATCATACCCTTCTGGTCCCCATGATCAAAATTCCAATCATTTACCATGTCCTCGAACTTCCTATAATCATATACGGCAAGAGCGAATGCAAAGCGCTCCATATCGGATATCATATCAGGGGTGAGGTGCGGGTTCAGCTCCGGATTTGTTAGAAAATGAGGCGTAGTAATTGCAATACTAAAGTCGCACAAATTTCCATCGATAATCTAGGCTACATGAACGTCGACGGCAAAGATACCAAGCGTTTGTAGCTTAATAACGTCTTGAAATATTTTCTGTACCAGATCCACGCTCAAGTCTTCCTCGTCTGGCCGACCGAAACGTTTGACGATTCCCCGGAGAGGCGGGGCCCTACCATCCTTTCCTAGAAAGCGCGTGCGCAACTCTGTCTCTTCGCCGTAATCCAAGTCCCCGGTAAAGAAAACATCAGGGTTGCCGAATTTAGTCACCATGGCGTGCTCGTTTGCCTCACTTAATAGAATATAGCCGAAACACTCGATGGCTAGTTCCTCATTGCCAGTTTCTTGGAGTCTACCATAGGCACGACACTCACAACTGAACGGCTCTGAATAGTTGTAAAAGGCGTTCAATGACTCATGATTGGGTTCGGGACCATCGCACAAATGACCCGGACCCATCCAATGAGCGTCATAGGTGAACGTAAATTATAGACACTCAAGTCAATTCGAAGCTCTCTCCTCAAAGATGTTCATATATAGGGAACCTCCACCTACCAGTTTTAGTGCGTAAATCTGCCCCAGGATTTTGACCTTGAAGACGTGTGAATATAGACCTGATCCGAGGTGTTCGAGGAATTCGATTTCTTGAGGACCCTGGAAGTTTGAACGGTTTCAGCTTAGGACCATCGCATTGTGGTAGTGGCACTAGATCGGCATCAGATTCGGGCCAGTCGGGATACATGGCCATGCGGCTGGGTTTTGGGCTACAAGCCATATCAGGGTTAGACATGGTTCACAATTGCTCTGGGGATAGAGATGAAGAAGAAATGAAATAAAATAAAATAAAAAATGGATGAGAGGGGAAGAATACAGCGAGGTAGAAGCGCCGACGAGATTGAGGATTTAATATAGATCGTAAAAGGTATAAAGGTGCTCTTTGTACGGAGGTATGCCATTTCTTTTGTACGGGTGAGAGCAGAAGTCTAGACTTGAAAAAGGATGCCACTTAATAACTTTTGTAAGAATAAAAATAATAGAATTTAGGATTGGAAATGGGTAAGTTAGTGAACATATAGATTGGAATATAGATTGGCATGTAAATTGGCATGTAGAATTACATGTAGAATTACATGTAAACGCCGTTCAGCCTCTCACCCTTGACAAAATTCAACTAACTAGATCATCATACCATCCACTACGTTAAACCAACCTTGATTTGACCTTTTTGTTCGTAACAGCTACTTATTTGGTTTCATACTAGATATGTTCTGCGCGCTTCACCTATTCTTACCCATGCTAGTGATGAGTTAGCTTCTCGGACAATGCCTCTTGTTACAATCATAATCGGATGAAAGGTCGGTAGAAATGGGGAAGAAAGAAATAGATGCGTATAAAGAGAAGGATACTAGGCCATGATATGAATTCTTATTGTCCTTGTTCGCAAATAATAGCTACTTACCTGTTATATAGAACCGCAAACATAGAAAGGCTTTCCCTCTCGGATCATGTGGTCATATCACCAGACCAAGGCGCTTTGGACTCGTTAGTGAAGCTATCCACACGCTTCAAACGGTAAAATCTAGAAGGGGGTAACTATTTAAAAGAGCTTGATGAGTTTAATCTGGTGATATTTACCTCAAAGAGATGAGATTATACCTCTGGGTAGTGCGGTTTATTAGGATTACCAGAACTGATAGCCACGCCATGATGTGTTGGCATTAACAGCTATACGATCTACGAAGCTGCAGTGATGACTCGATATAATTGACTGCCTGGGTAAGGCTAAATAAGCCAATTGTGGCATGCTTCCAAAAGGTGAGGCAGTGTAGAGATCTTAAAGTAGGCTTGTAGAAATTATGAATCCATTGAAGGGGATAATAGAGCTGCAATAAGGTTAATAGCTTGCCCTCAAAGAAAAATAAAGTAATAGTGAATTAATGAGTAAAATCAAATCAATTCGTACGGCCTGGAGCACTTCCAGCCTAATGCAAACGTGTCCCTGCCGATTAACCGACCGTGATGCCAAATTATGATACAAGGTGAGGTTCGTGAGTTCTTCACGAACCGTATCGTTAGAGCCAAGTTTTCTTCCCTTCATAAAAACCCTGTGCGCACACGCGAACAATATACGATATGAAAGCTAGTAGCTAAACCTGCATCACCTAACTCCTAAATAGAGCAAGAATAAAGACGGATTTTTCAACAAGTATGCCTAGGGTGGACGTTGGACAAGGCCGAGTCTTGGATATAGACAGCAATGGACCACTGGCGCAGTGCATACTGAATATAGCATGCTGCACATGAGTAACTGCGACGTTGGTATGCTTTACAGGGAGGGCTTTGTCTCTCGGTCGATCGCAGCGCCAACTTGCTGGGCTGTCGAAGAGCTGGGGCCATTGGCGCCACCGGCAGTTAGAATCTATTGCATCTGTTAGATATCATGTATTCAACAAGTCAAGGAGGTAATATTAGCATAAGAACCTTACCTCTCCACCCATTTCGCGCATCTTCATTTCTTTTTCCATTTCCATTACTTGTTGCTCTTCAGCCCACGCGAGAGCCCACGGGACGCCTAGAATCAGCGCAGAGGTGCTTATCACCCAGAGAGTTTTGCCGCCGAAGGAGAAGAAGCTTGAGACTGCGCTAGTCGTTGCGTTGACCTTGTTGGCTATCGAGGTTCGGGTCTGAGGTGGAATGATGTCGCGAAGCGCATACAGGCGCTCGGTAAGAGTTTCGCTAGAAGGGTCATAATCCGACTCGGTTGAGATTTCAGACTCTATATAAATTCACGGTTAGGTAGCTGTAAATGTAGGATACACTACGAAGGCGCGTAGCGACTATATATTCAATATAAAATCTAGATCACTACAAGCTAGTGACGTACCGGTATCAGTGAAATCATCATCCTCGGGACCAACCTGGTCCTCTTGGAAGTGCTCGTCGACAACCTCTGTAAGCTGGACCATTGCGACTCTGGGTTGGTTTCCGTTGGGGGTAAATAAGAATCGAAGGTCGAGTTGTGGAATCGGGGTTTGAGCTGGAATAATGGGAGAATTGGGGGGAGCAAGAGGAAAATCTTCAGAATCTGATAAAGAATCCATCGCTATCGGCTAGCAGGGGTGTCTTTAAAGCTTTGATTTTATTGGAGCATTGTGACTCAGGTTGGCGTTATTTCGACAGTCACCAGGACAAGTTTTTTTACCGTGTAGTGGGAAATGCAATAAAGCAAAGGGAAAGTTTGTGTTTCAGGCATCAGAAGCCTGGTTTAATATGCGTTATATAGATATAAATGCATATATCCGACTCACTACCATAGAGCCCCTCTGAGCCCTTGTGAATGACTGTCTTAATACGCTAACTACCTGCAACCCCTCAGCTACATCTCTTCACTTAGACACTTTCCAGTGACGTCATTGGCTAAGAAACCGACTTGGCTTCTGTACATAAGCCTGCCTTGTACAACTCAGTTACCTGATACGATTCAGTGGGTTTATGTAAATTTCTAGAAAAACCTCTGTAGCTGTTAACACCTACTATCCTACAGTACGTTAAAATCACATAAGTAAATAAAAATATGTCGGCTTGCCTAGGTACTAAATAATTAACTTGAACCGTGCAAGACGTTCATTAGAAGCTTGTCAATAAATACTAATATCATTATAACTGCCCTATGTACCTCATTATATATAGTACATGGCAAATAAAGATTGTTACTTTGATCTCAATATAGAATGCACAGGGTTAGGTTACTTAGTAACTTATAGCTAGCCAATTCCTAGAAAACAATTCCTAGAAAACATTGGTTATCGAACGCCAAAATACCATGAATATATCGACACTAATGTATTAAGACGTCCTACTTTAGATAGAAAAATATTTACTCTTATCTCATAAAAGCTATAGTGCTTACTTTTCGCTATACCAATTCAGCATACCGTCATGACCTAAAACAAAACCAAATAATATCTCATGAAGCGTGTGCCTCAACCCTTGTTAGGCGGGGAGTCTGCGAATCTTATCCCTCGTCTCGTGGGGGGTACTCTAGGGGTATCATCGTCTTCACTGTCGCTGTCTTCAGCCCCACCGCTGTCTACACCTAATGCAGCCTCCCTTCTCCTCTTCTCTGCAGGAGTCTCCCCCAGATCATTATCTTCGCGGACGCTAGCAAAGGCTGCCAATCGTCGCCTTCTCTCAACGGCTGTTTCCGGTGTGTTTGATGTTGGAGGCTGCTCCGAGTCTGTCGTTGGGCTACGTCCACGAGGAGGCTCTGAGCGAGAAGGAGACTTGCTCGCATCCCGAGTGCTATCACTTGCTTGAGTCACACTGATCTGAGGGTGGACTAGGGCCTGAGCTTGGGGTTGAACTGTGCTTGCTCCCGGTGCTTCCCTTGCCATCGATTTCACTGCTGGATCTGCATTCGATTGGTCTACCACCTCGCGGCGGGTTTTAGCATCCAACTTTCGTACTTCTCTAAGGAAATCATCCTTAGTCATGCGTTGTCCAACGCCGCCGATCGTGAATCGGATACCTCGATCATCTTCTACGCTCCTTTCAGCAGGGGCAGTAGCATCCTTCCTCCTCTGTTCAGCAGCACCTCCACGACTAAAGCCTGGCCACCCTCCGGTTTTCGTCTTGGCCCCGGGTTTGGTACTGCTAGTCTGGGTAGGCTCTTGTTCGGACGACGCTTCAACCTTGGGTGCTGTTTTATCAGTTGGCTTAACGAGACCACCCATTCCCATATATTTCAAACTTGTAGCTACATAGTCTCTGCTGTCGTTTCGCTCGGTAGGCAGATCATATTTCCTCACGACTTCTCCGTCCTCGTCTTCCACAATAATCTGCAAAAGGATTAGCTGAATTCCCCACTACGAATGAGGGATTGCACTTACTGTGTTACCAAACTGGTATGCTCTGGCCGGCTCATGCTTTCGTTCAATCTTTGCCTTGTCGTTACGTTTCTGGGACTCCTCATCACGCCATTTCCCAATGCTTTTCTTGAGTGACTCGTAAGTCCATCCTGGCTTTTGAGTCTCAGCTTTGGCTTTCTCCTTAACTTCATGCAGATCTTGAACTGGTTGATACCCTGTTTCTTCAACCGCAAGAACTTGGCCATCATGGTCTTCAATTATAATATGGTCGCCCTCATCAAACACTTCTAGTTCGCCGTGTTGTTCGCCTCTAGATAGTTGCTCACGCCCCCTCTCACGTTCCGATCCGCGTTCCTTCGTCACATGCACTGTTTTCTCGACATCCTTTTCATTATCTTTCTCGAGTAGATCCTCCGATGGCGAGCTGGGGCTTTCTTGCCTTGGTGAGACAGGCTGTACAGAATCAGATGGTGACATAGGCTCTGCTATTTCACTTGCACTCCTTTTCTGGGGGAAGATAGCCGACTGGCTTACGGGCCCACCAGGCCCAATACCATCATCCCACCTTTTCCTACTGCGGCGCCGAGAAGAAGCGCGGCTTCCAGCTCTACTAGGGTTCTCCTCCTCGCGCTGTCGGCGTAAGAACTGTCCAGGCATTCCAGTTGGTGGCAACGTACCAGGTGGAAATTCAGGTAGTTTTATCTCCTCATAGTCGGTATCTGACATCGTCCGAGCTTGTGATCGCGACTGAGATGTGATCCGTGGCAAGCGGCTCATCCAAGCAGGACCTTCTTCTGTAGCAGTGGTAAATGACATGGTGAGTGATAAAGTATTGATATGCTTTCCTAAGGTGAACACGGCCACTGAAGAGCCATGGACGATAATCGAGGAAATAACCATGAATGTAACAATAGGCCACACGAGGAGAATGACATTGTAGAACTCGGTACCCTTCTCCGGCAGTTCTGGTTCGGGAATTGTATGCTCACTCTCCAGCTCAGCACGAGCAAGCAGCGCAACAAAAATAGCACCTACTCCAATTGGACCAAAATGCCCGGCAAACAGAGCTTCTCGCCACGTTTTAACATCGGGAATGAGCGGTTTGAGAAGCATCATAACCGGAATCCGGCGAAAAAGGATCACAAAGATGGCCATGACTACTAGTCTCCAGGCGGAAAGGCCAATATCCACGTTGTTGTACTGCTCCCAGGGAATAATGGTACCGAGATAGACAAAGTAAGCCAGATTGATTAGTAAATCGATAACGTTTGACACATGCG